GGATCAGGATCCAGAATGCACTGGACAGTCTCGTGAAAGATAATACGATCAGAATTGGAAAGAGAAACGGAATTGACCGTTTCGATTGGATCGCAAAAGCGTAAAGAGAAAGTGCAAAGTGTGAGGGGAAGGTCCACCACACGAGAGAAAGAAGTCAGAAGAGAACCAAACGAGCGCACCGCATAGCCTGAATTACTTTCGAAACACACGCTGCAAGAAGAGTTGAATTAGCGAAGTGGTTATAATACTTAGCGAATGGGCTAAGATGGGAAAGGTCATCCATACTGTTGAGAATGGCTCAGTCAGAAAGGATGGCAAAGGACATCAGAAAAGCAGTGGAAAGGTCTCAGCTCAGCACCCAAAATAGCCTAATTACTATAGTCGTAAAATAGGCGTTGAGAACGGTCATGTAAGAAAGATCATAGGACTTACAGTGTTTGAGATTGCAGGTTGAACGGCGAAAATGGCTGAACCGAGCCAACCAAGCAAAACGGTAAAGAAGTGGCAGCCGGCGAAAAAGGTTACCGGGGATCCGTTGATGAACTACAACGAGAATTGTCCTGACTACAAGCGTAATAACGCTTTGTCAAATGAGCGTTATGCATACTGGGGTTGCGTGATCGCCGTGCCGATGCCGAATCAGATCTTGGTAATTCCTAAGGAAGCGACACGCGGCAACCTTGATGTCTTTCGACATTTAGTCCTGGGAGAAACATGGAAGAAATTGTCACCGGAAGATCGGATGATCCTCGAAGATAAATACCAAATGTGGGTCGGACGCAGACCGGGGTGGGATATCACCCCTGAACCTCCGAAAGATGCGGAAGCGGATGCGTTCAGAAAGAAATTCGTAGAAGATACAATGAGAATGGTGCAAGAGAAGGGCGAACAAGAAAGCGCTTGGAAGAGCGACAGAAAGCTGCGGCAGAGAAGGATTTAGCCGATGCAGCAAAAGGTCACGGTGGACTTGGGAGTACCAGTTCCGCTTGCAATACTGAAGAGACCTGATGAAGAAGAAGCGGCTGTGATCAGACAAGCACTGATACAGCAGACTGACGTCATCCTACAAGATCCACTCTCAGTAACGAAGGACGAGCACAAAATATTCCTAGCGGAAAAGGTCAACTTGTCTAAAGGAGGCAGACCATCGCAGGTCATCAAAATCGCGATCGAAGAACGGATTGATAAGATGCGCGCCTTCCGAAAGCAGGAATGGACGTCATCCAAGCTCTCAGAAATTTTAAGAAGGATGAGTTCACACGTCCACAATCGCCTCCAAGGGATGACAGATATCGCGGATATGAAAGGTCATCAGACCGCTCGCGAGAAAGGTCACGAGAAAGGTCACGGGACTTTAACCCTTACAAGAAACACGGTGGATACGCAAGTGATAGGCGTACATGAGTTCGTGTTTCGACATGTGAACCCGGCGTTACGACTCCTCGCAGGAAGATCTGTTTTAGGATTGTCAGTTCAACCGGATTCCCCGCCAAACCATATGGTCACCATTCAAAAGATTCTGGCAGCAAGATTGTGGCATTATGAGACGCATCATCAGCTACGAAAGAGCGCTCAAAGAGGAACGGAGATTCCGCCGGCATTAACCGCGCAGGTTATAAAGCTGGGAAAGCCCATTGCAAACTTTAACTCCTCTGAAGCGGTGTGGAAGCAGCTGAAAGATTGCCAGCGGGGAATGAACGATGAACCTTCGACGTCAGGCACAAATGTACGCTCATCAATGCGCGGAACGGATAAGACGCACGATGGGGACGAAGTTCATCCAACCGTCTGACTTCGTTTACGATTTCATCCAAGAGACCAGCGCTAACAAGAGCAGTCATCGTCCAGAACTTGAGCAACGTCCTCAGAACAATGATACGGGCAAACGCGGACAGCTGCATATGGATTATGTCGACCTGTGTCAAAGGTTATGCGACAATCCGCACGACGAAATATTGAAAGCGCGAACGATTGACGCCCGGGAACACTTGATACGCATTCAGCGTCGGCGCAATCGAAATCGAAACAGTAGCGCTAGCAGCCGGGGCGAAGGAGACGTGCTGCAAGAGAGGGAAAGGGAACCTCGAGATCGGCGTCCAATCGTAACGAAAAAGAACGACGACGTTTCGATTGGAACCGCGACAATGGTTCAAGTGATGAGTTATGACCTTTAGGGCACCGCTGATGTGCTATTTACGGCCATCAGTCGGCAGAACAGAAAACGGTAGTGAGGGTACAGTATCAGGGCGGAAGGACGTAACGTAGCGAACTGTCATATCGTTCGTGTATTGTTGTTTGCAGAGTTTTGTTTCAGGAGATCAATGCGATCACGGTTGGGCAGTTACGGTGGTTTACCGGCCCTTAAAAAAGGAAAAGTTACGGCGACAACCGGCCTTCCTCATTTTAACTTAACGTCACTTTCGGGGTGTAGTTGCGGCCTGCTTAGTCGGCACACTCCAGCGGAATGTCAGAAGCCACAAGGGTGAAAAAGAGAAAGAGTAAGAATGGGAAGAACTTGTCAGATAACGAGGTTACGGCGACAAAATATGTCGGCCTCAAGAGAGAAGTTACGGCAGTTAACCGGCGCTCTAAACTGGTAAGGGAGGAAGAAGAAGTGCGAGTCAATGGAAGAAGGTTACGGCGTCACACCAGCCCTCTTCTGCACTTAGAAAAGAGAAAGGATGTGCGACTGAAGAAATGAAAAGCAGAAGGATGACCTTTACAAGGGAGGCAAGCAGAATTGTTTGAAAGCCAAAAACATCGGCTAAGTTCCTCCAGGACCTTTAACACTGATTTCATTATGGAAAAAGGATGACCTTTTGGGATCGTCGCTGCCAAATGCGTCGCACATCAGAAGAGAAAGGATGACCTTGGGATCGCCACTGCCCAAACGAGTCATCAAATGAAAGGAGAATGACCTTACCAGGAGGAAGCAATCAAGCTTGTCTTCGGACGTCCCTCCATGACCTTTGAAGCATCTCAGTATTACGAAAGATGTACGTTGATACGCAAAGAATCCAAAGATGAAGAAGCAGTATTCCTAAAGTCGTACATCGATACGCACTTATTCCTAAAATCGGACCTCATTTGTGATGAAAAGATTGCTCACAGAGCGGAATGGGCCAAAGCGGATTACGGTTGACAGGACCCAGTGACCTTTACGAGTCAGAGGATCCTAGTCTTCTTGATTACGAATTTTGTTGATATTTTTTATTGTTTACTTTTGTTTACGAGATCTCTTTATTCACATGTAAGATGGAATTTTGTGATGATAAAAGGAGAATGAATCTCGATGTTTTTTTTAACCATACAGACGAGCCGTCAAGGATTCCCAAGGAACTGGAAGTGCTGGAAGGGAGGGAACGGAGCTCAGCATCCCTCCCAGAGGCATATGAGCGCAGGCGTACTTAACGTACACCCTCGCTTGGCAGTCTGTTGTGTTTTGCTGCACGCCCGCCTTACGCGTGGCAGTGCCTTGGTGTTCTCCGTGCCACCGCACAGTGTGACGATTACGTGCGCTTGCTGTAGTCAGCAATGCGGAGTTGCACATTCTGAAATTCTTTCGAATTTAGTCTTGTCATAAATCTCTAGCAATCACGCCATATTTTCGCTTTCCATAGCGTAGGCGCTTATAGCATCGACAGATTTGTTTGGTAGACGGAGTTACGTCAACTCCGATTTTACGACGTGAACCTTGCCAGGTTCCCGTCTCATAAACAGATGTGCGTGCTGCTTCACGTGCTGAGTTCGATGCGCTGTCATCCCTGGGTGGCAAGACGTGTTAAACACCCACGTGCCCACTGCCCAGGGTATGCGTACACGGGCACTTTATGGTCGCGCATATTATGCCTTTGATCGGGCCAAGCCTCCAAGGTAGCTCGTCCTAGCACAGTATAGGTACAGACAACCCGACATGCAAGCTTGGTTTGATCCAAAAAAACTCGCAATGCAAGTACCACACTCCACAAAAAATAAAAATGCTTTTTCTTAAGGTGAAGGTTAGGCAAATAATTACAAAAAGTCATCAAATGTTTTGGAGCATGTATCCAGCTAAACAATGTGTAACCCACACTTCAAAAAAAATCCGGCTCCAAAACAATGGATTCTTGACTTCAAACGTAAACAAAACATTTTCAGACCTCTAGCACGACTGGCAAGTATTATCCCCTGAGACGGATCTGAGTTACGCAGCTGCACTGTTCTGACCGATTGAAGCTACAGCGCTGTGTCTTCCCTACGCTCTGTCTCTCACTGGCGTGCGCAGCCTAGTGTGAGCCGGTCAGGTCGGCTTCCTTGGTAGCGTCAGTCACATATTGTTTATAATTTTCATATTTTATGTTTGTTTCGCTACTGCATTAATACTATTGTACATAATTCAACGAAGTGCTATCCAGGATAACAGGTTGGGTACTAACACGAAAGTGCCGAAGTTTGAGAAGTGCAGCTTAACGCGGGAAAAAGATATAGCGTTTCAAAATTTTTAAAATCAATTTTAAAATCTATAAAAATTTTTTCGAGAAGCTGTAATGGGCACTTTTTGGGAAAAGCCTTTTTACGCAATCGATCCGCTTAGGGGGTAACAAAACTTCGAAGCGTTCGATTGCAGTTCAACGATACACGTTTTGTTTACAGGCTGCTGTTTGCCTAACCCTCGCGTTAAGGTCCTTATTAACATTACCATGTACATTGTACAATAAATACTGCAACGTGCATAAGTTCGGCTTGGATTGAACCAGCACCAAATCCATTCATCCATTTCAAAAAAATCGAGAGAGAACAGAGCCATCGAAATTTATCGCAAAACCACTTTCTAACGAGGTATCTAACACATTTTGCGAACAAAAGATCTAATTATTCCGACTTCCTTCGTTCCTGAAATCTGGAGAATAAAAACAGAATGCCTAACTATTCCACACATAAGAAGTTACCTGCCAGAAACAGCTGCGTGCAAGATGTGTGTACGCGCAGCTACCAAACCGCTAGCTAAATGGTGGTTTCGGTTAAATGACAAGCAGATGAGCTTCTTGCATAATCCATTCATCCAGACGATCGTTGATGCGGAACCAGCATTCGTACACACCGGCGTGTTCCCTTGTGACATTATTTATCTTCATTATGGAATTGCATCCGCACCGTTCGCCTCTGTCGAACTCAAAGTGTCCACTGAAACCATACGGCGACCTGGCGCTATCTTTAACTTGCGGGATGGACTTAACCAAAAGCAAGTATCTTCCCTTGCGCCACAAAAAGCGGGCCGTCAGGTCGCCGGGCAGGTAATTGAAGCGAACCGGGCAGACTATCTTAGCTGGGTCGCCGTAGCGGACGGTGACGTTCTGCATCGGCGGATCGAAGACGTGGTAGCGAATGTGTCGCGGAGTGACCCAGTAGCGCCGTGTCACCACCAGCTGGCTCCCGTTAGAGTGCAGGCACTCGTACAGGCCGGTGTGGGCGTACGTGAAGCGCTCCAACGCGATGGAAAACGCACCCGTCGCCGGATCATACCCGGACACCCGCAGCCTCGACCCAAGGTGTTCACCGGTACAAATTTCTTTGGTACAGTTGCAACAAAACTTCATTTCCTCGGACGATTCTCTTGTAATTTCCGCATTTTTGATAGTGAAATGCTCTCCGTTGTATGTGAAGGCCGGCGGAATCGCGATATGGGACACCTGTGTGTAAAGCCGGCAGTCGTTTACTTGAACAAGTCTGATGGAAACCGACAATGTGAAAATAACTTCGCAAACCCGAACCGGTTTGTAACTTGTAATATTACTGTCTGGCACATTGTATAAACGTTTTAGGGCGAAAATTTGTTTGATGTTCCTTGACGCATTAGAAAGACGGCTCTTTCAATTACATATTGCGACTCCTATCTCGTTTTAAGATTTACATAATCTATGGCACGGTACGAAGTCGTCCAAGTCTACTTTTAAGTGCACCCGTTCTAGAACGACGCTTTCTAGTAGCTACCGGTATGTTCTGAAAGCGAACAAGAATGCACTGACTGATGATAATGTCTTGTACGTGTACATACTTGCTTCTTGTTCGCGTTGCTACAAGGAACGAAAAGTGTGCCGCCTTCTGGCGCTCGAATGATCTCCGTGTGTGGCGGCCATTCCGATATTGGATAATTCCGCGTCGACGGACCGCTCCCATAGCCGTGCAGGTGCATGATGCCTTTGTCGTTGAGTTGTTTGGCTTCGTTCAAAAGCTGGTTCACTAAACAGAAATGTATGGTTAAAATAATGAAAGTAAACGCAACAGGTGACAGCTGCATGTTTCTTGCTCTCCTTGGAGGCGGGCATTGACGGTGACGCTGCGGTGACATTTTGTATGACTATTTAGGGTACGACCGTACGAATACGACGTAGTACTACAGATGCGTACAACCATAATAATACTAAACTAATCATTATAATGTTACTAGTAGACCCCGCGCAAATTGCGCGGAAGAAATGAACTACAGATTAAGTACCTGGCTTATGTGATTTAAGGGAGTATCATTTCTAGGTTATTTTCGAGCGAAATATAGGGTACACCTAATTCTTATAATGAATCCGACATTCAAGTCGGATTAAATGCTGTACATACTGCCCAGGACTGTATGTTTAAATAAAAATTATTTAATGAAATTGCATATTTTCGATAATTTTGCCAGACAATCGATCGCAGTTATGCAAGCACAAACTCACAGCAAATGGACAAATGCCAAAAAACGTATGGTTAATAATTATTGGTGTACTAATTTGTTATTATTTCCAAAAAAATTTAGTTAGATACTAAAAAATATTCGGCAGTAAACACTAATTTAAGTAAGTAGTACCCAATTCATATTTTCATTTTTTTCAGTTCGTATTTTTAAATTTCATTTTGCAGCTACAAAAATGATACTCAATCCTACAAAATTGTTACTCATTAGTCATTACGGTAATTTTAGAACCACGGACACTGGAAGTTGTCTTATTCGTAGAAACGGGATGCCTCGCTTGCTGCTCCGCGAGCTCGGCTTGCGCCGCAGCTCGGCGTAGCCTGCGGCTCCGCCTTCGGTTTACAATATAAAAAATACTTAACAGTACTATTTGAATTTTTATCTGCTGTTAAAACTGTAAATAAATAAAGTTAAAGAAATTTACAAAAGCTAATAATGCGCATTTGGTAAACATCACACAACACAGCTGTTTTCCCGTGTAGCAGTCAGTATTTACAACAGTAAATACCGTCCCACCCCATGGACGGGTTGTTACAGGATATTGGAAAGTTTACCTATCCCTTTAACTGCAGCGATGACTAATTATTATCAATTATTTTTAATTATTATCAATTTTCCGATCTATTTCTTTGTTTCCAGATCGGTCACCAATCAGTTGATATTCGTGAGTTGCTGAACAGCCAGCACAGGGACTCGCTAATTGATAATTATCAGAACTTGTTCTCCCTTTCCGTTTTTACTTTAAGCTGCAGACTATCCAATAGCAGTTTATACGTAGCTGATTCTAAATCCCTATTTGACCACTAACACACCACGATTGTCCGTTCAACTCCGTTGTATCCGTAAAAGATACTCATACAATAATAGTCAACTTTTTCTATTCTTTTAACTACAGAACACAGCTCGTAAACCACCTTAAATAAATATGACAGAAAAATTTCATTGTGTGTATTCCACCTTATTTTTTGCAATTCACATTTCACGCCACAATCCAGCTCCTCCACAGTCCACACCCGTTTAACCTATAAATCGAATACGATTTAGGTTGTACAGCTGCACCGTCGGGATCACACACTGCTGTTGTTTTGAAGAAAACCTTAAGATGCCAATCTGGCCTTTCTGGGACAGTATTTTTACGGAAAACGAAAAATTCGGAAAATTCGGCTTTCTGAAATCACAGACAGATCAGCAAGAAAGGCAATCGCGCCCGCCCGGGAAGGCGCTTTACAGTAGAACTGCGCGAAAACAAAGTGAACCACTGCGGAGAGCAGCTACTGAAAACACACTATGGAACCGTCCAACATTCGTAGAATCTTCTCGGCCATTTTTGTTCAATTTTATTTTTCAAAACTAAATCTTGATGGGAACATTACAGACTACAAACTTAGAGCGATGGAATATAAGCTGTATGCACTATGCAACATGGAGTTCCATTCAAATGCAGCGGTAAAAAATGCGTGTTGGCTGTTGAGGCAGTGGTGGGGTGCTCGGCTTAGCAGTGGTGGGTTCTTAGCTTTTTTCATAAGCTTTGTATGTTAAACTTTTTGACAGTTTTCTTTCAACTCTAAATTTTATTCCAAAACTGATTTGTGATGGCTAATCTACACATTAAGGGCTATCGAATGATATATAGTCAGGGTGGTTTGGATCAGTGCGTCGAGCTGGCGAACTCAACAAAGATTAAGGCTTACGCGATTATTATATAGAGATTACTAACTAACACCCATAATATTATTGGTTACTTAAGTAATAATATGATGGTAGAGCTCATACAAGCACTTTACATACACCGCACCGAGAACACCGGTGCGGTGTACTCTGTATGTAAAGTGCTTGTATCTCGTACAGCGCTTTGCTTGCCTTGCCTAGCAGACATTATTGTCACGGGGATACTGCTACTTTTAAACTTGCCGAAATTATCTATTCTTAGACGCTGTTCTTAATATATAATTCTACAGTAACGAATGACCGGTTTGAACTTTGATCTGACAGCGACCGAACAACCTAGGGAAGGACGATTACCGGTAGTCGATGAGTGTCCAAGGGCATTTGCACTGTATATGCAAGGTTGTTAACGGTGAAATTTTTTACCGGTTCGCCGGTGAAATCCGAAAAATCCCGGTGAAATTTTTTGAAAATGGTGTCGGTGCAACCTTAAGAAAAACTGCACCGAGCTCCACCGGTGGCCTTAAATTAATAGGCCTTGTCAGAAGAACATTAAAAAAATTAATAGGCCTTAAGCGTAGCGAAAGTACTCTATATTCAACGAGTGCACTGGTAAAAAACGGCACCGTTAACAACCCTACTCCACACACTTTTTGGTTTTGTTTTATGACATTCTGTAGCAAATGATTGTTAATCATTTGGTCACTTGTTGATCATTTGGTCACTCCTGTACACTATGCAGATGTATTGACTGTATATGGACATCGGAGTTGAGGTCGTTCGATCGAAGACATCGCTTAGTCAACGGACATACAGTAAAACAGCATTTTGAATAGACCCGCAACCACACGGCATCCAGCAATGCTATCATAGCGGTTGAATACGGTGACATAGCGTAAGTTTCTAGCGTTACTTCCGTAGCAAACTTCCGCAACGGACAAAAACCGAAGTTGTGGTAACCGCTGTGTCGCTACATCGCGACACCCAACAATGACATCTCCGCGGTTAGGTGCATGACGTCATAGATCTTACTTCCGTTACCAGCTTCCCAAACTAACGCATTTCGGTAACAAACATCCGTACCGAACTTCCGTAACGGGCTTTCGTAACGGATAGAAATAGAAATTAGAAATCATCAGTCATTGCACTGGCATGCAATTTGAAAACATTGCGGTGCAAAATGAAAAAAAAGGTACAGGCGGTGTGGTTTCTAAGAACAGCCACACCGATGCGTATGGGTAACCGCGTTGACGTACAGATACTCCGGTTCACCACCCGGCAATCGAAGATATCATAAATTCGTAATCGACCGAAGCGTAGCGAAGGTCTTCTGTGTTTAGCGACTAGTACAGTATGGAAAACGTGGTGTCCGTCCGTCGGTCACCGCCACTAAACGCGCATATGCGCAGTTGACTTTGCTATCAAATGCACGCTTGCGCGGTGGCGGTACATACTCACATCTTCGGTAACCTTTGGTATCCGTCCGTCGGTCACACCCACCGCCACATTCGTATATAAAAAGGGAGGGGCACAGAAGCCTTTAGTACTGACTGCTTAAGGCAGCTGTTGTGTGCTTTTTTAGTACTGATGCCCTTTCTACCAGTGCTCGAATTACTAAATGTAAGCATGCCGCCATGCAGATGTTCTTCTAAAAATTTTTTGACTTCTTTGCCCGCTCCATTAGAATGTGTGTGGTAACTCGTACGTAAAGATCACGCTGCTCGCTGTGCCATGTGACGCGTGCGGCAAATAAAAGCAACTAAATTATACGCGCTGAAGTTTCCTAAAACATACAATTTTGAAACTGTCGTCCAGCAAGCCTAAACCGGCACAGCCATCCGTCGGCATCCGACACAGCCATCCATCCGCAAATTATACCGGTTCTGAACAATTTACAATTAAAAGCATCTTAAAATAAGGAGTTTATTGAAACCGCAAAACTCGTCAAAGTTTTCCCGCATGCACATCTTCAAATGCCAGAAACTAAGAAAGGGTGACACTATAGCCACCCTTTTCCGCACCCCGTTCATTATGAGCATTCTTTTTACAATTATTTAATTTTTTATAAGCACCTTATTTTTTTACAGTCACCCTTTTGCAGCTAAGTGCGTTTCTGATCAACACGATAACACTCGTAATGTGATACACTGTATCAGATACAGTGTTGTACCTACAGTATAATCAGTACGAGTATAATGTGTGCGTTACATACGGAGCCGAAAGTGACCGTAGACGCTCGTGATCGCTCAGGTGCAGAAAGCACTTCTTCCGCACTGAACAAAATGTAATCGAAAGGTGTCCCACTGTCCCACTGACAGCGTCCACCAGTGGATGTGAGAGTAAAAGCCCTACGGATAAGCGACAAATATGCAGTGGTCACAACCTACTACCACCCGCTCGCTGAGGAAAAATGGAAGAAACTGTCACAGTTAACGACATCGCCAACATTCGCATCAAAGCGGAAGTAAGTGACCGAGGGAGCAAAGCTAAAAAAATGCAGATGACGAGTGAAGTGAAATCTGTGTCGAAAATCCGAACGGTTTTATTAAAATGATAATTCCCCTACTAAAAGGTCATGAATATCACTATTATTGCCTCGAAATGCAGAAAAACTTAACATACGTTTAGCTAAAAAATAAAACGGGTGGCTATAAAAACCAACAACTGAATATATATCTAATTAAATGCTAATAAAAGTTGCCTATAAAAAAACATGGTGCGAAAAAGGGGTGGCTATAAAAACGAGGTGAAAAGGAGTGCACATTTTACTGCGGTAGTTTAGGTACTATTTGAACCAAAAGGGTAGAAGAGGCCCCAAAAACGAATTGTTACCATGCGCCCCTACAGGCTTGGGTGTAAAATAACTCGGATGCTGCTGTAATTTGTCGTTATTATGAACTTGGCCATACTTCGCGCTAAATTTTAATATGTTCGTGCGTGACCGACGGATAGAATTATGCGTGACCGACATGACCGACAAAAAGTCCCGTTTGTTTGAACATAGAGGACCTTCGCTTCGCTTCGGTCGATTACTGCCTGCTAGGATTTTCGAAATTTGCGACTGTTACCCGTAAGATTGTTTTTCAAAAATTGTTTCCCGGAGTCAGTGCCAAAAAGTGTTTTTGAGCGTAAACAGCAAAAAATTTTGGTGCATGCAAACAAATTTTGTGCTATGTCCCGGTTTACTTGCCTTGAAATATTAGCCTGGCAAGAATTAGGTGGTTCTAAGAAGTAAGAACAGCCAAATGCCCATTTGCCTGCGTGGTTTTACTGATTAAAGGTTTTTTTTGTACCATCCATTTCGTAACATTCATTTTACTACTGCTCTAACTTGGTTTTTTGTACCATCCATTTCGTAACATCTATTTACTACTGCTCCAATTTGCTGCTTGTCTCTAAGAAATAAAATACAGCTAAATACGATAACCGTAAACTTCGTATAAAGCACCGGTACCGGAAACGGTCTGAAACTTTTAATGTAAGGATTGTAAGCTATTTATAATGTATTCCTGCTACGTTTCGGTCGTGCGCTACATCGGTGCGGTGTCAAAAATTGCGGTGCGATTTTCGATTTCGTCACACCGTCTGGTGGGGTTTTTCGCTTTAGTCCGAAAAGCTAGGTGCGATTTCTTGTAAAAAACCGCACCGAAGCTACACCAGTGTACACTATACACCGCACCGCACTGTTAACAACCCCAGACCACTGTGGAGTGCGCGAAAGTGAAAGTTTTCGCGCATCTACACGAATTTGATACCATGTACTGCGTACATTTACTTCCCTTAACAGCCTGAACATCTGCTCTTCCGCAGCCTTCTTATGTAAGTGAGATAAACCGGGGTTTTATTTAAGAAGTCCGTAAGCTTAATACTAGAAAATGCTTAATACCTGAATGAATATCCCACCGCAAACTTAGCTTCTCCGCTTTTTTGAAAACGTCTTTCAAAACGATACTTATTAATTAAATGCAATTTCCAGGAAACTGGGACGTGAGCAGTAGCACTACAACCTTGCAGCATGTGAGAATTCATAAGACGTGCTTTTTCCGTCAACCCACAATGTGGTTTTTCTTGTGCGGATCTATACCTCCACCTCGTGCTCAGGTCTACCAATGCATGCCAACGTGCGTTTTTCTAGTAGAAGATGTGCAGCCTAGGTGAACTTGACTAGCCTAGCATATTTGATGTTCTTCAACGGATAAGAATATGTGAGAGTGCCCGTTTACGGGCTTGGCTACTCGAAAATAAATCAATCAATCAATCAGGAAATCAAATTTTTTCGGTAAAATTGCCTGCATTTTGGGCTTTGTTGCACTATATTTGCTCGAACACGCATCAAAAGGGAAGACACGATCGTCGTGATTGCAGATTGCACAACTATTTTACAAAAATTCTGTTTCTTCCACTTCACAGTTTTTCAGACATAATATACCAGCTGTATACAGAGACAGCGCGACTGGTGCGCTCCGCGGTGCTCGGGCACAGTGCGGTGAAATACACCACGGTGTAATTTCAAGATCCTCACCGCATCGACGGTGAATCTTTTACTGTATTTTCACAAGTTTAAGGAACGCCCCAGGGGCCGGGCCGCGCACACGAGTTGTCGGCCCCTTTGAGATCAAAGCCGACCGGCGGTCCGGCTACGCTGGCCACGCCCCCACCATGTACCTTAAACTTCTGAAAATACAGTAATACTTATCAGCGTTGTAGCTAGTTCAAAATTACTGAAAAATTTCAACGCGTTTTCACCGCACCCTATCACACCATCGATGATTAGCAACCGGCGACCCTAGCTCTGCGGTGGTTCGTCACAGTCATGCACATGTACAGAGTGTAATGAAAGCTGTATGCGCGACATTTTTTGCCGGGACGATTAGAGAACATAGTTGCTCTTCAAAACCTGCGAAACTACCAAACGTACTTCTGTCCACAGGGCGTCCGTTGGTCTTAGTCGAACAGCCAAAGCTGTTCTGTACGCAGAAAGCCAGCATAACCACGATAGGCTTCCCGTTCTTCTGAGCCGAACAGGCGAAATTCCCCTGCACGCAGGAGGCCAGGAGAACCACGGCAGCAATGACGAGAAAATTACTCATTATCGCAGATTGGGTGGGATTAAAATGATAAAACAGTAAAATAAATAAAACATTAACAGCTAAAAATTTCTACAAATTCACTCGGGAAGAAAATGAGACCACGTGTCGAATGATAAGATAAGTAATTCGTGATTCTCGCCGGGACTGCAGACTGGCAGTGTGTCATTTTGATATCACTAACTACAGGAATTTTCGCAGTGCGCCAAAAGGGGAAATGCGCATGCGCCATGTACTTAACACGCGAAAACGGTCGCACGTAGGCGTTCTATAATACCACGGCCCTTGGCATCGCCGCACAATTTATAGGGCACACTTTTTTATCAGGTATGTGTCGCCCAATTGGTAGAGCTTAGTGTCCTATTAATTTTCATGTGATTGCCGCATTAAAAAAGCAGAATAATGTGCGAACTCGCGCTGTTTAAACAATGCCAGGAAAAGCGGCAGGAGGAGATCGCCCCAGATCGGCAAGAAAATGTTTCAAAGTACGGGCGAGAGTCGTTCAACTTGTTTGTGTTTCACCGTTTACCATTTGCAAGTCTGGAAAAAATGCGTGGGAATATTACGAGTGTTTTGTACACAGTCCCATCTCATGTTATTGGGGGCAAATTCCTCGTCTGAGTGTTTTGATTGAGCGAAGCTCGCCAATGTATATAATGCGATTGAAGTTCCAGTTAGAACGATGCCACCGAATACATAATAATTCAAAAATTTGTTTAAATATTTCCAGATATCAGTTAATATAAATACGCCAATTTCAAGCATACAGACTCGCAAAAAAAGAGCTTTATTTCTTGGCAATACATCCTCATCACCGGGGAAAAACATGAAAAAATAATAAACTGTTAAAACACACACGGACACCGACACACACATCAGTCGACATCGACTGTACTTGTCACAGCTGCGCGCTTTCGCACGCCGTGAAATTAATTGGCATGCTTTCCAAAAAACATCTGGTCTCACACCGGCGGAAAGCACAGTATGGGGAAAAAAATTTGTTCCATCAAACGGTGGAAGGAAGGAAGAAAACAAAAAGAGTCATCAAACTCAATGAACCTCGGCGCTCTTGCCCGTAATGTACAGTAAAAAGTAGGCCAAGGCCAGCAGACCGGTGCCGGTCAGATCGCCCAGCGCCGTCAGATACGGAATCGTCTGGTTATCCGGATCTGCAAAAGCACCAAGTCATACCGTCAATAATACTGCGGATGGTGATACATAAGGCGGACAAGTAGATCAATAATAAAATTAATAATCTAAACTCACTTCAAGTAATAAATAAGCAACAAAATGGAAGGTATATGCACTAAATCAATTACCGATTTAAAAAATGTCGCTAAAAATAATAAATAAACTCATTTAAGAGAGCTCACTAGACGAAGAAAAATCCCCATATAAAATAATCATGGGAAACCGCATTAAAATAAAATAAGATTCCCATTAAGTTTATGTGTAAATTGTGTAATCCAGGAATTTTCCAAATGAATAACAAGTACGCATTAAAAACACTAATGATTTTACCTGTTATTAGTATTATGAATAAAATCTGAACTGAAATCTAAAATCCACACTGAAACTGAAGTTCTTGAACAATTAAGCAAAATGAAATTTTAACAATGAATAATTACAATTTATTTTAGTTTATTTATAACTGATTATCTTAATTTAAGTAGCAGTAATTTAAATTCAAATTTTTTGATAATTTTCACACAATTAAATTTGAGCGAAGTACCTAATCCACGTTTCCAGGCGAAATGCGTGAGGACATCGGAGAGGTAGAGCAGCATGGACACCTGGATGAGGGCCATAATGATGAAGACGACGGCGAAGCGCAGCGAGATGACCGCGGAGGCGTCCTTGGCGAAGGTGACGACGAAGAGAAAGACCAGATGCCCGGGAACGACAAACATGAGCAGGAGTCGGGCGGTGCGGGCGTTGACGTTGGAGCGCGAGCAGAAGGTGTTGCAGGGGCTGGCGCAGTAGCGGTAGCCGGGCGGGACGTGGCCCGGTGTCTTGTAGGCCAGGTGCAGGTACGTGGCGATGCGGCTGCTCTGCACCGACACTAAATTCCCTCCCACGCCTGCAGTTAACCAACTAATTATTACCGCTATTTTAATTTTTATTCTAAAATAATACACATTCTGCTTTGAACGTTTTAATAGATTAATAAGAATTTGCGTTATTAATTATTCTACTATATGAATCCTTAAAAAATTTGACCAATTTTTAAAACTACTGGGCTTATTTTTGTTCACTTATTTTTATTTACTTCTGCTTATTTGTATTCGTAACCTCATGTGTAATATGTATGGTAAATCGTAACAGGGAGCCAACTCTAAAATTACGTAAGAAAACCATACATTTTTTTTATTATCACTCACATATAATAATTTGGCGATCTGCCAACGCTAGTTTATAATTTTAATAAAAATGGTTTATATGTAAAAACAAATTACCACTGAACAGATGATCCAACTTTCTGATATTTTTACAATTAGATTAGTTTTTCAGGACTTTTTTCTGAATTTCTCGACTAATTTACCGTTGATAAGAGGCTGGAAGACGGCCAAGCCGGTGAAGTACGTGCCGGTGCTGACCACCTTCTCCAGAATAATACCGGAACAACTGCTGATAATCATGGCCATAATCACCGGCACCCACCCGTGCACCAGCACGTGCCGCGTGGTGGGCTCCTTAGCAGCCAGCCACGCCCACAACGGCACCAGGCACACCAGACAGCACATGGCCACCACCGGCCCCACCAGCCAGTACGACGTTTCTACAATAAAACCCCGCCAATTAATGGTAGTCGATTGCCTCAACCGCGTACGCCTCCCCGGGCGGCTGGCAAAACTGCTTGCAATGTTATGAAATCAAAGGCCTCCACGAATTTCAGGCGGATTTCTCCAGACTTGTATGCTATTAACTTTAGACGCTTACATCTCGCTAACTGTGGGTTCAACCTATATAACCAATATTCCAAAACGCAGTAAAAATACGTTGTTGATACCATGCATTCCAGATATTGGAGATATCCGAATTGTTGCCATTTAGTTTTTGGGAGGCGTACGCGATTGAAGCAATCGATTGCTATTACTTAATTTCACAACATTACTGCTACATTCTGCGTGTAAATAAATTCCAGTAAAGCTAACGTTAATTTTACCTTGCTAGTTGCCACTGATGATTTATTTGTTTGATTTATTTGTTATTTGCTTATATTTTGAAATTTAACTTCGATCAACAAGAGAAACGTAATCGGATTAATATTTATCAACCAAAATTAAAGAAAACTAAAAAAGCATTTAAATTATTTAAAAAATTCATTAATCCGAGGTTATTTATTTAAATATTTTCGTTCACCAAATTTAACCTAAATCAACAAAAGCAATTTAAACGTGTTTGAAAGTTAACGAAACAATAAAATTACACAAAATGAATTAGTTAGTTTAAATTGAATCTGATATTTCTACACCAATAGCGAGAAAAGTATAAAGAAAAACGTACCAAAGGCACTGTAGAAGAGATAGCTAAATCCCGCCAAAATGCTCAGCGTCAGCACGTCGCCAATGGTGCCGGCCACCGGTGTGGCGATGTTGTCGGGATTCAGTCGAAAGCGCTTGGCAAATAAAACAGTACTAATCATCACCGTATCTGTAAACACAAACAACACACACCGAAAATTAACCAACATTCTTCAGGTCAAGGAATAATGGGCGTTGCAATAAACGCGGTTATCGGAATTCGGAATCTCGCCAAACTAGTTATGAATTATGATTACCCGATTCTGCGTACACGTTAAACTCAAGCCAAAAATTTCTTTTCCAAGCGCTATTAATAATTCCTGCCGAACTTTCGTTAGCATAAAAATGCATGCGGCAAAAAAATGTTGCATGCAAGATGTTAAATTTTCCATGTAAAAATACATTTTCCTATGCAAATAACAATTTTAATATAGAGAAAAATGTCACGGTGCGAAGGAATAAATTTGCGTATGCAGAAAAAAAATTTTATATCAACATAAAATTTTTATAAGGTGAAGTATATTTATAGCCAGAAATTCTGTGGTTTCTTGTAGGAAAAACTTGTGGCTCACCTTGAAGGATACTGGTGGAGCACGCGGACAGCATCGCGGTGCCCACCATCAAGATAACATTCCTCGTCTTCACCTCCCCGCCGTGATTAATCGCGTACATAATCACCGCCAACATGGACGCCAAAAAGCCCACCCCGGTCGACAGGACCTGGTTGAGCGCCATATTGCACCCGATAATCCGCCATTTCCGCCGAGGACTCTCAAAGCCCCCAATATTCACCTACAATTCACAAATAACAATCACATTTCATGCGATCCATATTCCATCCTTTATCTCAAATTTAAAACGGTTTGAAACGCAAGAAAATGATGTGTCAATTGACATATATAATCTACCGTCATAATCAGCGGGAAAATATAATAAAAAGAATTGTGAGAATTTGTTCACCGCAGACTGACAGCAGCGAGCAAAAAGCCGAAAATCCGAAAGGAAATTCAATTAAATAATTATTTTCCAAAATTCCTTATCAGTAAAATTGATGCTCTAAAGTAATATAATTCAAATTAAAGTCAACTCAAGCGGCGTAAAGGAAAAACAGATATGACTGGAAAAATATATGAACGCAGAACGCTAAATAAGAAAAACGGTACATAAGAAAATTTATTGAGACAATAATTTTTAAAATTCAATGCAAACCAGTTTCATTGTAACCCATTTTCAATCGTTATTACAGTAATTTATCCTTGTAATTACCTGCGTGGATAGTCGTGACGCCAGCGTCATCTCCAGATTCCCTTTCAACCCCAGCAGCGCCGGCACCATAATCAGAATCTCACTAATCTCCACGAACACCGTCCAACTATTGGCCTGATCCAGCAGGATCCCCGCGCCCACCATCCCGAACCCGGCCAGGATGAACGGGACAAATATCTGCAGGATCAACCCCTTCAGCTTCTCCTTCCCAATCGGGACCTCCACCACCAACGCGTCAATAATGGGAATATCATTGGGCATGCGCGCCGCCGTCGACACATCCTCCACAATCTCCACCGGCGGCAGTTCATGGTCGACGTGCGCCGGGAGGACGTGAAAGGCGTCGTAACTTCCGGCGTCCCGTAGACTCATCGATTTATCATCATCACTGTGGAAGGCGTCGTTGGAATACCCGCCGCCGCTCTCCGCATCCCGCCCGCTGCTGGGGAGCGGCGTCCCCGACATCTGGCTAATGAGGCTGTTCTTGCGGGCGTTGGAGATGGTGGAGGTCTTGCGGGACGTGGTCCCGGTGGTCGGGGGGAGTTTCTGGACGCCCGGGGACTCTTCCAGAGTGGGGGAGAAGGGGATGAATAAGGGATCGAGGGCGGAGGAGATTTTGGGGGAGGCGCGGTGGACGAGGGTCATCTCGTTGTCCAGGGATAGGCTGAGACTGCGGCCCGGGGGCGGGCCGGCGTCCGGGACCGGCCAGTCCGGCTCGCCGGGTGTGTCACTCTCTGCAAGGCATCAACAGGTGTCAGGCGTCAAGGGATGGAGAAAAAATGTCATAATAACAATGGAATTTTGCTACATTGGAATTATAGGCGAGACAGGTCGTTAATTTTAAATAATGACGCGGATATCGCTGCAAATTTCGATAATTTTTGTGAGCGACGCCGGAAGGGAGAACGTTGCGAGTACAATGTTTCACCGAATCATCCCATCATGTACTGTCTGCTTTTACAATTTTTAATCGTCAAAAAAATGATTTATAAATTGTACTCTTTTTCGAAAATAGAAACCAAAAAATTCATCTAACCATCCGTAAATAAATTCTGTATAAAAATCTGAATTTTATTTTAATAAATGATAAAAAATTAATTAGTCATACCGACTCATACGTAAAAAACAGCAAGTCCCGTGCTTCGCCACGTGATGTGCGGAGATCGGAATTACATGCATGATGCATCCGCTAGCTACGTAGCTTCGCATCGCATCAGTTAAAAAAGCTGGAAAACATTCAAACAGGAAGCTGGTTGAAATCACAAAGAAAAGGCGGCATATTACACACTCATAAATGCCGGCAATGCGTTATGTAAGATCGATAATAATTTTTAATAATCATATAATAATTTTATGATCATATAATAATTTTTAAATCCTTTTAATAAACTTAACACCCGACAATCACTAAGATTTTTAATTTTCACAGTTTCTCGAATTACTGCACAAAATAAATTTCCAAATAAGTACATGCAAACATTTTATTTGAAAGAAATAATTCGTTTGCTGAATGGATTACAATACCTCGGCGATACGGCATTTCGAAAAATAGGATTGGAGATCAAATCAATACGCCGTTGTAACGCGCCACAAAACTATCTGATCAGCGGATTTTTAATCAGCAAAAATTCTTTCATTAGAGAGGTGAAACAAAATAACTGTTGCCGGAAGTAACGCTGTCAACCCCATAAAAAAACACGAAAACACGCACACAACTCTGCAAGTATAATTACTAGAATAAATAATAATCAAAAAATAATTCACCTGAATTCAGAATAAAATAACCAGAATTAATCGACTACAGTGTATAAAACTTTTCCCTGCTGAGAAACTATCGGCCTTCACATGGAAAGGGACTGGAAATTATTAATTACCAGCGGCTCGTAAGGAGAAACAAGGTGGTTTGTCGCCGCGGGCGCAAAACCAGTTCAAGCGCACGACGACAGCCGAACCAGTCAAGTTTTTATTACCAATTAAGATGTTAGCCGATAAAAACGGACAAACTACCTGCAAATTTACTGTATTATCATTATCCAATAAAAAATTACCAATATTCTGTCAATATGCGGAGAAAACAGCGTTTTGGCGCAAACAAACTGCCGTGTAATGCTTTGCGCTGACGAAATCTGCTGATTCAGATACGCGGTGTATACGTTTTGCCGTCCACTTCCCGTTAAAGCATTTAACAAGCACGATTTTGTTACTACACCATCAAGTGCTAACCACCCCGAAAACCACTTGGAAAAATGGACAATCATTCCCGGTGTGATGCAATTAACCCCGCTAATTATTATTGCTGACGAAAGGTTTCTGTAGATGCCTTACATCCGTGTTTTGCAGCCATTTACCTCCCTACAAAATATTTTAACATAAATTATCCAAGAAAATGTCTGAAATTAAAACGCCAAATGTCAAAGGCGCTAAAATTTAAAATGTGTTAAATAAATGAACATTATTACAATAAACAAACGGCGTATGGAGTAGCAGTCGAAAGTTAAAGCAAACGTTCAGGGAAGAACCACATTTTCTTATTAAAAATTTTTGCCGATTAATGCTAATCCCTTTCTTTGATAATTCAGCCAGCAACCTGTTGATCGTTTGTTACACGCTCACATGAAAATATTTCTACCGAAAAATATTCACATGAAAATACAGTATTTGCATTTCACATGAAAATATTTATACCAAAAAATATTTAGAAACATTTCAGGAAGACGCGAAATATGCTTTGCTAAATGCAGACTAAAAATTGGGAAGAGCAGATGTAACAGGATGTATTTAACAGGATTTTTAATGAAAGCGAAGTCCGAATATCCTGACAGCAAACATGATCTGCGATTTTACAAAATATCGTTGATTTTAATGTTAGTTCAACATTGAAAAAATTAAAAGGAATTAAATTTATTAAATCTAAAAAAAAATTCGAACAGTTCAAACAGTAAAATTAACTGAATAAAAACTGCTAATAAAAAATTACTTACTTAATAAAAATACAATAACTAAAAAATTCGGATAATGGCATCATAATGCTCAGAAAAAAACTTTTTTATAATTTTTATCGAGAATTTTGCCGCGTCACATTATTACTGTTCGCGCGACCTAAAGCAACACGAGTCTGCGACAAAATCAGTCAAACCAAGGAAAAGCCCAATACGACCTAAATTACGTAAACACCATCAAGAATAAATTATACAGCTGATGCTGCAACGCACGCACCGAACGACGAAGTGGACGTGGTGAAGTAGCGCTGCCGCGGCGGGACAGGGGGCAGCTGTGGCGGCTGCACGATGGTCTGCGCTGAATTGCGGCGGGGGACCACCGGGAGACCGACCATCTCCACCACATCATCCTGCAGGTACGCCTCGTTGCTGAAGCCCAGCGCCGTCTCAGCCGGGACTCCCGTGGCCGCGTTCACTGAATAGCCGACCATGCTGACACATCAATACACCAGGCACACGCACAAGACGTCCAAAACTGGGACACAGACTTATTCTATCCAAATAGTTTAAGCGTTGTGATTTATTCCAAGGACATCAACGATCACTTGATCAGCGTGATTTCAGACAGGTTCCTTGAGAATTATTAATGCAAACAGAAAGGACGCACCGTGTTGGAGACAAGCTAAAGATAGATGAATACTAAACACACTACATTGACTACAACACTGAACACACAATATTCAAGCACACTATAGGACGACACGTGAGGCAGTACGCGCGGCAGGGGTAGTAATAAAAAAGAGATGCATTTATTCGCCGCTGCGGGCCATCATCGCGTCGATATGGTATGGCTAAAATAATAAATGGCTAACGAGCCCAGCCAAAAACCCGGACGAACAAGAGTTTCCAATGCTCAATGAATAATTTGCTTGCGAGCCAAAACACTGCGGCAGTGCCGTACGCTGATTCGACGGTGCGTACACAGACGTGTCTACGTATCGTCCTTTGTACGAGCGCACTTGACCGGAAGCATAACTGCCGCCAAAAAACCATGAAATTAAAAAGCAAAATAACATAATACTCGTGTAGCAATAATTTAGTAACTAACTAATAATGCCACGGCTGCCACGGCTGTCTTGAGCACGTTACCTTTTAATCCAAGAGAAGATAGAGATTTTGGTGTTTTTTAATGTTTAAATTTTAACTATTAAGTAGTGTACCGGCGCTCGCACTCATTGTTATCGTGGTGGCTACTGCCCATTAAACATACTAATAATTCTGATTTTGTAACTATAAGAACCGGAATATAATTACTTTGCTTTGTTCGGAAAGTACTTACGTTAAAGTACTCGTACAACAATTACATTATTATATACAAAGTTCGTTTCCGGCTTGGTCAATGGCTACGCAAATAATATCTATACACAGTACTGTTATGGAAATTGTACGTCAAGTAGTCAACCACATAAAATTAATAGTAAATTTAATACGGACTGCACAGTCCGCAATCCGTATACCAGTACGTATGTACAATGTACTTACAATTGTTTTTGTAACTACCTTAATACTGTACCGCCAAATAAAAAATACAGGCACAACGTACTTAATCTGTTTATATAAATAGTAATTTCTTTAATTCGCATACTTTATCAGAATAATTAATATAATAATTAATATAATCAGAATAATTAATAATAAAATAATTAATACCACAATCGGCTAGTCACTAGCCGATTGTGGTATCTATATTAGTATTGTACATGGTATCACACTAGCCCTAGTGTGATAACATGTACATCAGTACATGCAGATTTGCAATGATGTACATGGTATTGTACTAGCCAACTGATACGTAGAAATAATTATCACTTACTTGATCGTATAATTGATTTTACTATTATTATAAAATTATTAGCACCGTACATGTCGTACTTTTACAGTTTACTCGTGTATGTAGTAATGTACATACTATGACGCTGCTTTCCGGCAAGATTAAGACGTACAGTAATTTTATTCCTCATCATCGTGATCGACGTGGTGCAAATCAGTGCACTTTGCCAGTTTTTTCATATCTAAATTTTGTGATCCTTTTTTTATTCTAACTTCAAAAAGATAGAGCAATCATAATAAATTATTCAACATGTACATGAGGTTTAAACTTTGAAGTTTGAACTGACGTTTCTTTGGTAAGTACTACCTACTCGTTCACTTCTGTATGGTGTTCTTTCTGTACGGTACAGTGACGTAACAAGGCAGCCAGTCACGTCTACTTTATCCCATTCTTCGCCTCGGTACGCCACAATGCAAGTGTTTGCAAAACTCAAAAGCGAAACCGGAAACGTCGGAGTTCGAACTTCGTACTGCCATTTTGTTATGCGTTTCTGATCGTCCTGTCATTCCTATGTCTGATTTTTCTGCTATAACACATTTACACTCATGCTAATAAAACCTCTGGATGAATTGTACTTGCGCTCTGCTTGATAGAAAATGCGACTAACGAGCTGGATAATGTCCTCTTATTCCGCAGCAGCGCTGCGAGATTTTCGCACACTGTTCGGCCGCGACATCGCTGCAGTAATTGGGGCCGTTCATGTTCCCGCTCTTCCCGGCACTCCTAAGCACTCTCAGTCCTTGGCGAGAATCATCGATCATGCCTGCGACGATGCAGAGAAATATCTAAAGCATGAAATGGTACGAAAGTGTTGCAAATGTTGATATGCTGGTCTAAACACGGTCACCTTCCGCTATGTTCTCTGTATCGTCAATGCGCTACCCTGTTTGTTCATACAGGGAATTAGTTGTGTTTCGTTGCATAAAGTGTACTGATGTTGTCTGCTGGTTTTCCGTTTGTAGCTGGTTTATTTCCCCAGGACGGACTGATTATCGAGAACACCCACGATATTCCCTACGTGAAAAGACAAACTGACGCCCGAGACGACAGCCAGTATGACGCGAGTGTGTGCGGAGTTACGCCAGCGTTTTCCCCGCATTCCGCTGGGTGTGCAGATCTTGGCGGGGGGAAATTTGGAAGCCATGGCTGTGGCGCACGCCTGTGATCTGGATTTTATCCGCGCGGAAGGATTCGTCTTCAGTGCCATTGCGGATGAGGGCTTCATGGATGCGTGTGCGGGTGAATTGCTGCGGTTTCGGAAGAATATCGGTGCGGAGAAAGTCAAAATATTTGCTGACATCAAGAAAAAGCACAGGTACCAGTTTTGTCCAGATACTTGTAATTCTGATTGTACTAATTTCTACGAGCTTTACGGAGCGCCGTTACTCGTTTCAATATATTCATTCGATCATAATTTTTGTTTCTCCCAGAAAGAAGAAATTGTAGACGAATTTCCTTTGAAGTACTGCAGTATTTATTTGTACTTTGATAGTTTAGCACGCGGTTTTGCTGCACTGATTACTGATATTAACCAAATAATTATTTTCATTTTGTTTTGCATTGATGTTTGCAGGACGCGTCTACTTTATCCCATTCTTCGCCTCGGTACGCCACAATGCAAGTGTTTGCAAAACTCAAAAGCGAAACCGGAAACGTCGGAGTTCGAACTTCGTACTGCCATTTTGTTATGCGTTTCTGATCGTCCTGTCATTCCTATGTCTGATTTTTCTGCTATAACACATTTACACTCATGCTAATAAAACCTCTGGATGAATTGTACTTGCGCTCTGCTTGATAGAAAATGCGACTAACGAGCTGGATAATGTCCTCTTATTCCGCAGCAGCGCTGCGAGATTTTCGCACACTGTTCGGCCGCGACATCGCTGCAGTAATTGGGGCCGTTCATGTTCCCGCTCTTCCCGGCACTCCTAAGCACTCTCAGTCCTTGGCGAGAATCATCGATCATGCCTGCGACGATGCAGAGAAATATCTAAAGCATGAAATGGTACGAAAGTGTTGCAAATGTTGATATGCTGGTCTAAACACGGTCACCTTCCGCTATGTTCTCTGTATCGTCAATGCGCTACCCTGTTTGTTCATACAGGGAATTAGTTGTGTTTCGTTGCATAAAGTGTACTGATGTTGTCTGCTGGTTTTCCGTTTGTAGCTGGTTTATTTCCCCAGGACGGACTGATTATCGAGAACACCCACGATATTCCCTACGTGAAAAAAGACAAACTGACGCCCGAGACGACAGCCAGTATGACGCGAGTGTGTGCGGAGTTACGCCAGCGTTTTCCCCGCATTCCGCTGGGTGTGCAGATCTTGGCGGGGGGAAATTTGGAAGCCATGGCTGTGGCGCACGCCTGTGATCTGGATTTTATCCGCGCGGAAGGATTCGTCTTCAGTGCCATTGCGGATGAGGGCTTCATGGATGCGTGTGCGGGTGAATTGCTGCGGTTTCGGAAGAATATCGGTGCGGAGAAAGTCAAAATATTTGCTGACATCAAGAAAAGCACAGGTACCAGTTTTGTCCAGATACTTGTAATTCTGATTGTACTAATTTCTACGAGCTTTACGGAGCGCCGTTACTCGTTTCAATATATTCATTCGATCATAATTTTTGTTTCTCCCAGAAAGAAGAAATTGTAGACGAATTTCCTTTGAAGTACTGCAGTATTTATTTGTACTTTGATAGTTTAGCACGCGGTTTTGCTGCACTGATTACTGATATTAACCAAATAATTATTTTCATTTTGTTTTGCATTGATGTTTGCAGGACGCGCTTGCAGTTTTTTAATTAAATTTAGTGTGGAAAACTTTTGTAGATTATAATTTGGTTTTAAAGAAAGTAGTAATAGACTAATAGTGTACTGTTAACCTAATCTGCTTTATAAATTTTTGAAAATAGATAGATATGCATGTACACGTGTATTAGTATCCTATTTTAGTTTTTTTTTTTGTTATTCCGAAGTCGTAATCTGTTACCTGTTTTATTTTGTATATGTGATCCATTTACTGGATTTTCGAGTTACCATGTGTTGTGTGTAGTGCAGTGGTTTATGAAACAGGCGAATGGCTTGTTGAAACTTGTGCTGCAAGTGTTTCAATCGCATGAATTCGCGTTTTTGCCTTAGTGTTTATTGTTTTTCCCCTCCACAATCTGTTCGTGGTTTTTGAGGAGTACCTGGTACTATCTACTCGTCGTATATGATTTTGCTAACATGAAAATGAAGTCAAGGTATTTCTCTGCACAGCTCGCACGCCATCACGGCTGACTTGACGGTGCACGATGTGGCGCACGCGGCGGAATTCTTCGCGGCTGACGGTGTGATTATCACGGGAAAAAGCACCGGCCAGGCGGCCGACCCACAGGTGTGGTACTCGCATCCTGACCCTGTCATAGCAGGTCATATCAGTTCTTCATTTCCGGTCAGTTTATTCATGTTTTCTTTTTATAGGAAGCAGCCGGTAAGAAATTTTGCAACATCGTTTGCCTTGGCTGTGCCTCGCTGCCCGGCATGGACATTTTAAAAACAGCAGATTAAATGATAAATGATTAATCTGGAAAAAATTAATACGTGTTCTCCCAAAAAGTACTTATGATAAATCATTTAAAAATGTATCTTAAAAATTGAGGTCGGTATTTGAATTTTTCGTAAAAGATTTTGTAACATGCAGATCCGTTGTCCATTTTTTCTCATTTTCAGAACAAATTATTGGCAAATATTATTAAGTTAATTTTCGAAGTATTAATGAATATTCTCCAAAAAAAAACTAATGCGAAATAATTTAAAAAAGGCGTCTGAGAAATTGACAACGGATCGAGACGGATTTATTTTCTGTCCGACAGTGTAATGCATTTTGCAGACGCCATGAAAACGAGCCATTTGCCGGTATTATTGGGATCCGGAGTGACGCGCGACAATCTGCACGCCTTCGCCAATCACTGCCACGGGATGATCGTGGGATCGGACTTTAAAGAGGGCGGGAAGTGGTACAATTCCGTGGACGAGCAGCGCATCCGCAGCTTCATGGAAACCCTGAAAAAGCTCAGGGAAAGCATGGCGAAACAGGAGACGCCATCGCACCGAAAGCCTTCCACCTCGGATTTTATTTGAGCGACTCATTGCTTAAATGGACGGCATTTATTCCTCCTGCATCATTTATGCCGATGTGGATTTTATCCTGTGTTCTTGAACAATGGTGCCCTTTTGTGTTTTTATATTTTGACGGTTTTGTGGAATTACTTTGTTTAACGATATGATTTTTTTTTCACAAAACATGTGTTACACTTTTACGCTGGTTGGTCCAAAATATTTCTTGTTGAATAAAATGCAAAAAGAGACGATACGAATTTTTGAACGTGTTTTGAGTATTCATTGGAATATCACTTTTTAAACCGCTCTAGATTAGCCTGATTAGGTACAGTATGTTTAAAATGTCCTCATTTTATTAGGGAAATCTCGACCAAATTGCGCAATACTCGCTTCAGAACCGGTTTTTTTCACATTTTTCCGTGATATGACCTATGAACTGAATTTTACGTATGAAATAAAATTAAATAAGTATACGTGCGTTCATAAATTAATAACATAGCTTACTCTTTAAATAAATTCAAAAATCAGAAAAACTGGAAAAGGTGTCCGCTTCGATATATGGCGCATCTCGCTGTTTCCATGTGCTCACCGGAAACTGCCACTGCGTTACAAACTGCCACTGCGTTTTCCGCAGAACGGAAAACTGCACTTCGGGCTTTTCCTCTTTGTCTATCCGAGTTTGCAACAGTTTGTCAGTTTCTAGAAAATTTACAATTTTGTTACTTATCATTTATGGTTACTTATCTACGTAGTACAAAAGTGTATTAGTAGTAAACTTAAATTACCAGGGAGTATACTGTATATTCGTTCATCTTGCGAGTTTGTAGGTCCTATTTTTCGTCTTTCGGTTTTCTTGTAATCTTGTTGCTGATTCGTTGCTGCTGCAGCCAGAATGTCTGCGAATCCCAGAAGCGAAGACCCCTTGAAGGCCTTCGAGAAGCTGTTTGGACGCGATGATACGGTGATTATCGGTGCTGTCCATGTTGACGCTCTTCCCGGATCCCCTTTGCACTCGAAATCCCTCGACGACATCATCGCGCACGCGTGCAGCGACGCAGAGAAGTATGTGAAACACGGCTTGGTAGGTCTGGCGAAGGCACCAAATAAAACCCGGCTGCACTACTATAAATCCTGGTATCTGGTGTAGTTTACCCGTTATCGGCTACATGGATATCTTGCATCGCGCCGGAATGATTTGGCCATTTTCGTCTTTATTCTGAGAATTTTGTCTTTCGTTGCAGGATGGGTTGATTTTCGAGAACACCAACGATATCCCCTATCTGAAACAGGAACGGCTGTCACCGGAGACGACCGCCTGCATGACGCGGGTGTGTGCGGAGGTGCGGCGCAAGTTCCCGCAGATGCCGATGGGTGTGCAGATTCTGGCGGAGGCCAATTTGGAAGCGATGGCCGTGGCGCAGGCGTGTGATTTGAATTTTATCCGAGCGGAGGGATTCGTCTTCAGCTCCGTGGGGGATCAGGGCATTGTGGATGCCTGTGCGGGGGAACTGCTGCGCTTCCGCAAGACCATCGGAGCGGAGAGCGTCAAGATTTTCGCCGATATTAGAAAGCACCACAAGTACGCCAGTACATTTTAGTTACCGAACGTTTTCACCATGTCTTCAAAATTTGTACAATTTTTAGTTATTTTATTTCAAATGATTATTATTCCCCAAACTTTTAGACTTGAATTTTTCACTTATTTTTTTAAGAGAAGTCATTGTACTGTTATTTGTCGTATTAACGTTCGAATTGAATTTGTGTTATTTTAGTGATTTTTAAATAATTTACGGAGGCAACTTTTCATGAATATATCTTTTTTTGAAAATATTTTTCCTTCTAACTATCCTGTCATCCTATCATGTTTCCATTTTATTTGTCGTATTTTTCGAATTTAATTTGTGCTATTTTAGTGATTACTCGAGTACTGTACATATGAGATAATTTACGGACAGGTTTTTTTAAAGAAATTCTCTTTTTACTCAGACAGAGTGATGACATTAAATTTTAAGAAAGGGCGCTACATATTTTCACTGAAATTCTCATTGTAAAAACTAAATTACTTCGTTTCAGTTTCTGGCAGGCTATGGAAGTGTGAGCTATCGTAGTACACTGGCTAATCAGTAAACTATGAAAACCACACTTTAAATGGCGCAGTACATTGTGTACAGAACAGTTGTTCGAAATTAATGTGCAGCGTAGTCACAGTGGAACGTACTTAGTACCGTATGACTGGGTGTAATACGGCTGTTGACTTTGCCAATTTTTTCTCCGATTTTTCAATCTTAGTGAAGGTTTTCTATTCGCCCAAAATTCTTAATTATTAGTACGTAATATCTGAAAAAATCTGTTAAATAAAAAAACTAATTTCGCGTTGTTCATCTTAATTGTACAAATAGATAAAATACAGAAGGAATAAAACTATTTTTAAAATTTATGTAAAGTATTGCCGCTGTTTTTTAAGCTATGGTTGTGCTGCGCGGTTTCTTTATGTAAAGCTAGATGCGTTTTGAACAAATATCTTTTCCCTTGTGCAGCGCCCATGCCATCACCGCCGACCTGAAAGTGCAGGATGTGGCGCATGCGGCGGAGTTTTTTCTCGCTGACGGCGTGATCATCAGCGGCGAAAGGACGGGCAAAGCGGCAGATCCCCAGGTGCGCTGGCTGTTGACATTCGTTGGCATGTTGGCAAGGCGCAGACGCGGCCTGTTAGAGTGTTAATGGCGCGGCGCTGACGGTCTGTTTGTATTTTTAGGAGGCAGCTGGTAAGATGCGAGCCCCTTGATGCGCCCTTCCCAGTTTGGCTTGCATCATGCGTTGCTGTAGCAGTTTTTCATTTCCGATCCTTTTGTCGCTAACGCGTAACGAGAATTTCGTTCCGGCTTCTTTTTGGGATGTTTTTCTGGATACTTACGTAAATCTTAGAAAGACATCATTACGTAATAACGACGGATTTTATGGTGCACTTGGCGGATCGTTTACATAATAAACCTATTGTAAAAATTATTTAATTTATAGTTAATAATATTTTATTTATAATGCGGATTTTATATTGCACTTTGCGCATCCTTTGGAATAAACGCAATTAAAATAGTACTTAATTTTCGAAAATCTTACCGATTTCGGATTTTTCTTTTATCGCACTCGTATATTTCCGCTTAATATTTTTTTATACAGTACACTTGAATTTCCGTGAAAATAACGGGTTTGCATGTTTCTTTCCTTTCTTGACACGCTTTTAAGCTTTACAGTCCAGCAGTGCATAAAGAAATAGTTAAATACGTGATGACACGGTATGAATTTGCAGTAAACGCCTATGAATAAAAATTTAATTTGTTTATTATTGATTTTATAATTTTTATTCTGCAATAACTGTTGCTTAATATTTTGAGCTATTTATCTCATAATTCGTACAATTGTTTATGGGTTAGTTTTAGTTTTCCAGCAGATAAAATGCAATTGTTATTTTTGTGCCAAAGAAATTTGTCCTATTAAATTCGGTAATTTGATGTTGTATCTGCAAAATTGACAGTGACGATGAAAAAAGTGGACATCCCGGTGCTGCTGGGCTCGGGTGTCACGGCCGACACCCTGCACGCCTTCGCCAATAATTGTCACGGGATGATTGTGGGATCGGAGTTCAAGAAGGGCGGCCTGTGGTACAACGACGTGGATGAGGGCCGCGTTAAGAAATTCATGGACAACATCCGCGAGCTGCGGGAGACGCTGGTTAAGGCGGAAAAGCACTCGCACCGGAAACCGGCCTTGACCGATTATGTGTGAGAATTGGCGGAAAATTGGCTGGTGTTGGATGTTGTTGAGCTCAGCGAGATTCGGTTAGAAAGACAGCCGGAAATTCGGTTGTTTATCCTAATAATTTCGCCTTTCTTTTTACCAGGTTGTTACTAATGAAGTGTGATGTTTTATTCGATTTTACTTGTACTGTTGCATCTGTTTGGATGGTAAAATAATGGTTGTTGTTCCTAAATAAAATGCATTTTAATGCATAAAATAAAATGCATTTTAATACGATCATACGAATGCCTCGAAGAAATTACGGAAATTTTGAAAAATGTAGCAGATTTAATTCAATAATTAATTTGATTTATTAATTCGATTCGTTGTGTTTCGCTGATGTACAGAGGGTGATTTCGCAATATGCGTATGTATGTGATGAATGATGAACCGATTAAACTTTATTAAGTACCTTCAGTCTTCAGAGTATTAAATTTAATTGCATTAATTGTTTAATGATTTTTATTTCGTTTTCTTATTTTAATAGGTTAACTTTGCTTGCTTTAATATGTATTTAATTATTTTGATATTTTGTAGTGAAAATTCTTGCACGGTGTGAATGATTGATTAGTAAGAATTTTTCTAACCGGTGATTTGTTAAAACCGGGTAACTTTCTTTTCTTAATTAAATAAAATTTGTTTTCAGTGCTGATCAAACGGTCTTAAAATTATCAACTGAAAATATAATTGAAAACTTAATTTCTCTTTTCGATTTTAATAAATCTACTTTTTTCTGACAATTTGCACGTGGTAAACACGACATTCTTGTTGACGTATTTAATTCCAGAATTTCCAGTTATTCTCATTTTGCAAGCGGAACACAATGCCCACATTCAGATTCCCGCGTATAGAAATTCAAAATAAAACCAGCTGGTTTTTTTTCCTTATTCTCGCCAACAGGTTGCGTTACGCCAACTCCGATCGCGCTCTTTCGACGGTTGGCTGTCTGTCAAAGTAGCAATTATTGCAGCAGTGTTTTTCCTCAGCGAATTATTATCAAACACCCGACAGATGCAATGCTTCGCAAATGTACACACACCACAGCAAAGCTAACAGAATAATATATAGAAAATGTCCCAACGCGCTGAATGGAAGCAAGAAATCAAACAAGCTGCAGTCGAGTGTAACCACACGATTCTTTATACACTTTTACCGTATTATACACACATGCACACAGCAACGTATAATGGCACTTTGGAACTTATATAACGGTTGAAAATTGAAATCAATGAGCTAACCAATTTTCGCGCTATATTACACAACAAAACCACAGACCCAGTGTAGGAAACTTGTCACCACAATACATGTACACCGAAAGAAAATAAAAGCACCAAAAATAAAATCCCCACAGTAACCAACGCAAACGACGCAATTATAAAAACTGGCAGTTATTTAAATAAATTTTTTGTTTAAAAAAAAAACAGAGGAAAACAAATACCGACGAAATTCCCGCAAACACTACCGACTCGTATATAATATTTTAAAAAATAAAATTTGTCAAAATTTCTAATCTTTTTCTAAATGGAAATGAAAACGATCAGTATCAGAGGCGAAAAACAAGGGAAAAACAGGGAAAACGGAAAATAAAGCTATAATTTTTCCAGATTTTTCTTCCTTGCCGAGGATCGATCAGATCATGAAGACGCAGCGCATCCGGTGATTATCCCAGTACAGCGATATGTCCGCGGATTTCATATTTCCATTTTTTCGACGACACGCGAGATCAGCGGTATTTTTGTAGCATTTTTTCCCCGAGAACGACGTCCACACAGAAGAAAATAAACCCAAAGAACCGGTCACAATGAGGAGGAGAAAGGTCACGCGATAAGCGGGCGCATCAGGAGATAAACGAGATAAAATATGAAGAAAATTCATTCCACATTTTTCTGTCATTTTTTCCCCAAGAAGCACAGGTGCGGCGGTTACGTACACAATTCCACGCAATATGATGCCAATATCGACGTCAACGTCATGGCTATAAAGCGCAATAAATTTCAGAGAAGGTAAATTGATCCGCTTGATTGCAGGGGGGACATTAATGTAAACAACGGTAATTTCCTTCACGTACACCACCGACCTTCTTAGGCGGCTGACTGTTCTCCACCAGATTACTGCGCTGCAGGGCGTTCTTCCCCAGATGCAGCTTGACCGTCCGGCGCTCCTTCTCCTCATTCTGCCCCTGTTTCAGCATCTCCTCATTCATCCGGTTCAACACGGCCAGTTCGCGGCGCTCCGGAGCGGCGGACCCCGCCGGCAGGGCCTGGGCCCGCGCCGCCGCCCGCAGACGGCGTTTGCGCTTGTGCGACAGGGGGCGCTGGTACACCGGCGCCAGCCCGTCCTCGTCCACCGTCGCCCGCGGGGGGCTGGGGGTGCGGGTTACCCCGCCGGCCGCCGGGGCGGGCGGCTGCAGGGTCTCCTCCATGATTAATGGCGGGGCGGAGCGGTAGAGGGTCTGGTGGCGGGTGTGGGTGGCTGCAATCGGAGAGAGATACACTGACATGGAGGGATGCTCAATGAGTAAGTTCTCCAGGGGGTTAGTGTGGGGGGAGGGGGCGGAGCGGGTGAAGCAGGGCGGGGCGCCAGGTACCAGCTCTTCAGGCAGCTGGGCACACGCCCGTTACCGCCCGCCAACACCCGGCAACCCGGCCAGTTCTCCAGATTGTCCATCCCGGCCACTGTACGGCAAAGAAAAGCACACCGGTCACAACCACGCGGTTAGTTGCCCATTTACCCGGCTACAATAATTACGGTTTTCTCAACCATTTCAAAGTTGCAATAGAATTTAAATGATTGGGATTAAAATATTGTATTTAGTACCACTTATTTCAAATTATTTTTCTAAATTTTAAGTATGTAACTAGATTTTTTCAATTAAATTGCAAAACCAGTACATCATTACGAAATACGAGTACACACTATATGGAATCACATTTTGTGTATTTTCACTGCATATTATTGACCTGCGGCTGACTATGTCATTAAAACGCGGAATAAGTGACCGGAAGTACATGTGAATGTGAATCTCTGTTTCTAGTATCAATTACTATAAAATTATAATTTTTTGATAACATCATTTTTATTAGAAAATAAAGCGTTGTACGGTTAGTCACTTCGTTTGGACAAACGTAATAATTCTTTAATTAACAGGACTTACTGCCGGAAAATTTTGTTTATTACAGTCTGCTGCTCTGATTTTAATTCGTTTGCGCTGATCTTGAATTCATAATAAAAAATTAGTAAATTCGAAAATTTGTACGATATTTTCTGGAATGCTGGAAAGCTCTAAAATATTTTATTCTCTAAATTATTTCGGAATGCAGCAATTGTACCATAATATTATTTCCTGGTGCACAAACATGAAAGTTTTAATTTATCCAGTTTTCCTGTCTTTTCCGCTGACGCGCGGGAATTTACCACATGAAAAGAAGATAGAAATCAACAAATGCAAAATACAATGCAGCGTCGGTTACGTAATATGAAAAGTATTATTCTGATCAACTGGCTTAACAGGTAAATCCGAAGGGGCATTAATTTTCAAAATTAGAACCGGCAGCCAAAAACATGTTTGATATTGTCAAAAGAGTGATTAAGCGCTTGCCAAACAGGAAATATTGCCGCGGCAATGTGCCACTCAGGCCCAAAGTGATCGTGCCATTCAAGCAGCGCCATCCATCAAAAATCCTGATAATATTATTAAAATAGAACGCTTGAAGTTCAACGGTATAATGGATTTAACTTTAAAAAGACCCATTACCGGGCCGCACCTATCTGGTTTCCGGCAAGAAAAACACCGTACAAAATTGCAATTAAGCTGAGGAAAATAAAATCCACAAAAATAATTTATTCAAATATTGCTTTTTGTAAATTATTCTAATATTAAAACTTTCAGTAGATAAACAGAAATCCACAGAAAAATTAATTAGATAGGGTTAATTAATTCAAGCAAAGTCAACAGAATTTTGAAAATTTATCAAAAACGATACACACTTAAATATTTGTAAGAAAATATACAATTTATTTTTTCTCTGTGCCTGTGTCTTAATTTTACATTCTGCGTTACCAATTTTCTAGTATATGTAAGCCGCAACATGGTTGTGACTTGTGAGTAAGTTCATACAATGCTTGGTCATTTGATGAACAATAAATCTCCTTGCAAAAATTACACACTAAATTCATTTACAAAAACAAATGTTCTTGTCGTTAGCAATTTAACACACAATTTATCTACTTAACGCACAATAAAATTATAAATATCCCTGGGAAAATAAAATTATTGACAAAAAATCCTTGATCAAATTTTTTCGTAGACAATTTAACGCGCAATAACATTAAACAAAATTATTGGCAAAAAATCCATAATATAAATATTTGAACTGGTTTGTTAGCTATTTATTTCTATGGTAAAAATCCCGTGGCACGAGTACAGAAACCGGATGTCACCGGAACAGCCACCGCGTGCCCACGTGCCTGCCCACACAGCATTCACATTTCACATGCGTGTCCCCGTTCGCCCCAACCTCCACCTCGCTACTGCACAATCCTCACCTTCATCCTGCAGCTCCAGCTCATCCTCATCCACCTCCCGCTCGGGGATCTCCTCGTCCATCTTCCGGACAATCTGCCAGTCATCCTGATCCTCAATATCGTACACCCATTCGGTGTCTTCTTCATCCGCAGCCGCAGCGTCAGCTGTCGTCATGGGCACCTCCTGCGGGCGCGGGCTCAACGGCCGTTTCTCGTCACCATCCGCGGCCGTCTTGGTGCGCAGATAATCCAGCACGTTTCCCAACATGGAGGCCATCATGCGATTTAAAATTGTGTTTGCAATCAGGGGGAAAAAGAGGCGGTGTGATGTTGACAATAATATCAATTCTCAAGGCAAGGTCAGTGTAACAAAGAAAGGCGGCAGATGGGGCGAATGCAGCTGAATAACAAAGCTCTGCAAGAAAAGCAATCGGTCAGTCAACTCGATCATCACCGTACAGGGAAATGCGCTTATGCAGCGGAACCGATGAGTGCTGCGCTCATTGTGTGCTCAACGCTTTTTTACTCTACGCAATTATTGTCACGATTTCATCAGATTAATTTTTTGCTAATCACGGATGGCTCATCGTTTTTGTCTCCAAGCAAAATGTAGCTTCTAAAATGAATAACATGATGAGCACAAATCGAACTGTGACTTGGAAACCTACTAGCACGCGCGGAATTTCCTGTAAGTCAGTCTGATATACTGTCGCAGCCAAACAGGGTTGTCACCGTAGTTACCTGGTTTATTGATCAAATGATGAAATATACGGAAGAAATGTCAACGCCAGCAAGTAAAACTGCATAAAAACAAGCGGAAAAAACGGCCTATTTTGAAACGGGAAAAACTCTTCCCACACCCCACAGTAATGTAGGCCACGGCGTAAATGACGGGAAAACAGGATAATACGGCACGAATCCTGTGTATACAGCTCAAAATGCTGCGGCTATTGCTCTGCGTTCAGATAACCAGCGCAACATCGGCACCGCAGCTCAGGCCAAACCGAACAATACGGGCCGATCGATGGCGTGCCTTGTTATTAGGCTGGCACAGGCTGCAGCGTATTGAATGTATTGTAGCTGTGCCAGCATTAGCAGCATCTCGATCGATGAGCTCATCGACGCATCGTGAACAAAGCACATCCAGAGTGGCCATTAATTGTCAGCGAAAATTACAGATGATTCACGTGTGCCATTATTATTATTGCACCAAGCTGATAATAACCGGTTCGCTGAATCATAGGATGAGCGAAAATAAATTTTAATTACTGCATGTATACCGGCAAATCCGCTTCCGGTGGGGTAATAAATAACAAATTTCACTCCAGATTCCTTCCAAACAATTTATTCTGAATTATCAATAGCGTAATTAATTGTAATCTTTATGCAGTTATCAAAATACTGAATTTTATTTATTTATTGATCGTGTTATTAATTGTTTACTAAATCATTTCCATTTTTCTTAGCTTTATTAAAGTTAGACTGAATTAAAGGCTATAAAAATACGTCAATAATTTTTCAGTTTTATATTTTTCTATCGCCAGCCCTTGATAATTTATTTCGGTTAAAAAATGAAGCATTATTCTTTCTTGTATAGATATATTTGATAAATAATTACGAAATGGAGTTTGCAAACGTTGAAGTTTCGAAAGCGTGTACGTACTGTATGCTATGGCAACGCGGTATAAACCCGATGTCCGTTATGCATCACGATCTGCGATAAATTGCCCTTTATCAAAATGGACTTTGTACCAAAACATGGAAGTTGGACTCATTCGATGAACCTGCACGCGCTCATCCATTTTGCTCGATCACCATGGCATGAACTAGACGTTTTTTTCCTGTTTTTTCTAGAAGCAGTTTTTTGTCTCATTAAAGATCGATTTTATTTAATTTGGGTTTTATTTAGTTTTATTCTAACGAAAACTTTAATAAATTCTTGTAACTTATTTAAAAGCATGTTTTCGTTGGACCGCAATTTAAGAATAAATTTAACTTCTGATCACGTGACCTGATAAACTTAACACTGTGTTGACCACTGAATATAGATGTGAATCGAACTGAACCGCATCTGCTTACATAACGCCATGTTTTGGTTATCAACAAAATAAACTCTTTATTCAAACGACAATTACATCATTCTATTAGGAATGCACTGTCAACACTATTCCTGGTCACGAGCGAATTCAACCGCGAACGCAGTGTTTCCCCCGTTGTACGGGTTTTCCGCGAAGATCACCAGCCTGATAACATTCCATGAACAGCGCACACAATGACAATGTCATTGCGCGCGTTAACCGAATTTTAATTCAAAGCACTATGAATGACTCATCGCTCAGCCGACCACACGCGTCTTTGTTTCCTCTTTATCGTACAGTACACTGTACAGTTTTTAAGCTGACGTTCACGTAACCTGCGTCTTATCAGAATAATGACATGCAGAGTGTGATTTTCCCCATATTATTATCAACAAACATCCTGTGCTGCACATGACCAAAACCGCAGCCACTACGCGAAGTGTTGACGCTGGCCCGGTTTACAACCAAAACAACAACATGACCTTAACTCGTCGAAAATAATCAGCCGTTGTAGGTAGTACGGTTCCATTGAAATATTGGGTAATTTCTGCTAAACCGCGGAAAATGCGCACTGCGCAATATGCAGACCTGCGCGCATTCATACAGCACCATTCTGCTTTGTGTTGCATCGCCCATTCGGCCATTTGCCATTGAAACGCAAGCTCCGCCCCCGGCCTTAGTTCAATGATCAAAGCGTTCGCCTTTCTTTGCAAAGCTGCAACTTGCAGCTGCAAAAATTACAAGGAACAAAAACCACAACTTACAACGCACGAGTTTTTGCTACCTACAAATGTCTTCTCAGTAATAACATCTACGTTGCAAAGATTGCAAAAATATTAAGCAATAAATCAACATCATAAATAAATAATCCACACAGCAATCATTTAATTCAGTTTATTTTAAACATCAATATTCGCATTCCAGCAAGAAAATAATCATTTTTCGGTTACCGTGATGCTGGAAAATTTAAAAAAATAAATGAAGAACTTTGCTATTAACCAGCAATATTCCATTATCAAAAATTTATAAAATAATGCGTCATACAAAATTAATAACAGCGTCATGGAAAATACACCAGCGTTGTATGAGCCGTGCCTTGTATGGAAAGTAATGGCTGCACTTACCCGTTAAAATGTAAAAGCAAATAAATGGGCGAAATTAAACGGTGTGGGGCGAAGCAAAAAAATTCTGTCCAAGCATCCAGAAAGATATATCAATATAAATATAATGCCAGTGTGGGAGAAGAGTAGAGCAGGGCACCGAGGAAAAACTGTACAGCCTCGACCAGGGCAGAAAATTTTCTTTGGCTTGGGTTATACGTACAAAATATAGCAGTAGCAGCAAAAATATACACACATGCAGAATTTGAATACTGATCCAAAGCGTATTGAAAGGCAGTTTAATACACGCAGCACAAACTTCTGTACGTGGTTTATACGGGTTATATCGCAGCAAAGAAAGAAAACAGCTGATTTCTATATCCGATGAACGCCAGCGTTTATTATGATTTGTTGGCCTCGCTCTCTCTCGTTTCTCTCTGTCTCTCTCATGTGGAGCGCACATGATTCGCCCGCTCGTGCTATACAGGCGGCATGACGCATCCTGTCTAGCTACTGACAACAGGCGGCGCGGAGAACAAAGACCGCGCGCGCTGATTGGTTGGAGGGCGGAATGACGTGTAGAGATTCAAGACGTATTAATCCAGCGTATCAATCCTGCCATGCGGAAGTACGGAACGCACGTACACGATGGCGAACAGGATCGCCATGACATCCGCACTGTTATGATTTTATTTTCGTGTTGATTATAATTTCTAAGCTCTGGGCTTTCTTTTTGCCGTAAATAAACGCCGTAGTCTTTCCGACTCCGTTGCATTGGTAATCGCACATCAACATTTGTTCTGTTGAACGATAAATCAAGTGGCAAGTTGCGTGCGAGTTCAACGCCGCACGTGATGCGCGCCCACATACATATACAGAGGAAAACCGCTAAATTTAGTGCGGTGTTATTACAGCCGCATATTCGTGCCGGCCACGAACGACAATTATCACATCTTTCACAGTGAACAACATTAATTGGCATAGGGTGCGCTTTGACGCCAGCAGCAGCATCCATGTGACCTGAAATCTAAAAGCAACTGTTTCTTATCCTTGTCAAATGCGCCAAGGTCACACGACATTCGCGATAGTGCACGTGTACAGCCGGCGATTTTTAAGAATTAAGGAAGTTAAGATTGTACAGGAATGCTCAGGCGCGATGTTTTGTCGAGGACGGTAAAATTTTCTGCGCCGAATGCGGAATTTCAATTTAACGACCGCGGTATCGTTAACCTTGAACTGTTGTCCGGACCGCCAAGTTTAAAACTATAAACAAGTACAGCTGATTTGGCAAGCGCACTCGGAAAATGCCCTGGTCGGAGCGAAAATCTCAAGTACCGATTCATATACGTACAGTCATATGTACTGCTATCTTCATATTATGGTTAGTCATGGTGGCTAAATTTAAAATTTTATTTTTCTTTCTCACGGCCGGGGTTTCGATAATTTTTCTAACCGCAGTTTGTTTGGCGATAAATGCAGGAACCGGTCCATTTAAAGATACGTAGCATGGTCTCGCAGATACAGTTATGTGGTATACCATGGTATATAGATATCTCATAACCATATCTGCGAGACCATTATACACCTGCAGTCTCGAGACTGCGAGACTGCAGGTGTCGATCGATCGATCCCAGTGTACCGGCATTATGATCATAATGCCGGTACACTGGATCGATCTTAATAAGGATTATGGAAGAGAAAAATTATGGATACATACTGGGATGCACATATCAACATTTTTGGCTGTAAACTTGTACTACGATACGCATTTGTACTGTTTGCCCATCACTTCTGCAATACTGTAAAATTGATTATGTTAATAGCTGATGTCTGATGGTATACAATATTACTGTATAATATCGTCGATATTGTAATGATTTTATTCTTAAGCTCATAAATGCGATATTAAAAAGGAATAATATTAATAATAATAGATAGTCTATTATAATATTATTATGTAATCATTGTTAACCTAATTGTACGAAACTACTTTCAAAATTTGATCTATTATACGCATGAAGTCACGTACCGTTTATCCGAGCTACGTACAACATGTACTTTAACAAAGTTTAAAGCATAGGTGAGTAAAAAGAAGCAATGATCATGATGTTATATCAGTTGACTACATATACAGATATACGTATATGTATAGATATACGGACTTCGTTGGATCAGGAATTCTTTAAAATTATATCAACAAAAGGAATAAATGCACTGTAAGGCTTCAAGCAATATCTTAAACCCGTGATCGAAACTTGAAATTCGTAAATGCAAAATAATTGCTGCAATGCGTAATGCATCAATGGCATAAAACTTCGAACCTATGCTTCAGAATTATGAGTTTGATTACGTATTTTACGAATGCGAATTCAATTTTTTTACCAGTGATAAACGTATGTTTCAACGTATACTGCCTTGTAAATCTCGTATACACGAACAATTTTGTACTAAACTATACAATAAATAAATGTATCACTTATTTTTATAAGTATTTGTGGTGCATGGCTACGATCAGGTTTTCCAAACCTAAAATGTTAAAACGAGATTTTTCAACCAAATATTTGTCTGCAGTTTAACCTATTTTATGCATTACCGAATTAACTAACATTATTTTCAGCATCCGCAACACTCGTGCAGTCGGAATATGTACCGGTACGGAAGTGACATATTGTACATAAGTGTACGGTATGAGTCCATATGACGATGGGTCATTGTAACTTGTCAGGTCCTGAGAAGTAAAACATGACCGGAAACAAAACCCGCATTCTTCAACATTAAAATGCCTGTATTAATCGCAAGCTTCTTTATGCATGGATACTTAAGTACTGTACTCGTATCTTGTGAATGTTTCAACACGTGTACGGACGCAGTGTACAATTTTATGGCTCCGTAATTTGAACATAACTAGCAATAACTTTAACATCAAGAATCTATGATAAAAGGTCTGAATTTTAATCTAACTTGTAATAATAAGTACGGGAAGGAGCGGGTTACTATTTTTTTTCTGTGGAATTATCTACGCACCGATCATTGATTGCGATGCCTTATATATATCAATATACAGTATGTAGGCTAATGTAGCTAACATTAAATAACATTAGATAAATTAACAATCGTACATCGTACATCCAGTATGATTTATTTTTCTTTGCTGAATTTTCACAGAATTTTAGCAATTGTGCTCGATATCTGACAAAATGCATTGCTGCGCTGTGCAATGTGCACTGAAATTAATGCAGATACGGTAAGCGCATTGTGCAATAATATTCGACTTCCGATCACAAATTCACAATGCATAACTTCTCTAAATTCTTTCCCGCAGTCTCATGCACATATATAGATGACACAATCATTCCAATTTTTCATCACAATAGTGAAACACGAAAAGGGTAGTTCCAGTCGTATACTTCCGGTACTTGACGATTGTTGGGAAATTTCCATGTTAAACAAGGCTTCGATCGGCTTCAACCCAGTCCGCTGATGAAGCGGGCAATGAGCATCATCTGCATCATTTGCTGTAAATCAAACCCGCCGTCGTCAGGAGGCGGTGGAACAGTGGCCGGTGTGGTCGGCGGTGTGGGACCATCATCCGGGGACGGCGGCGGAGAGGCGGCGCCACCGGCGGCACCGGTCAGATGCGGCATCAGCAGGGACAGCATGAGCAGCGACATAATGTCGGCTTGGCGTTTGAATCGGGAATGTGCCGCATCTGGAGAATCTGTCAGATAAGGCCATTAGACAAGATAAGACCATTATAATTAAAAAAACCAATTAACGAAAATTTATAAAAATACAGTAATACTGTTTCGTTTTCAAACAATTTTTTTAAATCAGTTTCGAATTCTCCGAATAAACCTTCCAAATTTCTGATTAATTTGCTCACTTTATGTTTTGAATTTCTTATTCACTGAAAGGCATTCCATCGCAAACGTCGTGTATAAATATAAATATATAGGTGTATTAAAGATATGAGAGCTGTAATAATTATCAGCTGATTCGTACATTTGTTTTTCTGAAATTTCCTAATTTTTAAATAAATGGACAACTTCGCTGCTATTAAAGGTGAAAACTGTTTAATAAAATACCTTCGACAGCTGAAAGAATATTCGCGGCATGTTCGTCCCGAGACGAACAGGGAATACACCGGACGGACTCTGCGAGCACTGATAACAAGATCACAAGGGTGATGATCCTGGACGTTTTCGGCATCGTGTAAACGTCCGCTGCACCCCGATCGTTGACGGCGCAACAGGTGAATATTACCATAGAAATAAAATTAAAGAAATTCTCGACCGGTTGAAGACTGACGCAGATCAGATTGGCCTCCTTTCGCGTCAGCGGTATTACCAGGTGACTTGCTTACGGCTGGGTTCTTATCAAGTGTGGAACGTGCTTCTATGCAAATTTCGGTTTTGTCTTTCGTGAAATCGCAGACGCTAAGGCTGCGGTGTATGTTAATATTAATGATCTGCGATAGACAGGAAGATGCTACGTAAGAGTATAATACAGCTAGTCTTTCAGAATATTTACGTCTTAACCCTCCAGCGGGCGGTACCCGAAGGAGTGCGCGTTTTCTATTGAAAATCGGGATTTCCCAATGAAAAAATTCAATTAAGAATGGGAATTTTTTGCGAGCTTGTGCTGACCATAGGTCAGCGGTGGTGACTATGTCGTTTGCCAACGCCAATGCCCATGGACGGTCTACAGCATAAAAACGCCTAATTTTGTAATAATTAGTCTAATAGGGATAGAGTTAAAACAAAGGTTTCATTAAATAGCTCAAAAAAAGTACTTTAAAACAGGAGTATAGAAGTGGTCAACAATTTGACCACTGGTCAGTAAAATTTAAAACTGCTAAAAGCGTTTCCTTGCATTTTGACCACTACTACACATACAAAACAATATAGAAAACAAGCGATGCTGACAATATTCCTTTGCAAACTTTCATCACTCTCTCATACGGCACTTCAAGAAGCCTTTGTGCAATTTAACATTGCACTTGCTGCATTTTATTTTTTAAACACGCCGAGCCGCCTTTACACTGCGTGCACCATTCGGACTTGCACGTTTCCTGGTATAGCCGCAGTGGTGGGAATGGGGAAAGCGGCGGGTATAATCCAGCTGCAAAGGCGATTGGCGCCGAACCAAATATTAGTGGTCATTCGCACTTTTTCTAACACATTATCGGCCGGATGTAACCTACATAAAGCTATCGCAAAGGTCAACATCACTAAGGTGGTCATTACAGCTTGCAGTCGCCCGAGACTGGTCAAAACTGAAAATTCGCATGTTTCTTTAAATCTGCGCTGCTTCGCTTGCCCAAGCGGTATTCGGTACTCGTATCGAAGGCAGAGAGCAGCAGAGTGCAGGGTTGTGCAGCCAATTACAGTGCTACGTACACTGGCGGTAAAATTACAGTCAGGACTAACGCATCAGGACCACCATTCCGACCGCCCGGGGTGCCGTTCAGCAACCCCATTTTCTGCCAGCTTTCGACAACCAAAACCACATGGCGCATGTTTTGCGTCCGAACCGACAGTAACTTACTCTGTTTACGTAATGAAAATAATCTGTCGAAAGTGCACCCCCCCGTGTATTCACAACCCTTCATGGGCAATGGTGTTGGCAGACGACACACGTTTTTGAGGGACTGTGGTCATCTATGGTTCAACTTTTAGATTCTGTGTAAGACATTTTTGAATAAAGGGTTGCCAGTTATACCTTGTTGATTTATCTCGGGTTTAATTATTCATCCACTAATTAGTTAATCAGCAAGACCTACGAGAGGTCAGAAAGTTCAAAATTAGCGATTTTCGCGCACCTATTGTTCTTAATTAACTTAAGACACAAGTTCAAATTGTGTTTTTATTGCTGTTTTAAGGTCCCATTTTGCTTAATACGTTATGGGACAACGAATAACTGTTGCCGATCGCTGGGAAAAAAATCAAAAACCTCTTGTCGTTTCCAGACACCAATGCCCGTCAACGGGTTAATACTGTAGAAGAATTAATGCAAAACAGCAATTATTACTGTTTTGCAAATTAATACTTTTTAGAATTAATACTTTAGAATAGTTTAGAATTAATAATTTAGAATTAGCACTTTAGAAGTAATACTTTTTTCCTGATGAGGACCACAAAAAAGTATACAAAGGTCAAGTTTTCTTACGTACACAAATCACCAAATATCTAGCCATATATAGGAAAGGCAGGCACCGTCATAATAATAAAAACGTGGTCGAAGTTCAGTTTTCAAACCCCCGCAGGGTAGAGGGTACCTTAGTTTGCCTTTCTTAAAACCCAAACACCAACGTGTTTGTTTAGCTTATACAATATATTCCGGGTTATGCTGATACATATGTTATACAGATATACATATCGCCCATGTGGCATCGGCCATCTTGCATTGTTTTGCCTTCCACTTTCGGAACCAGACTGCTGCCATGCATACCTCCAAGATATTCTATGCATGCTGTACCACGATCTTCCTGCTGTCCTATTCCGTTCAGGGATTACCGGTAGATCATGCGGCATTGGTTCTGAAATCGGCGCTGGCCGGTTCCCACCATGAAGGTACGTGGGAAAATTAGCGCGCCCACTGTTAATGGTGCCATTGCTATTGTCTGATAATATTATCATGTTTGAGATAATTCTACTTCGTGTAATGTTTGAGATAATTCTGCTTCGTGTACATATCAAGTAGAAATTTCACTTTGACGCGCATTTTTGTGTTTTTTAATGTACGTAATTGTACTGTATACTGTAATGTGTGTGATTGTCTCAACTCACCAGTCAGGTTCAGTGTCTTAACATTTCTTATAAATTTTTAACTGAAACTGAGAACCTTCAACAGCGTTTCGTAAGTACGCTTGTTCTGACATTTGATTATTTGGCCAGTTTAATTGACTTTTACATGATCGGTTTTGTTTCCCAAACAACAGTAAAGTGATGCATTTCATTTCGCTTTTTGGTATATAAAATTCTCACAACAGACAGAATTGAGTTGAACATGAAGGATTTTTTGTTGCTAGCGCTTATTGAGCGGAAGAAGCGGCAGTCCCCCGATCTGGCGCAAATGTTAAAGAATATCTTGCTGATTTTACAACTACTGAAAATGCTGAATCCTTCGTCGTCTGGAGCGGCACCGCCCGATCCCGAGAAACAGGATGGTGGTGACCCTCCTCCACCGCCACCGGACGGCGGAGGGGACTTGATGTCTCAGCTGGCCCAAATTCTTCCCCTTTTACAAGGTGAGACCGACATTTTAAAATTAATGTGAGCAACCGTAGCAGAATTTAGGCAATATATAATCTATAATTCTGGACCACTTAATAAAGCATACCGTGCAATTAAGCCATGAATCGATCTCTAGCTCATTCCTACCTAAAAACAAACCGCTCGCTTACAAAAAAAATGGTTTACGCACGTGTTTATGCGCGCAATATGGGCGGAAAGACCACGGTTGAAACAAGCGCACAACGACAAAATCCCATAAAAATGTTGTATTCCAGCTTTGTCGGGAGCGTCTGCCGGGACTACCGGGACGAACACCGGAGGCGCCGAGGCCGGTAGCGGGAGCAGTGATGATGCCGACGTCCGAGCAATTGGTTATGACTTCCAAGATTTTCCTTAAGACTAGTAGTCAGTTCGTTTACAACCAATTTATACGTATCGGCATAATAATCACAAAGCTGGTTGAATTATTGAGCCTTTGCACAGTTGTGAACTCAGAGTTTAGTCCGCTTGCGGTTTTCAGTGTTTGGCCAATGCATGATGCATTTTGCTGAGATGTGGCAGAATTTATATATGTGCGATGTGTAATGTAACTTATTCATTCAAATTGCCATTTTATTACGCGACGAATAAAAGATGATACCGTGTGCGAACCAGTGGTGCGAAATGTTGTCGCTTCGTTGAATAAGCAAAATATAATCCTAACAGTTTAGCACTGACCTTGAATTCCTATGCACAGAATGTCACAGAAATTTATGCGATCTCAGGATTTTGAAGTTTCACTTCCGTGGAAGCTTTATTTTGAAGCTTTTTCTCTATAGCGAACATTTTGACGTTTGATTTTTACACAGGACAGGTTTTCAATTGATTTTACCAGCGCTACTGTTCAAGCATTTTTAAAAATTTTAAATATATACTTCGTAAAGGGCATTTACGATTTACTTTATAATCGCAAGAAAAGTACCGGAGGGAATCGGTTTGAGGAATTCAATATTTCGGTTGTTTCACCTAAACGACCATCGCTCATTCACTTATCATAGCATTTCACTAAAACGACCGCAAAGAATAATGGCATATAAACTGATATTTATAAAAAATTGCAAGAATTCTGCATTAGCAGCCACCGACAGCCACCGATTTGCTCGATACATAAAGCCGACTCTGTAACATTACCACCCATGAGAAACCGCAAATACTCACACGAGCCGGAAGCGTTCTGCAAACTGTACATAGTTCTCCATCGATAACACTGTCTAGCATCGCACAAAGTAAATAGTCACCGTACCTAATTCAGCGTGCATGCAGCTGTGCAGGTGCCGGTTGGTACAGTAAGGTCACCAATGCTGCTGTGATTTACGGTCGTCAGATTCTGAGCAGTGGAGAAGATGGATACTGAGACTCGAGCCTCTGTTCCATTTGTCTACTCTGCGCTTCGACGGGTCAGCTTGTAGCTGCTTGTACTGACTGCAGGTGGAAAAAGGATCTAAAGTCATCAGTGCAATTTACAGTTTCGGATTTATCAGAATGGGGAGAGTGTAGACAAATATAACTGCAGTTTGTAAGGCGTCAGATGGTACCATACGTAAGATTTATGTAAGAACAAACAAAAAAATTAAAAACTAAATAAAGTCAGAGCAATGTAAGCACTGGCCCGCTTCCGCTGTAACATCTATGGCTGTCCCAAGTTGAGCCTAAACACGTGATCCTTTTGGTAACTGGATGCTTTTAGTAACATTAATTTTTTCGAAAATAACTGCATTCAAATGAATAATAACAATAATAAGTATCAAATTTAATTACATATAAGTACTTATCACTTAATGCAGCGACAATGAGAACACAGCGCATAGTGACCCGTACTCGCATACCTTTGGATTATATCGCTTTAATATGCACCACGGTTAAGGTCCGTATAACACTGCTGATAGTTTCCGTTGTTGGCTACATATGATCGATGGATCATCAGCTCGCCAAATCAGATTTACAGCCTGAGAAGTTTCAAAGGTTGTTAATGTTGCGGGCGGCTCAGTTTCTGTGTACTGCGTAGGGCAGTAATTACGATTAGATGTGGGGAGGAAGCACAACGTTTGTTCTAAGACTGGAGTAGATGTGCGCCGCGGAGTCATTAGCTTAAACTAAGACAGCGACGTCGAATTATTAAATCTACATATATTTTCCGATAACCGTAACAGCGTTTAATTTGTGTCGCTAATTATGCCATCCTAAACCAGCTTTTTATCTACCACTACCGGAAATACGCTAAGATTTATTTGTTTGTTGTACATTCATTCATCGAACCACAGCAAAAGATCAATTCCGAATGGCGCGATTAGCTTTTTTCCTGGCTGTTACCGGCATTTTGCAAAGCTCACTTACGTTAGCAGGTAAGGCAATCCGTGACGTGCTACTCTGTACATTTGCACTATTCGGTAAAATACCAAGGCTTCGTAGCAAGCAAAACGTTTTTTTCTCAAAACCGCACGTGATGAACTGGAAACCGATTGCAACCTCCAACCGTCACAAGCCACTACTGCTTCGCCGGCAACCCCAGCACCGTCCGCACTAGTCTTCCCGTTTCGCACAGATGCGTTGACGTGGGAAGAATGCACAGCATACGGTGCATCGCCCACCAGTTATCTCTGCAATCCAGGACGCTACTCGTGTAACAAGACTAGTCCTAACCAATTTCTCCTGCGACCAATGTCTCGAACGTTCATCGAGCTGTCGTGCTCGTATCACAACCGCACCTTTCTGACTGCCATGACGAACCAGTTGAAGGCCGTCAGTCCCAATCGCGCGGTGACCCTCAAGCTGGATGAACGGGACAACGTGACAGACCCCGTGCACGCTGACGTCGTCGACCCGGTTCGCCAGCAGCTGGTCAGTTTGACGATATAGTGTTCGACCAAGATGGCCATCTCTAAAGTGCGCCAACTGGGAACCATACCCTATTAGTGCGACTGGTTATTCAGCGCTTCTGTGGACTGGTGATCAAGAAACACGATTTTGACTATTTGCCGCAGATCCGCATGATCCAGATTGCGTCAGCCGTCATCCAGTCCCTAGAGCCGTACACGTTCAGTCTGGAGAATTTGCAGAGTTTACGGCTGGATGATAGCCAGCAGCAGGTTCATCTATCCATGCGGGAATCGGAAGATGGCGCTAAGAAGTGTCACTGGTTAGCGGGCAAGGACGCCGGTCAGGTACAACATCCTCCGTGCAACTGTTCGCATGTCTGGTATCGTCAGTTTCTGCGAGCCAAACCGTACCTGAATGCGCCGAAGAAGGAAGGTGAGGTGTTGGTCACTGGGAACTTTGCATCAAAGGAGGTTTCCGTAGGGTATAAAAATTTGCTTTAACGAAGGTATTAAACATAGAATGTGTTCTATGTTTATATATTCATGCCTTCTATGCATATAGAATATTGCTTCTGGTTTTCGTGTTTAGTTCTCGTACACAAATTACGTTTTAACTACCATTTTATGCTTTGTACAATTTCGCACATACAGAGTATCTGCAACGAAAACACGAAAACACACAAAAATTACCGGCGTGGAATTAGGTATAAATCCGATAAATTTCTGTACTATTTTTATTATACTCAGTATTGGCGAGAAATTATGACAATTAGACTCGACCATTGCCGCTCTACATTAGTGCAGACAGACAGCACCGTCTGTCTGCACTAATGTAGAGCGGCAGAGCCTTGACAGTAAACCTGCCTCTACATACACAAGAGACAAGGACGCCGGTCAGGCACAACCGTACAACATCTTCCGTGCAACTGTTCGCACGTCTTGTATCGTCAGTTTCTGCGAGCGAAACCGTATCAAAATGCGGAGATAAATGGGGGAAACGTTTATCATTGGAAACTTTACATCAGAGAAGGTTTCCGTAAGATACCAGGATTTATTTCGAAGATGAAACCGAGCAAAGAATGGCTTTTTCGCCATATGCAAGTATACTGGTCAGGGTCTGCGTGAATATCGGTGTTCACTTTTAGATTTCGAACAAAAATTTATGTGCTAACTAACAGTTACTGTTGCCGTACAATGGTGCTCAAAGTTGCTACGAAAAAATGAGAATGCGCAAAAATTACCGGCAAGAAATCAGGTATACCTAGACATTTTTGGTTTTAAGGTTTTTCGATACAGGTGAGACAATTCTCTATCTTTATGATAGATAGGAAATTATAAGCATTCTATAAAAAATACTAAACCGTCATGTTATACTCGGATATTTCGGATCTCTAAAACAACAGCGGTCGGATGAACGGAAAGGTGATTACGAACGCAAAATGCAACTGATTTCCTCACGGCAGCCCAAATCACTCAAAATCTCAGCAGCTAAAGCTTCGTGCGTAAAATAGAAGAGATTTTCCTGTTGTAGGATTTCTTTGTTGTTATTTTTTGCTAGATTTACAAGACAGGCAGCTAACCATAAGAGATGCCCAGAAGCCAGCGTAGTCCCGTAATTGATCAAGAAGCGTAACATGCTCTGTAGAGTGATGGCTGCAGTATACTGTAACAGGACGCCTGAAGTGCAACGATCTTCGCGTGTTAAGCAAGTGGTATACTTCACTGAAACTGGTGGGAACGCCCCTACTGGAGCAACTGACGAATTGAACCGGTTCATTTCATCCGTTTGACTGGGGCTCCGCCCCTCCAGTTGGAGTAGACTACATGCTTAATTACCGTACGTCAACATCTATGGCGGCTGCCACTCCGCTGCGCATCACGAATTGAACTTGTGCGGTTGTGCCTGCAGCCTGTGCGTTGAACTGTGCGTTGTCATTGTGCCTGATAAATTTGTGCCTGATTGAACTTGTGCGTTGTCGTTGTGCTCATAATTTTCGTTGTGCCTGATAAAACTTAACATTTTCTGATACTATCAGGCACTCGAGTTTGTTTTGTTCCCGTTGTATCATTTCCATCCTGACTAATCTTCGATAATGGGACTTCTTCTCGTGGTTGCTGTCGTGGTTGTGCTGGCCTTCTGCGTACTTGGCATCGGCACTTGTCCAGCTCAGGGACAGAAAGGTCTAACTGTGGAAAAATGTAAGTAGAAATGTTACATTTTTGTTAAGGCAACTTCGTTGTTTCCTTTCTCCCGGCACGATATTGCGCATACGCCATTCGTGTGTGTCGGAATGTGCAGTAAGTCTGCGTGGACCTAACACGTGAAAGAACCGTCGCGCACAAGAGGAATGAGAATTCCGAATCTAGCTTTGAACAGCATGATTGACGATTCATGCTTCATTTCCCCGGTTGTTCAGTCACTGTTAGGTTGAACCAGTCATTTTCCGTACTGCACAATTACAAATTAAGTTATAGCATCTAATGATGTACAATCTTGTCCGGTAATTTCCTACGTAAAGGTGTAAGCAGCAGATATTTAGCGCGGAGTTTGCGCTATGACCGTTTCCACTACACTACGTCGTGAATTTGTAAACTTCGCTGTATTGATTTGTCAGAAATTACCGGACAAGCTTGTACACTTTCGGGCAACTCTAATAGTAGCACCAGTTTGTAACTGTGTAATCACTAGTGAGTCGGCGAAGTCCGCCGTAAACCGTAAAACGGGCACCGCTTTTAATCAAGAGTACAGAGTTAGACAGAGCGTGTGTCTAACGAATTTCTGTCTGCTCCCTTGATTAAATGCGTTTTACGGCGCCCGGTCGCCTGCCCAGGCGGATTCCGCTTGTATACTGCTGTCTGACGTTTTATCGTCATGTCCTCTCTTCGCACTCACAAATTTGTTTCAACCATGTAACGTTACACGACATTCAGTAGAATTAATCATAAATTATTACGATGCCAAAATAAAGGCGACAAAGTGTGGGTGCAACGAGAAAGCAGCTGAAAACAGAGCGGGTGAAATTGGAACGCAAGGTCATGCAATGCATTACGACCATATTAGTACTGTATTTTCCACAGGTTTAAGGAACGCTTCAGGGGCCGGGCCGCGCACATGAGTATCGGCTCCTTTGTACTTCGAGATCAAAGTAACCGACGATCCGTGTGCGCTGGCCACGCTCCCACCCGGTTTCTTGAATGTCCAATGACTTCATCGTTTGGGGCGGGCCATGCCCAAATTATTAACCACGTAACGCCACTGGGTATGGACAGTGGGCACGGCGGAATTTTCTCAGATTTCTGTGTTGTCGAGTCAACTTGCCACCTTTTTTTACAGTGACTTAACATGCTACTCGGATATGACTCACTGTAAAAAAAGGTGGCGCGTTGACTCGACAATACAGTATTGAGAATTGAGGCTTATTATTCCTGCAACCGGATGTTGCTCCCATTAACGTTATATTTTTTGGTAATCGAAAATCGAAACTGCGAATTGACGATTCTCGCCCGGATGGCGCCCTGTGGCGGTTGGGAGCCGTACGCCTAAGCTACGCCGGGAAGTCATCGTGGGCCCGTAACAACAAGCGCTCATCCCGGCACTTTTTAAATAGCGCGCGTTCGTAAACTTTGCTCTTTGTTAATTGGGCAGATACATAAAAATATACAGAAAACTATTCTCTGCAAACGAGGCGACGAATGTGTGATAAAAATGTTTACAGTTTCCTTAAATTAAGTGGCAGTGCTGTGGCCACGGTATTACACCACCGCCCATATGATAGCACACGAACAGAAACAGAGCGAATGCGTAGTTCTCCTGTTGACGTACCGTAAAATCCCTGTTTGTTAGTGACGTCAAAATGACACACTGCCAGTCTGCAGTCCCGGCGAGAATCACGAATTTAATACGGCTGATTAGTTAATCGTTAGTTTGCCTTGTTTAGTTTGTGTTATTCACTTTCCTCCGACATGAATATGATATCTCCCTTCTATCTCTAGAACTTATTTTATTTCGGAAAACGTAGCTGTGTTTTCCTTGCATCCGCTGTATTTAGATATTATCGGTATTTTATGTCAGTATGTGTCGTACAAAGTATCACCGCAGCTTCGTGTAACTAAGGTGAAGGGACCATGCAGTTGCGACCAGCTGCGCTCATTCTGCTTCCATTTAGCCCTATTTTTTGTCGTAGTGAACCAGATCTTGAACGAAGCCAAACAACGTAACGGGAGCGGAACCATGCATCTGCAGGGTTACGGCCGTGGTCCGTCGTCCCAGGGATACCCGATCGCGGAATGGCCGCCGGGGACTGAGGTTATTCGAGCGCCGGAGGGTGGCACACTGCTGATTCCCTGCAACAACACCAACAACAGTTACAACACGCAAAGGGTGCGTATCTGGGATATCAAGACTTTAATATTACGCGAGAAATTTTTTGTTATGTGTCCTGTTACTGTTACGGGGTGAACAAGCTTGTTTGCTTTCCACGGTCAGATTCGCTTCGTCGTGAAATCTTGCCGTTTTGATTGGCCTTTCTTTAGGCGATCGTCCGCAGTTGGGATTTTCTTGGCTTTAATCTCCTGATATCGTTGTTGCAAGCTACAAATAATAATGCGTTTGTGTTAATTGTCGACTTTGCTAACAGGTTTATGACATCCGGAAACCGCCGGCGTACGCCCGCAACGATTGGCAGGTTCCTCTTATTCGAGACATCGAGGTCGTCAGTGAAGGGTTCCAGGAAGTGAATCATTGTTGCAACTTGACGAAAGATCACAATCCGGCGGAATTTATTATGCATGGCGCAATGCACGATCGGACTACTGGTGCGTTTTCCATTGCGCTGCCAAACTTTACGTACGCGGCCACAGGACTGTACGAATGCCAGCACTTCAACGGGAGCCAGTATGTGGTGACACAGCGCTACTGGGTCAGCGCGACCCTCTTCCGCCACAACGTCTTCAATCTGCCGATGAAAAACGTCACCGTCCGCTACGGCGACCCAGCGGAGATGGTCTGCGCAGTGCGCTTCAACTTTCTCCCCGGACGTCTACGAACTCGCTTCCTGTGGCGCGCTGGAAATTACTTACTTGTTGCCAAATCAATTTCGGAAGTCGCCGATAAGGCCATGTCGTGGTGGGGATTTAATGGGCGTTTTGAGTTCAGCGCCGACGAAGAGGGTAGGTGCAGCTCGACGATGAAGATCGACAGCGCCACATGGAAGGATGCCGGCCTGTACGAATGCTGGTTCCGCATCAACGATCGTCTCGACGAGTGGATCATGCAGGAAGCGTATCTGCACGTCATTTAAGCAGAGCCACCATTTGGTTAGTGGTTGGACAACTACGTGTGCATAGATCTCGAATGCTTTGAATGCGTAGCTGCTTGTTTTTCTTCTTCGGAATGGGCAGGTGTTTTTGTTAAGACAGCATTATGCTTAATTAACCAAAGATAAGCAGAGATTTATTTATTTGGAGAATTCGATGGAACGTGCGTCTGCACAAGGTGACGGTAGCATTTATAATGCTTTCCAGTGGGCTTTTTTGTTTATGAATTATTGGGGATGGGCCGCTGGCTCAATCTCACCCGAATTTGGTTTTCCTTTCATCTCTGTATTTAGGAATGTTAAAAAATTAACTAAAATAAGGAAACATAAATCATATCCATGCTTGTAGAATGTGATGTCTTACTTGTATGGTTTTTTGGATCAAAATAGCCAGTAGGCTTTCCTATCTGATTGTTTGTAGTGTAGCTGTACTAACATTAGGAACTGTGTGTTAAACTGTTAATTCAACAGTTCGCGTCTCACAATCTGTATTGAGCAAAATATGCACTAAAAATGTGCCACTTAAAATACCAAAGCGCACGTCACAAAAGCCGCCTGCGTGTTCCGACACGCAGCTAACCTGCTAAAAATGCGCACGCTGAGGCGGTGTCTCACGCTTAACAAAGAGAGTCGGTACGATCAAAGAATTTGGCTCCGCATAATTATACGAACAACTCGGTATGTACCATTCCCATAGGAAAGTAATGTTCTTTTCCATGCATTAAAATGAAAGACGAAGTGAGTATTCAAATCACGAGTAGTACTAATTAATGTTAGTGGTACTGGTAGGGGTAGCGATTACGATACTGCCACAAGTAGTAGTGTTATCGGGAAATCATTATGATATCGGTTAACTGCAGCCGGGCACACGAAGAGGCGCTGTGGCAGTTATGGAATTTACAAAATTTGTTGTTCCACCTTATGTGCGAACGGGTGTTTTACCGGGTGGTTGAACAAAATGTTGGTCTGGTATACCCAAGAAAATTAAAACAAAATCTCACAGTACGTTGAACTTTTTCACAAATTGTTTTTTAAAAACTGGATTGAGTCGGAAATTGTCCGGGATACAGACATGAATATCTCCATTTTTGAATGGAAAAACTGCAAAAAAACAGTTACCTTGAACAGAGCTCATTAATGTGCGTCAAATTAAGAATGTGCCTTAATGTGCCCTGTTTTCTTGTAGCTAAGAACTTGGACATTTAAAAAATAAATTAAAGGAAATAAAGACGTTTTGGTAAAGTAAAGGAACGATACCTGGCACATATAATTCTCGTGAAATTCCCCAGCAGGTTTCGACCGGAGCGCAGCGATGGTTCTCTAATTCAGCCAAAATTAAAAAGTGTCTGTCTGTCTGTCGGTTACGGAAGTAAGAAATGACGTCACACAAGGAGGTGGTGCTGAAAACTTCGATCGAAATGGGCACAGCCAAAGTATAAGCGGCCAAATATCAATTCGTAAGTGATCGGTAGACCAATTGAAAAGCATGTACATACCGTAATTACCGAATTTGTGGCACTCCCGCTATAAGGCCACCCCCTTAACTAGCGCACCTGGCGTCATGCACCAGGGCGTTCGAAGTTCGAACTATTTGCCGCCCAATGCCACGAATCGATGATTACGGTGTACGCCACTCTGGTCTCTAGTTACGCCACAAGAGCTACTGTGAGTCAACGGGGTCTTTTTGTTTCATTATTGTTGTCGCCTAACGAAACTGCACCACAGACGGGTCCCACCCTGCCTGCCTCTTTTTTCCTTTTGCTCACGTTACAGGTGCGAAGTTTTCCGAGGCCGAACTGGTGCAAATTCATCCAAAGACTGCATTATATGGCGGCATTTTTTGCTTCCTCGTATGACGTCATTTTACTTCCTTATATGACGTTATTGTTATTTCCTTGTATGACATAATTTACTAGCATCCAGTTCGGTCACACTGCATTTCCGCTGGCACTCACTCTCGCTTCCATTCCGACGATCCCTGTTGTCTGTTACCTAGATTTCTGCTAAAAACCCAAGCTGAGAAACCTAAGCTTTTTCGGAAAAACATGAAAATGTAAGAAAGAATTAGAAAACACCAGAAAAGATAAATAAGCTAAAATTTGTCACACGGAAGAGCAGTCGCCGAATTGAGTTATGGCCGAAATTAGCAACAGTCGAAATGAGGGCTAACCGAAGCGATCGCATGTGGCCGAATGTAACACGACAATGACGCGCGAAAAATGCACGATAAAATGCGCAGAACTCTTTTTGACCGCTGCGTCCTTCCATGCCGCATGCAATATACGAGGAAGTGACCTCATCACATAAAAAGGGAACTTTTTTATCAGATCGAAATTGCTCGTTTCAGGGTAACCATTTTGTGTGCCAGTATTTGTCGGAACTTTCCTGCGCAGAAAGTAATTTGTAATTCTGATATCGCTTACAGAATGTTGCTGATAAGTTAAGTATAATGCCTAATATTGCAGCGATTTAAAAACCGTTTTGCATGCACGCGTTTAAAAAATTAGGCCCGTGGCAACACTTGCATAGTTAGCCACTGTGCCAGTGTAAAATAAGATTTCAGAGCGCCAACCATAAATTCGCAAAGGGCGTTTTATAGTTTTCTTTCCTACTTAGCCAGCTTTGCTTTTAGAGCGTAAGTGAAAGAAATCTGTTTGTTCTACACTTTATGTTTAAGCAGACGAAAAAAATCAAAAATTTATGCAGAAGGCCAAAACTTGGGACGCGCTGCTAAGCTACGAGAAAAAGAAACGCTGCGTTCCGGTCTGCCAATGAACCAATCGACGCATTTTCCTAGTTTAAAGTAAATTTCAGACCTGCGCCTCAGAGCGATTACATGCTACCACTACCACTACCACTACCAGTAACATTAATTAGTACTACCCTTCAAATCACTGCTCACAGCCACGAGTGTGCGCAACACGGCAAGCCACCCAGCGACGGCATCCCGAAATTTCTGATTTTCGTTGACGCTAGAGCGCCTCTTATAAACGCTAAACAGGCTTGGCAAGTCGTATAACGCGGCTTTGAGTTGCGTGCAGTTCAAGATACGAGTACATCAAAAGAATGATTATGCTACCGGTTACTACACTAGTAACACTACTACGTTGCCAAAAAATTGTTTTTGTCTCGCTCAACTAATTTGCTAGGGAATTGCACCTTGATGCTAGCACTATAAAGACCGACGTGAAGCTAGAAAAATTTTAGGTACAGTAATGTCGATTTAAGATATAGGATAGTGCGTATTGCGTAGCTACTTTCAGCGCAAAAGTTAATATCTGCAGATAGGTAAGTGGGGAAGTGGCCCGGTAAGGCTACGTCTCTCTCAGTTCATTCTAAAATAGTTAACTTCCTACAACCGTAGCCTGCAACCAATTTGTAAGAGAAATTCCTCGCATGGCGTAGCCAGATGAATCGCTTGGATTGCTGTGTAAATAAACACGGAGACGGTTTGGAGATGCGAGGGAATACTTTCCTGATATTCGGTAACAGTAAGTCATGAAATGTGGGGGTTTCAGTTAATATAACGGGAGTGGGCTATAGTCACTCCCGCATAGCCACTTTGGGCACGATCAGTTCATACTATTAAAATACAAACCCAACCAACCGGGAAACCTTTATTCACTGCAATCACTGGCAAACTGAAAAACCGCGTAACCAGTATTCTCGTGCTATTGTGGTACACAAATTCCATGCGTTCCGTTACATGATTTAATGAATTAGCTAAGCCTACAAGTGTATGGCAAACTGCTCCATAGACGACTATTTTAAAGGCAGAAAGCGTAAATCGATGACATCTCGTTCCGCGTTTTACGTTTTACCCGAACTTTCTATTTCTCAAAACAAAATTTCTTTCTGCATTTGTTCTTTGAGTTATAGTCTGAAGAGATTGAACGACTTCCAAAACTACCGAACCTGCTGCCTGCATGGGTTGCTCACGGTAGTTGCTGTACGCAACGGTGTTCATTCATTTCGAAAACTGTACATTTCAAATCTCGATAATCCATGAAATCTAAATGGATGTATTTTTATGTTTTCTTTTTGTTATTTTCATGTTATTCTTGTGTATTAATACGGTTTCTTATTTTTCATGTTTTCTTATTTTTTTCTGATTTCTTACGCTTTCTTTCGGTTCTTATGTTTTTCATATGTTTCCTTTGGTTCTTATGTAATTATGTTTTCTTATTTTTTCATTTTAAGTCTTGCTAATTAACTAGTTTTTGAATGAACAATCAAACCGAAGATAAATCAACAAGGTACAAATGACAATCCTTTATCCACAAAGGTTAACACGAGTTTTGTAAGTTGCACAATAGAAGACCACAGTCCTTCAAAAACATGTGTTGCGTGCCAACACCATTTCCCACGAAGGGTTTTAAGTACACGAACGGGTGTAATTTCGGCAGCAGCTACTTATTACGTAATCGAATCAAGTTGCTGCCGGTTTGTTCATACATACATGCGCCACACGGTTCCGGTGGTCGACAAAAAGCGTTTTTCTGATCAGCAACCATGGCGGTCGGCGTAAAAACACAATCGTCTCAAAACTTGTCTGTCTCCTGACAGTAAAATGTTCAAGGAAATAGAGTATGGAACTATATAAAATGGCAGCACAGCACTGTGCGCTGTGCCGCGTTACTACCTACGCTAGCGATGCATAAGTAACTTGGGAGCCGGGTAGCTTCGAAAAAACATGGGAATTTTAATTCTGACGAGCCTTTGGCACTTGCAAACCACACGGGTCCTCAAACTAATGTGCACATTGGTGATTTTGACCTTTGCGGCAGCCTTACGGGTTGCTTCGGGCTACTAGTGCGTTTCCAACTGCTAGTGACCGCTCGTATCTGAACGGGCGGCGTTGGGCGCCTATCACCACTGGAGCCGCACCATCCCCGCCTCTTTTTGATACTGGCACATGCAGCCAAATCCAGGAAAAGTGCAACCGCGGACGATGCAGGCATCATAAAGGCAACTACGCGTGCCAGAAATTAAGCAGTTGTGATGCTACACTACTTAAAGAGTAATTTTGTGCAGTATAATGCCAGTATTACAATATACAGTGGTAATAAAAACTATGGCAAAGAAATGGCGTTAACACAATTTATTCTCTGTATATTCTATCGTAGAAGTTGTCGAAATAGGTACATGGAAACGAGTTTTGGTAGTTTTTATTTTTTGTTTGCTGACCAGCGGTCAATGTGTTGACCACTTCTAAACCCCAGTTTAAAGTACTTTTTTGAACTGTTTCATAAAGTTATTGCATTTACGTATTCCTGTTTGGCTGATTAAAACAAAATAAAACTTTTTTATGCTACAGAATGTCTATGGGCATTGCCATTTACAGCAAACACCCTAGTCAGCATCGGCAACGCCCGCTGTACTGTATGGGCAACGCATACTGCTGAGAAATCTGTCGTTTTCGGCGGTATTTAAATAGAAAGCGGATAGAGAGAAGTCCGCATGAAGACAGCCCATGGCTCATTTTCCGAGAAGGACGCTTCATCGCGGCACGGGAGAAAAGCTCATCCCGAACCAGGAAAGCGCTCCTTCGTACGCCAGGATATCGCCATCCCGAAAACTAAAAAGAAATAACACAGACCAGAATTAGATTATGTTATAAAATATGCAAGAAGGCTATCTTGATCCGATCAAAAGCAAAAATCGATGACTGAATGCAACCCACCCTACCACCCCGCGACGGCGGGCGAATGCATCAGCAAATAGCGATGTCTAGCATTTCCATTTAAACACAGTTCCTCCTGTGACGGATTTGTACCTCACAAACCATTTGTCGTAACACCTGACTATTAGCTAATAGTAGGTTTGCATTTTGCTGATTATAGTCCATTGAATCGTTGAATGATGGCCGAAATTTCCGCACGCCGAAGTAAGCGTCGGTCAAAGTAAATGGCGGGCGAAGTGAATTACGGCCGAAATGAAAACGGAATGATCGGTAGCCCACTTTTTTCCCGTACAAAACATGTTAATTTTTTTAACTGTTTTATTTGGTAAAGGACATCTTTTATTACGTAAACGAGAAAAGAGATGTTGGCATGCGCTGAATGAACTCTGCAGTTTTTCAACTATTTTTTGTTGTTGTTTTAGTTGGAATTGTAAGGTTGTAACTTTGTAGAAACGTCGGCTTAATGTTACCGCTTCCGGACTCCACTGGGGGCACTGGAGCCCCGGCTGCTGGGAGGCTGGTGCTCTCTGTGATCGGCTGTGTGCGGTGACCGTGGGTCAGCGAGAAGCCGGCCGACCGGGGGTCGGCAGAAGAGAGCGACCAGTGCCCTGCGCAACCGAAGGCCCCTTTATTGAGCAAGTGCGAATAACAGTTGAGCAAGTGCGAAATAACAGCAGAAGAAAACAGCAGGGTGAGGCGGGTGGTAAAAGAACAGAGATCACTCGCGCGCACACGATATCGAAGGAGCAAAGACAGACAGCAGTGAGAACTGCAGAACCATGCAATGCGGGTACACGAACAGTACCAAGTGCAAACAGCATGCCCGTGCATGACGACGGCCGCTTTGATCTAAGCGCCACGGCGACGCGCAGCGCCACCAACAGACTCACGTAACTCGCAACACACGGCGAAAGGAGACAGAGCGGGAGCGCATGTCCTCCAGCTAACATTAACATCAATTAACTCGTTAATTGTCATTTAATTGACGAATGCAGCCTAGTGATCGTTTTAGCCGAAAATAAGTTTAAACCCGAGCTGGTCTGATAAGCCATCGGAGGCTTCCACTCTGTCCGACAACTCCGATGGTTCCATCGTAAAAAGAGATATACTGTAGGAAAAATTCTACAATTATCATAGCGCAGCGGATCAGGAAACTGTTTATCGGGCAAAGCGACGAAATCCTTAGCACCGCGGAAGTTTTCTCCGATCTTTTCCTTAGCGTAGCGGAATTTTTCTCCGATCTTTTAGCAAAAAGTTAGTTAGAAAGTGAAAGCGTAATTGCAAATAATTAAGGTCGATGTCTACGTGCACGGGAAAACACGGTGCTGGTTGCGTACGTGCACAGGTGTTTGCACGTGGTTTGGCTGCGTGCGCCAAACCATGCGCCTAAAGGTCATTTATTGAACTTAAATCAGGCACAATCGAGGTGAAGGGGGCCATGGAACGGTGCTGAAAAGAGAAGGGCATTGAATACGGTGAATCTTTGCTATCGCAGTGACACCACGTATGTTTGCGGGTGGTGGTCATTGCGGGCTTGACCCAGGAACGGTAACATACGAACCGGAAATGACGCGAAACGCCTGAAGAACATTCGAAGCCATGAACATCGCCCAATTAAATTTCTGCACCGGTAGAACTGACAGAGGCCCGACCCCTAAGCTTTATTTTTTCTGACAGCACCTCGGTTATGGCACAATATGTCTCAAAAAAAAGGGCTGAAAAGTCAATCTATGTTGGATAAATTGTGAAAAAAGCTATGAAATTATAGGAAATTTTGAAAATAAAATTTAAAAATATTCGATAAATATCCCAATGTGAATGTAAAAACTAAAATCCCGTGCACCCACTGACGATTTCCGTGCACGGAGCCGGCGCCCGTGCGGACTCAAAAAGGTCACGCGTGCACACAGCCAACGTCCGTGTTTACCCATGCACGCAGCCATAATGAATAATTAACCGAAGCGCAATCCTATTCAAAAACCAATCGCGTAGTGTGTAAAATCACAAATCCACTTTTTGGAATGCTCCAGAAAGTGTAGCACCGTTTAAATTTTAACTACCGATTTACTTCTACCGATTTAACTTATTTAACTACTTTTTTTAGCTACCCATTTTCGTCCGCTAGAGCGGTAGCGGAGGATCGGATTTATGGTATCGGAAATTTTGGTATCGGCAATTTTGGTATCGGCTTACCGATGCCAGCACAGACAAGGAGGCCGATGATTATTTGAACACAATGTTCGCGCCATGTCCATTCACCGCCAATCGGACTAGACGGGTGAGCTGCTGTCACGGTATCCTTTGGCTCCTTTTGAGAACGATCAGATTGTTTTGCATATCCTTCTTCATGGTTTTCCGTTCCCGTAGATAACATTGTATTTGCATCTGTAGTAAAAACTGCTGCAGTGAAATTTAAATTTTCGAACCATGAATTTAATACTACAACCACGGGGACGGGGTATAAGGGATATACATTGTACACCATACACCTTGCTGCAACCGTTCAACGACAATTTCTCAGCGGGCACCAGTGAAGTGGTTTATGTAATCCACCTGTACCACAATAAAGCGATGTTTGATGGTTCGTCGGTGACCGTTGCTGAATTTCCTGACCGCTATCTCGATCTTGCTGACTTAAACGTGATGACGACTTATTGTTGACCGACAAAATGTTTACCCGACATTTCGATAAAACGATGATCCGATGATCGACAGGTTGTTAAACGACAGTTTACTGAACCCTGGCAATTTGCTGACGACAATCTGCTGACTTAATAAAACATGAGAAATCGTAACCAAACATAAGAAAACCTTAAGCATACACAAGAAAGTATAAGAAACATAAAAAATAAAAAAAGACCCATCCTGAGGACATCTTCTGGATGGAGAAAGCATGAACATTTTTTTTCTCGAATGGAACCGGCTACTACTTACCTGTATTTTTGTTAAAAATGTATGGATTTTGTCAGAAATTTCTATAGTGATTATGTAAAAAACCAAATAAAGAAAATAAAGCGTTAAATTATTAGTAAATACTTTTTAAAAAATAAGACTAAATTAATTACCCGTGCACGCAGCCAACACCCGTGTTTATCCGCGCACGCAGCCATAATGAAAACATTAACCGATATAGGTAGCGGAACGGAACAAAAGAGGAACATGAGGACCTAAGGCAAGCTAGGAAACCAAGGCGAGCCAAGAAATCCAAGAAAAAACACCCAAAAGGCCAAGAAACCTAGAAACCAGACCGATAGGTAAGCTGTTAGTCAACAAAATAGTTTCAGAAAACTTCGGGCACCAAAGTTTTCGAAAAGCAATTCTTCGCAGGCTGCATTATTCAGAAATACCGGTTTGTCGTTCAGCAAATTGTCGAGCAACAAAACGAGGTCAGAGAACTGACGTGTTATCCAAATTTTGCCTAGTTAAAGGACAAACGTCGGAGCCCTTAGATCAAAAGGCAACAGGGGAAACATCTTGCGCTAAATTCTCACCAAAATCTGTGAAAAGCATTTAAACTATAGTGGGTCGTTGTGCTAAAATGCTTATAGCCACACTCTGCCCAAAGTCGATTTGCAAGAAATTTTTCCAGAAACTGGACACACTTTTAAGAAGCTCTGGAAACGCTGAAACACCCTCCGTAGTCCGTGGTCGTACTATCATCATATATTCATAATTTAAGAATTATCATACGTGCAAAATATCGTTACTCACAATGCTTCCCTTCGCATATTTTCGGGTCCACCTTTTGAAGTCTCTTGCATGCACCCAGTGAGGACATCCCAGACGCGAGCTCCTTCAAAACTGGCACGCTAAACGTCTGATTAAGCGCGTTGATCATGTAATAACACTGCAATATAAAATATAAAAAATGTAAAAACAAGCATATAAAATTAAATACAAAGTAAAAACACTTACGAAAAGATGTTCCTCGGTTAACTCTGCTGCTTTGCAGGCGGCATTCACTTCCTCTTCGATGACGCTATTGGGACTGAAGTGATTATGGATCCCGAGGGTCGGGAGGCGTTTGCTGATCTTTTCCAATATACTCACACATCCTATAAGTTTTAAAGTAAACTCAAAACTGTAAAGCTTTGCACTACATGTTTTGCTACTGAATGAAGCTAACGCTAGTGACTAGCGGCAAGATAATTAAACTACACACCAGACTTTGCCCATCTTTTGGTTGGGCTGAAAATTTTCCCCATCTTTTCCAGCCCATCCCTTTTTTAGATGAAATGGGGATGGGATGAGGACAAGCAGCGGATGGGCTGAGATGGGCTGATAATGTTGGAAGATGGGATGGGATCAAGAAGAACGATTTTTAAATCAATTTTTTAAATTTTCATGATTTTCTTAGCTAAACTCACGGAAATTCATATTTTCAGTCGAAAAAAATAAAAAATTTCCGCGCTTCCGCGCGGATTTTAAGCTGTTTGCGGTTTAACATTCTCAATTCGCCTGGAATTTCTGCGCTACGGGTTGATTTTTACGCGTTAATTTTTTCACTTTGGTTAATCTTCAACAATTTACAGTACTAAAAGTTTTTAAAAAAATGGGCTGAAAATGGGGCCTCAAAGCTGGACAGGGCTGGTGAACTAAGGTGGCTGGAGATGTGCTGGGATGGGAGTTGCGCACGACAGATGGGGATGAAATGGGGATGGGAAAAGTCGAAGATGGGCAAAGTCTGCTACACACTTACATTACCTGAACCATATGTTACCAGATTGGCATTCGCTGAGAAATACCCTCCTACGCTAGAAAATGACAAGCTAAAGGGCACCATATCAGAAAATTTTGTATTCTGAAAGTACTGTACATCAAAGGAAACGCAGCCAGGCCACCTTTTCATGCTCTGATCAGCTTGGCGCGCATTGATTACACGTGGCCCCGTGGGCAGTTGCCAGCTAACTGAAGTTAAAATTTTAAGGTCCATCGACCGGACCGTAGCAAAGGTCTTCTAAATTCAGGACAAATGCAGAAATGTGTCTGTGCCCGTTACCGAAGTAACAGCTATGACGTCACCTGTTACGAACGTCACAGGTATGAAGTCGCTGCAGCCGATATGCATGACGTTATCAATGGCTATTAAGACGTACCGGGAGCCCGGCACGTACGACGTACCGGGAGCCCGGCACGTACGACGTACCGGGAGCCCGGCACGTGCACAAGCGCACTGCAGAAGCTGATCTGTTTTCCTTGCGGAAGGTTGTTACTAAATGACAGCCCAAACGCACCCGTGGAACAAGAGATCCTTTAACATAACTTAGAACACCGTAAGAATGAGTGCGTAACAGAAATTACAGCAGTACTTTCACTGAACTTTACATTATCCTAGTCATAAACAGGTGCATGCAAGTCAGCTGTGAACTCGGCCGGAAAACTTAAATGTTTACGAACACGGATGAGGGAATATGGACTACAGAGCGAGAGAAAATGTCCGTAAGAAATACAGTACAGTAACTAGAAAAATGCACCGACATGGGAACTGGTAGAACGGAGCGCAGATCCTATTAGGGTTAAAAAAGGGAAGATGGCTGAATTGGAAAAATTTGTTTTTCAGTGTGCAGACAACACAAGAAATTCAGTAGGCGGTGACGGCAGGCATAATTTAATCTATTCTTTTTTAAATTTCTGTCAACAAAACTCGCGCAACGGAAGTATCAATACGGTAAAAGACCGCTTGCTCTCCGCAACTTTACCCATGAAGCTTTTTGGCTAAGTAATAATTACGAGTACTTCTATACTTTACTGGCACCGGCGATTACCTAATAAATTTATGATATAAGCGTTTGTCTGCTACGCTTCGCTACGTACCCACCATAAGCGAGTGCTATTTCCTAGTACATCCTTACCTCGGCATTTCCGTTCTTCCTTTTTACTGTGAGCTGACAATACAGTTATAATCAGCAATCCAGCAAGAAAACAGATATTTATAAACGATTTGAAGAGATGCATTATGGCAGAATTGAAGAAGACGTTACACCAATAAATTACTGTGATTATGTGGAACAGCACTCGGTAGTAAAATTTCATTTACTGAGTGAGAACACTTACTCGATGAGTAAATGGCTGTTCCACAGGTGATAAGAGTCACAGAACCACATTAAATAATGAATTAGCGATCAATATACTATATTCGCATATTGATCGCTATTTCCCGTAATTAGTCCCCGCCAGCAATAAGCTCCCATCCCTCAATCTCCCTAAAATTATTCCCCAGGGTAGCGTTAATAAGTGCCAAGCGCAACGATAGCGATCACGATCTGCATACGGAAATCAAATTCTAATTATGGAAACCATTTAAGGTACAAAGTACCGTAAATGGTTTCCATAATTAGAATTTAATTTCCGTATGAAGGTCAGTACTGAACGCGAAGCCCTGACAAATTCGATTGTCACCCAGTATGTCACGTACGTAATTACAGCATGTCAAGCAAAGAACGGATCAGCTAGATAAGCCGATCAATAAAATATAGGAGGGAATATAGGAGGGAGCCGCCAGCAGCTCATGCCTCATGTACCGAGCCGCGTAGCTTGCACGGCACGTCCCCACGCCAGAGGGATCCGGTTGCCACCGTGCCCGTAGTTAAGCACCACTTCCAAAGATTTATCGGATTCCAGCGGAAGACTGTCGTTCTCCAGTTACCGGGCCGCCACGGCCGCAGACCGACCCATTCTTACACAACATAAACATCCTAAAACAGACAGCAAAAGTCGCACAATCGGTATGTATATTCCCGACACAACTTTCACCGACGATACAGTAATATAGGGGGGAAAACCATGTCAGTCGAACCAATTCACGGCACTGCTGCCGTCACCCAGCTGGAGTGTGACGTTACGGCAGTACATACCGTTTAGCCACAACGTAACGTACGCACCATGTTTAGCCACAACGTAAAACTCCAGCCGGCTGACGGCAGCAGTACAGGAGAATGGTTCGAGTAGACTGCTTTTTCCCCCTATATCTCCGACGGAGAAAAGTATGAAAATCAAATCCGTACGGTATGTTAATTAGTATAATACTTCGATGATTTTCGCAGTAGAAACGCTTTCAAATTTGACTAGATTATGAGAAACACTCAGCTGCATTAGTATTTATTAGTCCCTCTCTGTAGCGTTCGGCAACTTGAACAACAGCTGAGCAGTTGTATGTGTAGGTCATACATTTCATATTCAAGCGTTATATTTTACTGTACTTTTGCACTTACTCAAAAAGCTGAGCTTTCTGCAGAGTTGCTGTAAAACATTATCCCATGGAAAATTATTTTTCTCTTGGGTGAACGTGGAAATCATCACGGCGGGTGCTTTTTCATCGATCCTTGACAAAGTCATACAGCAAAAGCTTTCCCAGTGCAATATCCTTCTTATATAAATGACTGTATATAAATGGACTGCACTTTTAGCGATGGTCTTCCTGTTTACCTGTAGTGAGGGAACCGCCGCACAGCAGCGCTTCTTAATGGCCACCGTCTCTTCCGGTCGCACAGCCGTCTCCCAGTCTTCCGGTTGGCGGTGCCACCCAGGACCACCGTCTCGCGGTTAGGGTAGATGTACGTGCTGCTCTCGACCATGTAGAATTCTTTCACCCACGGGGCATCCACCCGCACCAGTTGTCCGCGCACCGGAATAACGGTCTCATCTTCCACCAGGGCGCGGGCGCCCAGTCAGCTGCAGTTGACCACCACGTCGTAGTCGTGCTCGGACAAGCCGCTTAAATGCAGTAAGGACAGGTTGTCCAGCGTGCCGCCCTTCTCCAGGAACTAGGTTTGGTCAGATAGCGCAGGTACAGGGAGGTTTCGACGATCAGCGTGCCGTGGAAGGAGCCGTAGCGCCAAGGACCACCGTGGCGGTCCAGTTCGGCTACGAGGTCACGGTACTGGGCGGCGCCCGGCACATCGGGGTCGTTGTTGAAGAAAATATAAGCTGAAACCGTAATACTGTAAATTAAACTAAAAATTCATCCACGTTGAAACTGAAATTTTTACTCAACATTTCTAAAAAACATTCAGTTAAAAAAATTCAGTTATTTCTAAAAAGACATTCAGTCTCTATTTCTAAAAAACATCTAGTAAATTTATAATAAAAGAATTTATCTGGTGACATATTTTTGCAAGAATCAATAATAAAAATCGCGATAACTGTAAAAAATAAAATACAAGACTTTCGTTTGCCGCCCGATTGTACATGTACAGAGTATATACAGAGTATTCGTACAAATTTTATCAACAAACAGGTGCACCTTATCATTCTGCTGATGCTGTTTAAATTCGAATATTCTTCCTTCTGGAGACGACAAGACCGATTTTTTCTCGGTAAAAAAGTTGTTTGATAAATACATTGTTCAAAACGCCGACTTTGTTGATCGTCTGGGGTAGGGATTTCGTTCTGATACGTCATATTAATAGTGATCTGATGGACGCATTAGGCGCGTTTAGCCGAACAAAGGGAGACTCGAATGACCGCGGATGGCTGAACAAATGGACGTACAACGATCACAAAAATGGATTTGTACGATTGTCGAACTTTCAGTTGTACAAACACGCTCCATGTCAGAGATTTGCCACTGACGTCAGCGATTGAGGAGCCGCACCAGCGGCGCATGCATTCTGTTCTGACTAGCGCTGATCGGTTTGATGTGACATTAATGACAGGATTTACAATGTCGCTTAATGGTGTGTTAATGGGGTCGATCGGGAGAATGTATTACGGTACTATGTCAAGCATACCGCTTAACGGGAAGATGCCGGTCTGGGCGGCATGATCGCTGACGGATAATTCGGCGTAATGCTTCCACGAGGCTTCGATCCATTTGCCGGTATCCGCTGGGATGTCCGCGGTATATAATTTTGTACGGCGGAATAGGCAGGGCGGGCAGGCGCTCGTTATGTTGGACAGTTGGGGAACACGTGCTCCGAAAAAATTGCCGGTGGGCGGTGGCATGCGTTCATTTAATTAAAATTTGTCATTTAGTATAATAATTTCATTAACTACACGAAATACAACGTAGACTGCATTGTGCAAGCGAATGCATTTATTTCTATATGCATAATTTATTATACAATAAGTTTACCACATAAAACGCGAGCATATACCAAATATAAAGTAACGAGGACAACTTGATTCCTATGTTATAGGGAAAATATGTAAATTGCAATTTTAGAAGCACAATAAATAACAGTTCAATGGGATAACTTAATGACAGTAATAAAAAAGAGATGAAATTTAAAATGAAATTGAAATAACATCATTCAAACTTAAAATGTAACAAAAGAATTTCCCGTAAATGCCGCTTGTGCTTTGCTCAGTGCTCAGTTCCCGGGGAGGCATATCCATAAACGGAAATTAATGTACGCTGTATTTATTCAATATTATTGGTAATGGCATCGACTGCGGATTCAGTTATTCAGAGAAAATTTGATTCAAAAATTAAGAAAAAAGTCATACAAAAGCTTCGCCATTGTTACCTGGTAATCCGACTGTTCATTCTACTTAATTGCGGACCGCCGCCATGAGCCCGGCGAACGCCACCGCTACGTACCGTTAGCATGGTAAATCACGCAGCTAATATGTCTCAGCAGCGTGTGTAATTAACAGTGTGTTATTTTCTTCGGTTGGCTTGTGAAACATTTGCTGCTTGGTGCAACGCGTCTGCTAATTTGTTGAAGATGGCCTGCAAAAAGCTGTATAACCGAACGGGAGAAAGCCGCTCCAGTTGTTTTCTCTTTCAGTGTTTCAGTTTGGAGATTCTACGTGATTATACGGTAAATGCAAATGCTCAGTGTTTTGGGAACTGTGGGTTGGTTTTGTGCCTGGCAGATGGAGCAGATTTTTCATTTGGATGTTGTTTATGTTGGGGTAGCCAGTAAGCGTACAGAATAAAGTCATTTGATGTAAGTGTACCTACAAGCCTCCCAGCAGTGGCTTTAATTATGCGAAGCTGGATTCCTTTGTACCGTTATAGAGCGTGAAGCGCCTGCACATTCTGCTGCTTCCGACACGCAGGCGGCTTTGTGATTAGTGTCGTATGTACCTTTATTACGGTATATCAATAAAAAGACGCATGACCCCGTACCCAGATATCCGTACGAATGTGTCAAGTGCACTTGACACAATACCATCAAACCAGGTGCGTCCCATCACATTTTCCATTCCATAAGCAAAGCATGCCCATTCCTGGTTAAAAGTAACTCTGTCTTGACAAAAACACTTAACCATTCCAGTGTAAAAAACAAACTGCTTCAAATTATCCAGAGCAAACGAAATACTAACCAAATGGTTGCTCTAATTAGTTAATAAGGTGCAGATACGCTTCCTGCATGATTTACTAATCAAGACGATCGGCACTTGTACTAATCAAAACGACGCGGAAACAGCACTCGTACAGTCTTTCCATGTGGCGCTATCGATCTTCATCGTCGAACTGCACCGGCCCTGTTCAGCGACGCCGTTCTCAAAACGCCCATACAATCCCCGCCAAGAGGGTCGCGCTGAACCAGTAACGCTGCATCACCACCACATGGCTCGCATTGGAGTGCAGCCATTCGTACAGACGGGTGGCCGCGTAAGTAAAGTTCGGCAGCGACGTGGGAAACGCACCAGAGTTCGGATTGTATAGCTGACCCTGCAGAGTGCGTTCCATCTGATCGTTATCTTTTGCCAAGTTGCAACAATATTTCACGTCCTGCATGGAGCGCTTTTCTGACTATTGTAATATCTGGAATAAAGAAAACCTGCCATCCATTGCGTGCAAGGGCCGCCAGTTCCGGGTGTGGTAAACCTGTTAGTAATGCGGACAGTTAGAACAAGCTTAATTTTTCAAAAATTTGCAGTGTTAAACGGTATTTGGATGATTAAGGCAAGGAAAATTTGGAAAATAATTTAGGTAGCGAAAGCGAACAACAATTCATACTGGTGTAATTCTGTCCCTGCAGATCGGATTAAACCCACGATACGAATCTGACTGTGGAAAGCAAACCATATTGCGGTATACCACATCTAAAGCACAACTTTATAAAGGCGGCAGTAAAGTCGATTATCGACATCAATTTTTCCATAAAATAATTCGGATCGGCGTTTTCTTCAAGTTGTAATTGTGAAGATATGAGAAACGGACTTGCTTTCCGATGTGTATAAAATGTGTTTTCATTGAGGTGGCTTTTGACGATAAATTAAAGTGCACAAAATCCTCGTTACCAACAGCTACCAAAAGCGACTAAATTCGTCTACACGAAACGTTAAAAACCACATTATGTGCGATGTCGCACATGCAATCATTCACATATGGCACGGTTAGTACACGTTTAAGTTTTTTGGGCATGTGTTTTTAGCTGTATCCACAGTATCCCACCGTATTCCACAATATACAGATACTCTGCATATTTTCATGTATCCCCTAAATTTTATAGTTTATACTTTGTCTTGGTTAATGCAGTATCCCACCATATCTCAGCAGTATCCGCATGTGCATACCGAATGTAAGTGTTATCCGGATACTCGATGGATACAGTAAGGATACGTTAAGATACGTTGGGCTACTGCAATTACGGATGATCCTTAAACTTGCATTCAAGTTTTCAACAGGTATCAGGATACATGAAGGATACGTAAAGGATGTGGGATACGGTGGAATACTGGCTACATCACTTAAAATGTATTCTGCACGTAATACAATATTGTTGTTGTGGTCATTCCTTTTAATTAGCGTATCCCACAGTATTCCCACGGTATCCTTGGCGTATCATCCATGGATCCCGTGATTATGATTTCTTAGTATTCTTAGGTTTTTGTAGGTTACTTAGGTTTTTTAATTGGGTTCATGTGGGATATATAGAGGATACTGCAGAGATACGGAAGGATAAGGCAGCAATCGAACAGAAGTCAAAAAATTGTAAGGATACATTAGGGATACGCAGAGGATACCGCGGGATACAGCGGGAGACTGTGGGTACAAGCAAAAAAACATGCCTCGAAAAATATAACGTGCACTGAGTCGTCCATATCTAAATCATTTAGATGCCAAACCGTAGAAAAGAGCTGCCTGTCCTTCTGGAATGGAATTTTCACCTGTCCTTCAAATTTTAAACTACCAGTACCGCATCAAAACTTTTGAAAAAAATAGTTTTAAGTTCATTAAATTATTGTTATTTTATGATATGAATTTCAACGTCGACAAAAAATTTCTGGGTACCTCGGCAATTGCCAGGTTAACCCGGTAAATCAGATCACTGCGAAAGTATGCTGCTTATTTTCAGCGGAACCTGCACGACTATGCAGTCTGCATGTGCGCAGGCCGTCTTGCAGCATGGATCCAAACAGATCGGGCAATATTAATGTCATCAAATGTCCCATATTTACCTTGTGCGTGTTCTTAATGTCGTTGAAGCGCAGCGTCACCACATACTCGCTCCCGTGGAAGTACTGGCATCCGTACAGTCCCGTTGCCGCGTATGTAAAGTTCGGCAGCAGGATGGAAAACGCACCCTCGACCAGATTGATCATTTCGCCTTGAATCTTAAATTCCCCCGGACTGCAATCTTTCGTCCAGCTGCAACCGTAATTTGCGTCCTGGAACCGCTCCATGTCCACCTCGATACCATGAATAACGAGAACCGGCCATCCGTTACGTGCGAACGCCGGCAGATTCCGGATGTTGTAAGCCTATTAGTAATGCAGCAGTTAAAGCATGCTGTATTTTTTGGCTCGCAATCGTTATTAGGATGATTAGAGCTAAGAAAATCTGATTCGGGAAACCAAATTAATACGAACACCTAAAGGGCAACTTTGCTAGATTTGCTAGATTCTGAATTGCTAGATTTGCCATAACTAAACCGACGGTGCGAATCTGACTGTGGAAAGCAAACCAACTTGTTCACCAGGCAAGCGACATAATACATTAAAATTGCTCTATTACTACCAAGCACAACGAATGGTAAACAAAGAGCACAGAAGAGGGGACAGCAAGGTAATCAAGTATTCACTGTGTCAGCAACCAATTTCTTGCCACACTGTACCAAGTATTAATCAAGAATCACAATTTCTTGCGTGAAACTGGACTATACTCCTATTATCCATAACGAATGACGGTTTAAACCGGTAAATCGGCTTATTGCGTAAGTATTCTGCTTATTTTCAGCCGACTCTGCATGCGCGCCCGCCGTCTTGCGGTATGAAGTAACACAAATCGGGCAATATTAAAGCCTTCAAATGTCCCACACACCTTAGGCATGTTATTAAGGTTGTTGTCGCAGGGCATCAACAGCGTGCCACCATCTGGCGCTCGAATGACCTCAGTCCCTGCCGGCCATTCCGCGATCGAATATCCCGGAAGCGGGTCCTGCAGATGCATGGTTCTGCTCCCGTTACGTTGTTTCGTTCCATTCAGAACCTCGTTCACTGCGCGCAGAAACTAGGTTCAACGGAAAAAAAACGAGCGCAGCAAGTGACAACTGCAGACTTACGATTCTCCAGACCGCTTTGAGCCGGACAACTGACAATGCCTTGTACGCAGAGGGCAAGCACAACCACGGGAAAAACAGCGAAAGTATGACCCATTTCTACTCTAACTAATCTTCACTGGCCAGTCTTTCCTCGTAAGATTTTTAAAGCGATGCAAATTTGTGCATAATCTAGCGTAGCTGAAACAACTACTAAAAACCTTAATTTTGCCGACAGAGCTGCACACAGCATTAACGTACAATTTAGAACAGTTTATAATAACGGTCGCACACTCCCATACCATTCAGTACGCATGCGGCGCAACGCACTTGTACGGGATATTTTGATTAAGCCGTTCTGACAAAAGAAGGTGGAGACGAAAGGCCTCTCATGGAAAGATAACCAAAGGCCGGATGTAATCACACTCGTACCATGGAAACGGCTCCCCGTTTCCATGGTACGATAGTCGCTGGCTATGGACGTGACCTGCGTGGACATCGGACTCCCTCGCCGCCTCATACATCGATTGCACCTCGGTTAACGTCGGGAGCCGCAGCGGAGCACGCCGAAAGAAGGCAACTGACGAAACACAGCTGGCTTCAACCTCGGTATAACTTTATGGCGGCATCATTGGGAATTTACGGACCGTGGGGAGACATAACAAAAAAGCTTGTGGATAAGATTGGAAGCAGTATCGCCAACACTACAGGCCAAAAACGTGCGAAGGAGTTTTTTAGACAGCAACTCTCGATCCAGATACAACGGCGGAATGTGATCTGTGTAATGGGTGCAGTACATTTCCCGATCAGGATAGCACTGAGAAAATGTTTCTATTATAAATTTTTTCTAGTACTAACAATTGTAAGTTTTATTGGTTCCATTACTTCCATGATACCATAAACTTACTACAGAGAAGGTAGGCGAAAAAAACAAAATAAAATTTCCATTTCGCCGTTATAGAAAGCAAATTGGAGCCACCATTTAGCGTGGCCCTACAAATCTTTAACGGCAAGCAGCTCCTGTACCAGCCGCGTAGCGTGCACGGCACAGCCCCACGCCAGAGAGATCCCGTTGCCGCCGTGCCCGTAATTATGTACCACTTCCAGAGATCTGTCGGACTCCAGCGGAAGACTGTCGTTCTCCAGTCGGATACTGGGCCGCCACGGTCGCAGACCAGCCCATTCCTCCACAATATGAGCATCCTGTAATAAAACAACAAAGGTCAGATAATCGCTTTGCACATTCCCAGCGCAACTTTTGCCGGCGAGATAACGGTATAGCCAATGCAGATTAAGAGTTTGCAAATTAAATGTATTCAGTATACATGAAGTATCCGTATAATGTTACGAAGTTTTTCGTTGTAGAAACGCTTTCAAGTTTCACCGTATTGTGAGAAAAACTCGCCATTAGCTAAATTACGAGTATTAGACCATCTGCTGCAGTGGTTACAGTTCAGGCCTTTTATGTTCACGCATTAATTTACTGTAAGTTTCTGAAAGTATATTTAAAGGTTACTGTAAAGTATTAGCCCATAAAAAATTAATTATTTTTCTTGCGAGTAAACGGGGAAATCATTGTCGAGGGTGCAATTCTACATCAAACTTTGTCGAAGTCATATAGCAAAAGGGTTTCCAGTGCAATATCCTTTCTAATATATATGGTTGCATTTAACGATGGTTTTCCTGTTTACTTGTAATGAGGGAACCACCGCACAGCAGTGCTTCTTAATAGCCACCGTCTCTTCCGGTCGCACGGCCGTCTCCCAGTCTTCCGGTTGGCGTGTGCCACCTAGCACGATCGTCTCGCGGTTAGGGTAGATGTACGTGCTGCTCTCGGCCATGTAGAACTCCTTCACCCACGGGGCATCCACCCGCACCAGTTGCCCGCGCACCGGAATAACCGTCTCGTCCTCCACCAGGGCGCGGGCGCCCAGACCGCTGCAGTTGACCACCACGTCGTAGTCGTGCTCGGATAAGCCGCTTAAATGCAATAAGGACAGGTTGTCCAGGGTGCCACCCTTCTCCAGGAACTGTTTGGTCAGGTAGCGCAGGTATAGGGAGGGCTCGACGATCAGCGTGCTGTGGAAGGAGCCGTAGCGCCACGGACCACCGTGGCGGTCCAGTTCGGCGCCGGACAGCTGGCGGAAGTTTGGTACGAGGTCACGGTATTGGGCGGCGGCCGGTAGATCGGGGTCATCGCTGGATAAAATATAACCTGAAACCGTAATTAATTACATTAAAAATAAATCAAAATTGAAATGTTTGTGCAGAATTTCTGAAAAACAAACAGTAAAATTATAAAAGTAAGAGCTTATTTATTGAAATGTTTCTGTAAGGATCACTAACAAATTCCGATAATTACCTACAAAAAAAATACAATATTTTCGCTTGCCGCCTGATTATACAAGTGTATATAGATTGTAGCAGCGAACACGCGCCTTTTACCATTCATTTAGCCACTTTTCTACAAATCACTACTTGTAGCTGTTTAAAATAGAATATTATTCCCTTCCGAAGACCAGACCGACTTTTTTCCTCGATAAAACCGAATTTGTTTGATAAATACATTAAAAGCTGATTTTTGTTATTATTATATTAAAATTAAGTACTTAACTGTTCTAAACAAAAAATCCGTCAACTGAATTATATCGACTATCGAGTCTACTAGTAGGGAATTCGTTCTAATAGTGATCTGAATGGACGCAAGCATGTGTGACCGAACAACGGGGAACGGGGAACTCGAATAATCGCGGATGACTGAACAACTGGACGTACAACGATCTCAAAAATGGATGTTTACCATTGTTTAACTTACAGTTATACAAACACGCTCCATGTCAGAGATTTACCACTGACGTCAGCGATTAAGGAGCCGCACCAGCGGCGCATGTACAGCATTCGGTTCTGACTAGCGCTGATCGGTTTGATGTGACATTAATGACAGGATTTACAATGTCGCTTAATGGTGTGTTAATGGGGTCGATCGGGAGAATGTATTACGGTACTATGTCAAGCATACCGCTTAACGGGAAGATGCCGGTCTGGGCGGCATGATCGCTGACGGATAATTCGGCGTAATGCTTCCACGAGGCTTCAATCCATTTGCCGGCATCCGCCGGGATGTCCGAGGTGATGTTGTACGGGCGGAATAGGCCGGGCGGGCCGGCGCTGGTTATGTTGGGGTAAACATGTTCCGATATCACCGTCACCTTTAAAACGCCGGTTGCACGCGATCAGTTATTAAAATTATCATCGTTTCAACTGTTATTTATTATAGATTACGTAATAAATTAAAACGGATTGCGTAAACCATGCATTTGCATTCATGCATTTTTTATGAATTGTTGAACGCGCTGCATACTAAATAAAAAAAGAAACGAGGATAATCGGATTTGCATACATCAGAAAAAAATAATATATATGCACTGTTACGCAGTTAGCATAAGCAAATTAGATTTGAAAAATTAATTATCTTAATAAAAAAGAACGAAATTTAAAGAAATTAAAATTAATTTAATTTAAAATGAGATTGAAAAATGTAATAAAATATTTCCAGAAACAGCCGCTTCTGCTTTGGCAACCACGGAAGTGCCCGGAAGGCATATCCATAAAACGGAAACTGAATTATGCAGTGTATATTGATATTGCCATCGATTGGATATACAATCAATCGGCGAAAAAATCGTTTTAAAATTTCTAAAAAATTATAATAAAATTCCGCTATTTTTACCTGGCAATCCGGCAATTCCTTCTGAATGCAGACCGCCGCACTGAGCCCGATAACACCGGCCCCCACCACCGCTACCTTGGGCATGGTAAATCGCGCAGCTGTTTGCTGTCAGACGCGCGTGTAAAAACGTTGAGTGTTTGTCGGCAAAACTGACAAACTGAATGTACACTCACTAACACAAAGCCCGCAGCAGCCGTTTACTGCCCGCACCAGCCGGGAATGTCAAATACTGGCAGACGGGAATATTCCCTTACAGGCTTACACCATCAAACAGCAGCAGACTCTGATTACACGCTGTGCCATACTACGCATTATGCACTGTACCACGTCTTTATTTACATCTCCCACACCGCGACCAAGTGTCATAGACACCACATGCGGTCGCCGTGTGTGTTTGTATGGGTAAATATTCGGGAGATAATATTGGAAGAAATACGAGTGGGCTAATCGGAATTCACTGCGGCCGATTAATCGATAAACACACCAGCTTCATTAATCGACATGGAAAGTAATTGCGTGCGATGGGCTGCCAATCACAGCCGCAGACGGCCAGGGTAATTACGGCGCAAGGGGTTGATTCGCGGCAGAGATTGTATGATGTTCTATGGAGCGTCTACTGTTGCGGTGTCGATAAGCGATTATTGATTTGTGGCTCTCCATTCAATCGCGTGTGTGTGCATGTTCAAGAGTCTGTTGTGATCGGCTATATCGACTTGTACGTACGTACGTGCGCCGGCTGTGCACACACCGATAAACACAGCTGATATCAATAGCGGAAACACGGAGGCGGATCTTTGTCCGTTTGAGTGCGATGATCATGCAATAGACGGCGAATGGAGAAATTGTGTTTAATTTTAATTATTGTGTAAGCCAGCCGGCGATGCTGGCGTGAGGAATTGCTGCTTGTTATTGTTGCCGATTACGGCGTTTATATAGATTTCGTGTTCGACTTCCGCTTTCCGTTTCCCGGCACAATTTAATATACAGAGTTGTACACACGCTTTTAAAGGAATTAATTCTCTCTTGAGATCTTGTCAGTTTTGTTTGCCGCACGATAAACTTTGCTTCGGAATTTTCTTTGTGGTAACAATTTCGAAGTTCTAGAATTTTTTCAGTTCTAGATAAATAAAATTCCAAGTAATCCAGTTTTAGGATAATTATTAAAAATATTTTTTGACCGACAATAAAATCGAAAACATGGAAAATTGTTTTAACAAAGTCGAATTAGGTAGCAGCGATAAAATGAATATTCAGTATAAATAAATTGTAAACAAATAGATAATATAAATCAGTATAAATGAATTACTGATCAATTCCGATAATTAATTGCGACCAGTTTTGAAAAACGGTTTCATTACCTACACAAAAACTAAAATCTGATAATACTGCGTAAACTACCAATGGTAGCTATCTGTACGTAACATGGGATGGCGTTCTTTATTTATTTTTTTATTGTATTTGAGCGTTGCATACATTTTGCAAATAAACATTGAACAGAATTACAAAACAAAAGCACCGAACAGATAAAAAACTAATAGTCATTATCTGCATAAATAATTACTGCGCATTGCCAAGGAAGAATAAATCGGAGTGATATAGCCTTGAGTTGGAATAATCGTAGTACTGCGATGTCCTGCAAGACAACAGCAAGCGGTTATGTAACGTAGTTAGTCATTAACCGAATTCCTTCTCTTAATTTAAACATTCATCACGATTGAGAAGGCGGCCGATTCATTTTTGAATTCATTAAGAAAATAAAAGAAGTACTTAATGCAGTTAATAAACATAAATAAGCTATGAATTTTTTGCCCTTGGCCTCGACCGTTTCTGTCAACGCCAGCGTTCGCGGAACCGGTCGTAATCAGGATTCTCTCACGCGAACGACCTTTCACCGGTCTGACCTTCTTATGACCGTCAGCACTGTGTCATACCGATCACCTGTCTCATGGCATACTTTTGTTCGTTTCTTAAACTTGCACAGTTTTCTGCTGATTATAGCTAGCTTTTTACGAAAGCTTTCACCTTTTATTAATCGAAAATAATTCTAACGCAAGCGTAGAGTTAGTGGAATCAAATTCGAACGAATACCGCAAATAATTATTTGCGGTATAATTTTGTGCACTCAACTTATAAGTTGAGTGCACAAAATTATTTACAAATTATTATTATTTAATTATTTTTTTATTTTAAATTAAATATTTTTAGTTATCATAAAATTCAAAAAAACATAAGGCATTTAACAAATTTATCTACAGTTATTTATATTTCTAGAAAATCTACACCGTCAATTAACTGGTTTATATACAGTATGTATAACTCGTAAATATCCAATACTTCGTACATATCGCCGATATGTACGAAGTATTTGATATCGGTATAAAAATTTGTGGTAACAATGTTAAATCTTGTGTTCTTTTTATTAACGCTTGAGTAATTAGACCTTACCTCGAGCAGTCCACGTTGAAATACCAGTCGCACGTTAATGTGATTTGGTTAAAGAGCTGCATGCAAAAAAAGATTAACGTTAAATTTGTTTTCCAGAAACTCGAAACGGAGATACAGTACTATGTAACGATTGTAGACAAATCAGTCAACAGCATATTTTTGCATCAACGGCATATTTTGCAACCATACCGTAGAATTCGGGCACAAGTAATTCCATTTCAGTCCGTTAGCATCGCACCGCCGGATAACCTGGCACTGCGCTTCCGTATCGGCGTAGTAGCCCGGTTGGTTGACGCTTTCACAGGAAAACTTTGTGCTGGGTACGTAGCTGTACGTGGGATAATCGGTGCCGGGAATAGCTCTGGCCAGGATTTCCTGCACTTCACCGGCAGACAGGGTGTCGCGTCCACGCAGTTTGTTCAGTTCATCCCACACATTGCCCTGATTGTTGACCGTGGTCTGGTCTTTCCAGTCAGGATGAAATTGGGTGCCTGAACAGATTATTAAAATTTTGATAACACTATATCGATATTTTCAAAGAAAACTAACAACATTTATTAAAAATTGACACGCAAACTTATAAAATATGAATTCACAAAACGAAACAAATCAATGTAGTATACCATAAAAGTCCATAAAAAAGCACCAACATTAAATGAAATCAAATCAAAAAGGATTAAATAAAAATAATGATTTTATTTTAAAAGTATGTTTTTACTTATGTTGCTTGTTTCGGGTGTTTAAATTTTAATTCATATAATTCAATCTCGAAGCACGTTGTAATATTACTGATGACCTTTAGACCGGGCTCACCTTGCGTGGAATCCTGTTCACCGGCAACGAAAATCGCACCCGGCACCTTATAACTGCTGGGCTTCTTCGCGATGGGGACCGTGACCTTTGCCGGTGCCGGAGCGCTGGCCTGGAGCAGCTGCACGTTGTTCTTGGCTGCTTTGCCTTCACGCTGATTGGGCAGGCTGGATTTGTCATTCTGTGCCGCCCATTGGGAGGCCTTCTTGGCGTTGTAAACGGGACGCGCTGGCGCCACCACCTCCTTGATGGTAGGCAGCGCCTTGACGGGTGGAAGCGCCGCGGTGGATTGGACTGAGGGGCGGAACGGAGCCGGCGCCGGTGTTCCTTTCTGGGAGGCCTCGCTCGTCAGGATTTCCCGTTCGGTACTGGTCGTGATGTCGACGACGGCTTCGGTCGTGGCGGTATCGGCAGTGTTATCGGTCAGGGCGGGGCTAGCGGTGGTGTCTGCGGGTTGGGCACTGTCCGATTTGGAGTTGTCTACAAAAATTTATTTGACGACACACGCTATATTGAAAAATTGGTTGGTGTGCGCAATATATACCTCCGTCGGAAGTGACTGCTGAGGGCGGAGCTAATACACATCCCAATCCCTGACGAGCATTTGCCGGCTGTAAAGGATCAAGCATAGTGTGTCATTGTTTCGGGAGCGAGCACAGTAACAATCAGTTAGGCTGAAATAAAACGATGAGCAATATGTGTAAGGGCAATATTCGGAAACCAAAAGTTTAGATCATGAGTTGGTACCTTCTGTGTTAATTAACTGGTGCATGTGTCGATATAATAGAAAATAAAAATTCTGGGACAAAATTAATACAAACCGTTAATATGAATTATTATCCCTTTGACTTAAACAATGCATACTTGAAAAAATTTTTCGGAAACGAAATTATAATTTTTGTTGATTTTATTTATTTAAATAAATAATAAATTTAGGTGACAAATCAAGCTAGTTTCAAATTCTGTAAATCGACAGTGCGCGATTATTAACGGATATTTATCTAGCTACCGGTATATCGGTCAATACTGACCAAACGCTTGTGTGGTAGCATAAACATAGTTTTTGTGGCACTATGTTAAAACGTGAAACTTCAAACCTGCGAATATGTTGACCAATCATGCTACTTTTAAAACAAGCAAATCCACAACCAAATTAAAATTATGTTGTTTAAATTTTCGATATAAACGCTAGTATAATTTTTTTTAAATTTTAGATGCCTTAGGAAGGTTGTTTTAATCGTATTCGTATTAATGAAAATCGAAATAAAGGTAGCCGATAAGGACGTCATTCTGACCTGTTGGGATTGGGATCGCACGGTGTGCGCTATAAGAACAATCACCGCCAAATATTTATATCCAAACATGATAGGCCAGGGAAATTTGCCTCCGTTTAAAAAACTGCAAAATAACCGCAGCACTTAGTACCAACCACGCTAACGACTATGCACCAAGTAACGAGAAAATCAATCAGCAAATTAAATGACCGGTTATATCATAACGAGGCATCGGAACACCGAATAGCGCTGATTACCCGTTCTTAGCGCCAACGAGATCGCGTTAATACCGCCGTCACACCGGATCAACAGACCAACACGATAATGCAGTAATGTAACCAAATGAAACCACCCGGCACAAATGAACTCAAAAATCAAGCCACCGGCTTTAAATAGCACTGCGTAGAAACGCCGCGGTCACACCCAGTGGCGGCCGATTTAAATAACAATTAAACTGGATGGTTAATATGATTTATATGCGTCGCATTTTCAATGAACTGGATCAGGTGTGCAATAATTTTCAATGCATTCCTGTCAGCGTAAATTGTGATGAATTTCCAAAAATTTGGAACCTGATTTCTTGGAGAAGCGGAACGGTTGGAACGTGTATGCAACCAGAATATCGGTTACGCGGTTTTTCTTGTTGGCAATGAATTGCGGTTTGCCGCTTGGTTGGGCTCGATTACGAAATTTATGTTTTGCCGGTGTGAGAAAAAGATTTTTGAGATGCGGTAATCGTTGCCGGTGTTCTCATCGTGTTGGCATGCAAATCAATGATTTTACAGTCCATTGTTTGGTTGCAGATGTTGTTCTTCGGATTAGCTAGAGTATATTGTACGTATAGCGATCTTCATGAATGTCATGTTTACGTAAAACGGACACACAGGAAGAGAATTCTAATCTGTTATAGCCTTATAGTTAGTAAGAATCGGCACGACAGAGTGTGTCGCACTTTCGCTTGTCAACAGCGACCACAGTGTATTGTTATTTATGTGAACAAATTAGAACAATGTTAGCTGTTTGTTGACCTTGCCGTTATCGTTGTCTAAGATGGTTAATTGCATTTGCAAGAAAACTACACAATGATAAAATCGAGAAATATTCTTTACCAGTGCCGGTAATATTAACTAATACTTGTCACGTTTAATTAAGTGCTTGCAATTTCTGGGTCAGTCAAATACGTTAATTTTACGGCATAGTGTGAATGGCTGATAGATTGTAGTGTAATGACTGCTGCGTGCAGTGCGTGGTCGCTCAAACGAAGCATTATTGGGTTTTGTAAAATGTGTGGAATCTTTACAATAACCGGGTCTTATACCGATACTTTACTGGTACGGATAATCAATCAGTGCGCTCTAATTCTATGGTAATTATCTGTGAACTGTAGGATCTCAGACCAATTTTCGGAAAAGAGTTTGGATCTCAGACTAATTTTCGGAAAAGAGTTCGGAAATAACATGCAGTTTGCCTTTTATAGCGCATCATGTGAATTTCGACGTGAAATAAAGATGTACTCGTCACAACAGACAGCTTTTCAGCGTAAAAACTACACAGATAATTTTATGTAAAGGTCATTGGCTGAAAATGTGATGTTGGCTTAAGATTTGAAAGCAGTAGCAGCGGAGACAAGTCAGATAACAGGTTGTTTTTGACGAAACGCTTTTTAAGCGCAGCCTTCAGTTTTTTTGCGTCCTGGTTCGTCATCTTTTGAACGGCTTTACTAACGAGAAAAGGCGTCCATTTCTCGTATGTCGTTTCAAAAGCTTTACTCCTAGTTCATGTTAAACGTTAAACTGGGCTGAATTAAGCACTTTACAGCCACTCTGGGATACGTTGTCGGTTGTCGTGTTTGACAATTCCAGAAAGTTTACAAAAACATCCAACCAGCATGTTTTGTACCACTACCAACGACCAAGAAAAACACGGCACTTGATTGCTGACGACAGGAAATGCCAAGCGGAACAGTACAAAGGGATATTATTTTTTTTTGTTAACGATTCATTGTTTTGAAATATTTATGGTTGCCACCGGCCAGGTTCGCTTCTGGTCTTGGTTTGGTTTGTCTGTTGCAGTAAATTTCGAAATAAACTATTAATTTTCGGGACCTGGCAAACCGTAATTCCGTAAAAACTAACGCAGCCAAAAGGTCATCAACTTTTACATGGTTTACTTGTCATCATTCTAATACGATACAGTAACCTCATTGTTCGCACAATAACCGGCATCCTTAAACATCTGCACCCAACACCCATAATATTTACAAAAAGCGTTCCGAAAGCGTTTTCCTTAATTTGCTTGTTTTGCCATCAAAAGTGATACGAGCGCATAAATTCTATGTTTTATGTTACATAACATACTCTTAATTATCGAAAGAATCAAAAATTTGAACTGCCGATGAAGGAAGGAAAGAGCTGAACCGATTCCAGTTTGGGCCGTTCACTTTAAAAAAAATAACCACCGTAATTTTTCAAAATTCGCTTGCTTTACTAGCCACTTTTCCCGTCACACCTTCTCAGCCAGCTTTCAATTATAATTAATGATATTGAATGCTAATTGTGTCGTTGAGGTTAGCATAAAATGTTTTCAAACTTTCACAAATTAAAATAACCTTTTGTTTTCGCAAAGACCCGAATTTTCTGGCGCCGCTAAAAGGACTGTAATACAGTTTACTCGAAGTCGGTTCTCAGACCATTTACATTTGTGAGTTCCTTACAGACTTTTGTGACGTTTCCAAATTCCCCGCAGACACCGACGACCGGCTTATGATGTGGCAGGATATTTTTCATACAAATTCCACTGACATAGAAATTTTCTCTGGAATAATAATTAATTCACGAACTTGCATAATTAACTGCGCGTTTATTTTGGATAGATTCCAGCAACGCTATTCCGAATCCTTTCATCGATCAATCAACGAAACAACCAGGAATCTACGAGCATTTTTCAGATTGTTCTGTTGCGACGATCAATAATCTTGTAAATTTTTAATGTATTTTCTGACATGCATATATTATCATTCGGCTACGCAGTGCGATTGAAAAATTTTCGAAACGTTACCAACACGCGAAACAAAACTGGGTGCGGTGTGCGGTACGAGCGGAAGCGTCGCAACGCCGCTGCAGCGTCTGTTGATCTGCATAAATTAAACTTTCTTAACTCGTAAAGTGCAAAACATCAAATGTGTTCTACCGAAATTCAATAATTGCCGTTGTACATTGGTCGCACGTGGGGAAAATACGTTATTAATAATTCTAATAATTCCTTTTTTTAATTCTTAACTGTGCAATGATGGCCGTAGTTAATGGAATTATGACTGTAATGTCGCGATTTGAACTTAATAAAATATACAGTCCGTGAGTTGCAGTATTATTTATAATTCTAACTAATTTAGTATTCTGTATAATTCTGGCCCTTACGTAGTTACGTAGAGCGGTTCGCGCATGACTTTTATTCCTGCTGCTGGTAGATATTCCGTCTGGCTATCCAGTAGCTTTGTCAACAAAAGTGCGAAATCTCTGCGCACCAAATAATATCAGCATTGCATGCAGGATAGGATGATTTCTCAAGTCCATTAAGATTTAAGGGTCAAGTTTGTTATTCCCGTATCCTTCACTGTCTGGTAAGCGGAGCGAATGATCGTATTCGTGACGTAATATTCTTGCAGATTTCTTCTCCAAGTGAACCTAAGCGTTTAAAAAAACTAAACTAAAAAAATCAGGCAGAAGTATTTTTCATGCCGTATTTTTTTCTGATCTTTAGTAATGGCAATTTTCTTCTTGTTTTAAGATCTTCCCGCGCTCCTCCCTGTCAGATATGGACGTGTATCTCGTGACGCAGTATATTCTGGACGCTTTATTTTCCAGCTAAATCTGCGCTTTATGATGAACGTTATACAAAAATTAAAATGAAGCTTATCAGTATATCAGCATTTCAACGTAAGGTGCGTCATTCTATCTCTTTTTTAATTTTAAAGTTTATTTAATTAAAGAATCTGCCGCACGCTGAAATGTATGGATACCGTGCCATCCAGTGCAAGGTAACCCTCTGTACCCCTCACTACCTATTACTGTACGAGTACATGTATTATTGAATAACGCGGTCAGCATCACATCTCCTGCTTGCTTCACAAATGATGGCGGCTTGACTTGACGGCACAATGGATCTAATAATATCGTATTATAACACAAGCGTCACGCTTTCGTCAGCGCTTCCTCGTATACTTAATTGCCGTGCAAGTGAAGAAAATCCTGAATATCATTTCGCTGGAAATGGAGTGCAAACCGTAGGCGTGGGTTGCTTTGGTCACATGTACACTTTACCTACAAGGATAAATAACATATAGTGGAATGCCGCAAGTTAATTACGTAAAGCGACATCACTACACCAATACCATAAGCGACAGGCGTGATTTACGCAGGGCAGTGGTTAAATTAATTAAATGTGTTATGTCAAAAGGCTTCATTAGCATGAAAATTCCATGCCACGATGGCTGCTATGTGTCGGTCGACTAGACGCTTTAATCGAAAGCGGTGTTGATCTCCCACAAGCGCACATGACCTCTCCTCATATCTGTAAATTCTCCTTATGTTACCGACTTCGGTTACTGCAAAAATCGTAGTCCAAGGAAATCCTCGATATCAAGAATTCCTCCACCACCCCCTATCGATTCAAATTCAACGGGACAACGCGGCTTTCAAGAGAAAAACTGCGAAGCAAGTAATTAGAATGCATATCCAGCCTAGAAACAGCATGGTGAAGGGTTGCTCAGGACCAAGGCTGGAGCGGATAATTTATGCAAAATCTTGCTACTGCTAACTTTGTTAGAGCATTTGATTGGTGTGACTCGCCTGTGTTAACAAAATAAAGTCGTATAAAACGAATACTAGATAACCCAACGGGACAGCTTATACCGTTAATTCTCGAGTGAGAAGTTGTTATATTATTGGTGGATTCCGTCTGGGTGAGTGATTTTCTGGCCTTGTAACGCAACACGATGTTCTGGATGCTGACACCATGAACGCTTCGCTAAATTGCACATCATCAAACAGATCACTAGAAGCCAGCACTTCTACGTTGACAGACTGGTTCATTGTCACGACATCCATCGAATTTCTTACGTCTGAATTGATGATTCTCCTCATCAGTGCGATACTACACCGCATTCAGAACCATCGGAATGCCATATCCAGATCATTCACATGCGCCTCATTGATCTGGCCAGCATGGCTACAATCAACCCGATTGTTACCGTGACCATCTATTTTCTCTCCATAGCACTGCCTATAACAAGCTGCCGTGACTTTTATGTTGCCTTCATTATTTTCTCCGGCAGCGAGCACCGGTCGGCGTTTTTGATGTCCGTCAATCGGCTGATAGCTGTTACCTTTCCGCATCAATACTCGCAAATCACCAAACGCAGTGTAACTATTCCGGTGATTCTGATTGGCTGGGCCATTCTAACGGCGTTGACGCTGCCGGTGGTTGTCGGCAGGGGATGGGAGACCGTGCTTGTACCGCCGTGGAATGTCTGCGTGGTCCCACGACAGTGATCAACCGGGAGCTCTTCCGCGTCAACGCCATAGTGGGCGCGTATTTGCCGATATCTGGTTCGATTTGCTGCTACTTGTTCCTTTTTTGTCGCAACTCCGACTATATTCAATCGGACAGCGCAGGCTTAACACCGCTAATCGGGCGCTGTATTTGAAAAGGAAACAACGAATTTTAATTGGCAGAATGCTGTTTGTGTCGTCATTGTGGTATTTGGTCTGTTATTACCTTACATTCTTATTACGACCTTTCACTTACTTATTTTCGTAAAGGATCCGCACCTGCAGATGTGGATGCGAGCGCTTCTTTTCGCTGGCGATCTTGGAACACCGGTAGGTAATCACTTGCGCCATATAAACATAACATTTTGTTCTGGAAATCGGTTGTATTTCCAAGTTCTATATAACAGATAATATTCTTCTTGATTGGAAAAGAATATCGAATTGGATTGAAGAAATTCTTTCATAATTTCCTGCTTCCGAGCTGCGCATCAGTGGCGCCCAAGTTATGCTCAGCCCCGGATACGAAGTGCATCCATGGAGATCCAAAGAAGTGGACATAAGAACAGTTTGTGTGTATTGTGATGATACTTATGCTGATGAAACTATTGAAAAGACGTTTATGTCTGAAAACTGGCTCCCTAATCTTTTGAGACGAAGTTGAATGCCAGCAAAGCAGAGCAGCAGCTTGCGTCTTAAACTGTAGTTCTTTTAAGGAGTGTAAGAGTCTGTGCGTGCAGTTTGTATTTAGATGATTAACGCCTGTGGGAAAGTTCGAAAATCCTAAAGCAGAATGAAAACCGAAAAGAATTTACCATGTTAGATCGCTACGGAGTTGCAAGTTTACGACAGAAGTTAATGCCAATGGGCGATGGCCCCACTTATAGGAATTAGCCAGGAAACTACGCATGGAAAAGGCTTATTTTTACCGAAAATGGATAAGAAATTGTGTGCTGACAAATTTATTTTCGCATTGCCATGCTGCATCCAAGTAAACAACAAGGTGAATTTCACGTTTCACACCATGCATGTCTGGCGGCATGGTTTAGGACTTCCGGAGGAATTTAGGGTTTAGGCGGCATGATAATGATCTGATCATCTTTAACGGAAATGGTGGAAAAACTTGATTAATGAAAAACGCTTCAGCGCTCACTTCGAGGCGTCAGACAAAAATTTGCTCTTGGCTACTAAGACTGCGCTGCGCCCGATGCAAATTAACTAAGTACGCATACACAGAATAGAAAGATGATTAATAGCTGCAAATTGCTGTGGTGCGGAATGCTGTACATTACGCATATGCTGTAGTTTCACGGCCTAGGCCAAATATAGCCGGAAGTGGAAAACGATGCTATCTTTACGTGTACTACGTACGGTATCTTCTCATCATGCCGGTTGCTTCTCCTGTCACTACTGTAAGTTATGCTGGCTTTTATAAACCGCTGACTAGAAAGTAGATAAACTTGCAGCAGATTTTCGGGTGCCGCACGTTAGGTACCATTCTGTAATAGACCTTTCCAGTTCGCCGAGCGGTATCGCGGCGCCCTTTCGATACCTTCAAAATAACATTAGTGTTGCTAATCTGAACACAAAGTCACGGCTATGCTTTCTGTTTGAAAACCTACTACTCTGGTTGAAGTCAGTTAGCAATGAGTTTGTTAAGAACTTTTTGGTCTTGGCTTCAGCATCATTTATTTGGTTTTCCCACGTTGCACCATGAAAATGACCGTTTTTGGCGGTGGTATCGACTGATCGTCTCATTCTCGATTTTCACAGTGATTTGTACGATATTGGACATCCAAAGCGATATCCAGTTTATCGTTAACCTATGGGAAAAACATAAGCGCGTTATCGCACTGGCATGGTTAGTGGGTATTGCAATAGTGCCAGCTCTGCCAGTGATCTTCTCTATAGCACGACGATGTTGCTTTTGGCCAAATAAAGAAGCACTGGATGTCTTCTCGTTTAACTTAGCTTTGGCACGTCGAATGCTAATTAGAGCCGAACGTCTAAGGCTGATAAAAAGAGATGATTCACTTGGAAATTGCATTTCACTTTCGACCATGCAGCGCTTCTGGAAGAATTTCACAAAATGCATTACAAAAGTGTACCCAATATCATTTGCATGCAGGTAATGTCCTATCCGGCGAGTTAGTAACGCAAATGCGCAACGAAGCTGCTATTATTTTTCAGAGCTGTAACATTTTCGTGTTCTTGGACAAGTGATGAGCGCTTTGTGCGCGGCAAAGATGCGCAACCGTACTATCACTATGACAGAAACAACGATATTGACTTTCAAGATCTGCAAATGCAAACTGCGCTTTTGACGGAGATCCAGTATGAATCTTGTCTGCAGCTGTTTTTATTGGTATTTTTGACGGAAATTAACATTATATCGGTTGCCAACACTTGGTGGCCTGCCCTAACGTCATTTTTCTCCATTGCTAAATATTACCCTTTCCGGATGCAACTTCCGCAGATTTGTGCATTTAAAAACAGGATATTTCTCGAAAAGGATTATGTCGATCTTGAGGAAGCGAATCAATTATTGAAACCTAATATTTTGAAGTATCTCAGGACACTGGGGAATTTTTGCTCCATTATACTGCGCTATCTATCCATGGTTGAGTTAGCAGCTTACAATTGGGTAGCATTTCTATTAGTTCTCATTATCTCTGGTCTTGTAGTAATATTTTTTCTATTTTTATCCTTCCTCTGGGTTGAGCGACAGAAACCTAGCAGTCGGTCTGTTCGGAAGAAAAACCGGTATGTTCTGCTGATGCGGGAGATTTTTTCTTTGAGTTGGATGGTCGGGTCGAAACTATGGATCAGAAAACGCTCGTGCAACAGCACACGCGTGCATATAAATGTGACCCAGAGATGCAAACGAGCGTATAAAAAATTAGATGCTGTAGTTAAACAGTCCTCAATCGTTGTTGCCAACTTTCTTTTAATGCCAATTTTTACCGCTAAAACTAAATCTGGCCAGACTCTGCATAATATTGTTGGCTTTTCATTTATTATTACGAACTACATCATAACGCATGTCTGGAAATGGGAGCACCCACTTTATTATTGGCACGATGAGCTCACTTTTGGACCACGACGTTACAATGCGGATGAACACTACTATTCAAGGATCCGTTTAATTGTCGGCTTGGTTTGCTTCTGGTTAATGAACTTGACTTTTTTACTCCAGTTGATTCTCTGCCGTGCCTCATTCTGGCTATGCCATCGCCAACAGGACCGGCGGCGAGCACGGGGCTTACAAATTTGCCAGGAATGTTTAGGTAAAGTACGCAAACGGCACTAAAAGCCATGTCTTGTTACTGTTTATTCTGCATTTAACTGTGGTGTTGCTGCTCTCGTCCAGTTTTCCGGAAACGCTTCTGCAGTTATCGCCCTTGTTGGTTATGTGAATGGGCGTGGTGTGACAGGAACAGGACGGAAATTGCCGTTAGCGAATCAACTGAAAAAAAATCTACTGAACCACTTTATCCAGTACCCTTTTTGGAACTACCTTTGCATAATCAACAGTCTGTAGTGATACTTCGAATGCTAGCGTCCTTCGCAAGAGATAATGATGACGACTTCCTATTATGTGACAATCATGCCAGGCTGTTGAAGTTACGCCCATTGGAACAAAGGACGGAAGAATGTGTTATGGCCGGCATAGGAATGCGGTCTACTATTGTCCGCGGCCAGATGATCATCGAGTTATTCCGCGATTCCGAAAACGTCTTTGTTCTCAATAATTTGCCGGTATCCATGCACTGGTTTTTAAGGAAGCTATACTCGCAGGAGTTCTTGCAAACACAACTACCATACCAGTTGTTCTACAAATCGAGACTCTACGATTACGGTATCCGGGACAAGAAGCGGCAGACCGCTTACTGGTCGGAGCTCAGACGACTCCGTAATGCGCATAGTCACTGCGGAATGGAATGCAAGTTGAACCGCACACAAGACTTTTCGAATGATATGATATTTGTACTAAAACCTGATCGATATGCTAGTATCCAGTGGACGATGAACAAAACCGATGGCGGAGAGAATGTATCTCCCGATCCGGCAGAATACCAGTATTTCAATAATGCCCACGTGCTGCTCTTAGATTCGGTGGACTACTGGGACGACCGCCGGGAACCAGTGCGTAAATGCCCATTTTCAGAAGCCAGAGGTAACAAAAAGCTGTTTCCTGAGCAGTTGATTTCCTTTCTAACTAATGCGTTACTATGTAGGTTCAGATTTTCAGAAACGTTGGAAACGTAATCGCCCTGTTGGTTGTGTGACTGGATATGGTGTGACAAGAACGGCGCGGATATCGCAATTAACGAGACAAGTATCGAAATACTTAGAGAACCACTACAGCCAGTTCCCATTCTGCAATCATATCTGTACCATCGACAGTCTGCAGTAATCCGTCGCATTTTGGCGTCCCATTTTAGAGACAGCGGTGGAGACTTCCTTTTTTGTGACCGCCATGCAAGGGCTACCATGCTGTTAAAGCAGCTTTCATTACAACGGAGAAGTGAGGAATGTATAATGGCCGGTATCGGAATGCGATCAACTGTTGCTCACGACCATACAGTGATCGAGTTGTTTCTTCCTAATGACCGTAATAAGGTCTGTTCTTTCAATAATTTACCGCTATCCATGCACGAGTTCTTGAAGACGCTGTATTCGAGACCGTTTTTGCGAAAGCAGCTACGGTACGAGTTGTTCTACAAATCGAAGCTCTACGATCACGGTATCCAAGATGAGGAGCGGCAGACCATTTATTGGTCGGAACTGAGACGACTTAGAAAAGCGCACACATACTGCGGAACGGGATGCATACTGAATCGCACGGAAGGTTTTTCAGAGGACCTGACATTTATACTCACACCCTATGATCGTCCAAGTATCCAGTGGACTATGAACAAAATGAACAGCGAAGGAAACGTCGTTCCTGATCCAGCAGAATACGAGTATTTCAACAATGCCAATGTGTTGTTGCTAGATTCAGCAGACTTCTGGACCGACAGCCGTGAGCCAGTGCTGAAATGCCCTTTTGCAACAAGGGATACTTAGGCAATTCGATGCGGTTACATTGTACTGGCCACTCATTGTGCAAGAGGTCTTACAACAGATTCCATACCGCACAACCATTATATTACTCGTAGTTTTTATCAGTCCGAAGCATTTCCGACACAAACACTACATTTTCGCACATCAGCGCAGTACCTATCAATCCGCTGTTTTAGAAGCGGTGTTTTTCTAGGGAGTAACGTTTACAAAAGGAAGTACCGTAAGAATAACTACCGTCAAAATACTGTAAATGTACGTGAACAGGCGATCGTTTTTTGTGGTCTTTTTGTGTTTAGCCATGATGAAAGCATTAAAGAATAGTTTTGCCTACAGATATGCTGCAGAAAGCCAAAGCTTTTTATGTTTTTTTTATGTTTTCCGCGTTCTGTACTGTCTTACAAGCGAAGCAACGAAATAATCAGTCAACGAAAAACTAATTCCACGTATGAGCGTAAAATGCACATTGAAAACTGTGCAACAACCACGCAAAGAATGCGGCAGAATACAGTGCTCCTTTTTGCCCACCAGCTGGCACTGAAGGTTTATTGCGTATATTGCGTGGCTACGTTTGTGAAACAATCATGACGACAGAAGAGAGTCCCACGCATCGTTCACGGGAGCGCATTCTTACTGGTTGCGGCACATTCTACTGATTTTGGGTGGCAATCGTTCCTAGCTGTAACTCATTGCCAGGTGACACGAATGGGCTGCACCGACGCAGTGGATTACGAAAAAAATCCTTTAACCCAGTCCGATATTCTGCTCCAATCAGGAAAAAGATCACCTACGCACAAAACGGCATCTCACAGGAACAGGCTATTATAAGAATGCATGCAGAGATTGATGCCCGAAAATGTGTCACTTACCGGTGTTCCAAAATCTCCGCAAGACTCCAGAGCCCACATCAGCAAGATCAGATGCGGATTTTTCGCAAAAACATTGAGATAATTGGCCAGGACAAACTGCGGTAAATAACAAGCTAAATCCCATAACTGTGACGCACACAACATCTTGCCGATTAAAATGCGGCGCTCTAGTGTTGCCTGCATCTTGCGATCGACGGCACCGTCGCGGTTGAACTTTTTTCTGAGCTGCGACAATAAAATCAGCACGTAAAGCACAATTGTCCCAGAAATCGGTACATGAATGCTCAGTATTGCTCTGGCTTGAAAGATTTTCCCGTTGCCGTGTGTCATCGGAAGAACTGCGCAGTTATTCCACGGTGGAACGTTAGTAACGTACCAGCCGCTGCCCACGAAAAAGGGTAGCGAGCACGCAAGCAGAATTAACCAACCAATCAGTATCGTCGCGACTGTCGCACTGCGTTTGTTAAATCTCGCATAATGATGCGGGAAAACAACGGCAATCATCCGGTTGAGGGACAGCATGAACGCTGCCCAGTGTCCGCTGCCGGCGAAAATGTGGTACACGACGTCGAAATTGCGGCAGTTAGTTGAAGACAACTTAACGGATGGGAAATAGATGGTCACCGACGTAGTTTGGTCAAGGATGGAGGTGACGACCAGATAAATAAGGAGCAGGTGGATGATTTGAATATGGGTTTCGGATGGTTTCGTGTGGCGGTATAGAATCGCAATGATGAAGAGAATTATTAACAGTGACGTGAAGAATGCAATTAAGGTCATGGCGATAAACCAGCTTGTCAGCGTAGTTGAATTGATTTCTTGAGTACCGTGAAATCCCGTACCTGTCCTGTTGAGACCCGTAAAATTTATTGATGCGTTCATGCTGAAGTTCAAATAAACACGCTGTGGTACAAAACCAAAAAATTATTATTTGACCAGAATTTTCAGAAACAAAGGCATCAACGTACATCAATGTCCAGAAATCTTCCTGGCGATTTTATAATGAATGCAGTCGGTTTTACAGAGAACTGTAAGCGAGAAGTTTCATAGTGAATGCAGTCGGACATTAAAAATTAACTCTTATACGCCCGCAGTCGTTTTCAGCAAAAGGATTTTAATTTATTAGTCTGATTACTTTCCGCTGATTCCGCCTGCGCATGATATCTTGTTTTTCGTCTTGTGGAAAGAAGATCACGCTCTTGCGTCAGACCCAGAGCCCATTCGGCCGCGTCGCCTTCGATTAAAGACGCGTGACCTTGATTAATATTTAAATCCCAGGAGAAAAGGGGTTAAAACATAGCAGGTCAGCTGATGTTTACCTATAACCTCATCGTTTACCGTCTTCCAAACATTGATAATGGTATTATAATCGTGCCAAACAGCTTGCACGCCATTCGAAAGGTTAGAAGTGAGGAACGCGTAAGAGGAAACCATTGCCCTAGGTGTACTGCGAAAAAACACATAACCCAGATTTCCTGATGCAGTTGCGATGTTATATGTAATTCCTAACTTGCCTTTTGTGTTGCCCTTTGCAGTGGAAGACCATTCTGTTCTCCAGAGCCCATTTACAAACGGACAGTTCGAATCACACATACCATCGGCCGGGCGCAACGTTAATTAGATTAGGATATTCGGGATGCAAACTTCGGTGTAAAATCCACCTCAGGTAGCAAGTTGGCTTGGAGGAAGCCGGCAGGTTTTCTTGTACAGAAGTCCTATACAGAAACATTTACCATCACCAGGCATCGGCAGCTTTCCAGTGATGTGGTTTTGCAGTACGATGTGGTGAGTCGGAAACGGCGGATTCATTCCGGGACAAGTTTGACCGTCATACAGCTACACAGTAAAAAATAAGTTGTACTCGACGTGAGTTATGTGAACAACATCGACATCGTCGACGATAATGGCCTTTGGAGGATCATTGGATCACTTTCGGCTTGTCGAAGCATCACGTGGACAGAGGTGCTTGCCACGATTCCCTGTACTTGTAAGGAAAATGATGTGGCCAGAAGCAGCTGGAATGAATCTATTGGGTGTTGATTGTGAAAAAAATGCACTTACAAAACCGCTGTTCAGACAATATCTTAGAAGTATCTACAGTATATCGTCTCCAGTTTTTGATATTATCAAAAATTGGAGTCGATATACGGTAGATACTAGATACTTCTAAGAAACTTAAATTAAGCCGAATTTGTTTCTGTGCCATCGTCCATCATGCAAGGTATGCATTGCTCGTGCTGATTTTTCCTTTTGCGATTATCATCGCTGAACTTTAATAATGTGTTCAATAATTTTCGGTTAACACAGATCGGGGTTCATACGTACTGTACCATCGAAATTCATTCACGTTAATATAGGAGAGATCAGCAAGACAGCGGTTTAATACGCGGCATAATACCCATGCAACATGCTCAGTCTTCTATCATGTAGTGTTCTACGTACAGAGTATCTGTATATAGATATTAAAGTATTTGCATATTGAGCATTCATAAATGCAGCGACAATTCGGAATAATATTATTTAAGTTAACGCCCGCCTTCATACCTCGGCGCTCCACGCCACACTGTTTATGCGTTCCATGCATTTTGCAGGGTTGGTGGCTAGTGCTTGCCAAAATTAATAAGAATTACAGTTTGGCTTTGCACATTACTGTATCTGTACTTCGAATGCTGCCTTATATGGGCTCCCCTTATATTACTCTCCCTTATCTGGGCTCCCGGCTAGTTAGCAATGCCCGTTAAACTAAATTTATCGGAATTGTAGCACAACCCTTTTCTACTTCTTTCAACCTTAAATTTTTAAGAAACAATAAATTTTAGAAAGATTTTGAATCTGTCGTTGATGCAACCTGAGCACTTTGAAACAAACTAAATGCTACAAAGTACTGGCAAAATAAGTATTTTAAATAAATCAAAATTTTCAGTCAGGCTGACTCAGGCATAATACTGATAACAGCTGCGAAAGTGTGAGTAATAACGTAACCGCCAGTGTAGAGGGTTGCTCATATTGCTCGGGGGCCCAGATAAGGGAAAGTAATATAAGGGGAGCCCATATAAGGCAGCATTCGAAGTAGTGCAGTACAGCAGGTATCGCACTAGGTCCAAGTGCTAACATAGCGCTTATTGCAGACTACCTGTTTCTTTACAGACTATACATGCTCGATATACGTATGTAATCGGGCTTGCACCTGTACGTACTCGTAATGATTACAATGGGTACTCGAAAAATGTGCGCCGAAATTGTACAGTGCAGAGTTAAGATATTAATTAAAGCTTTTGCCAACAAAGGAAACCGGGGTCGCCGAAATACGTAATTCCGGATGCTTTGATTCCGGTTTATATTAATTGAAGTTTGTATGAAAATGAGTGCATCAGGCAACAGAACAACACAGAACAACAAAAACCGTAAGAAAAAGCAATTTCTGACTGTCTATTATGTCGGTAACGCTTGCAACGATAAGTATAAACAGCCTGCATGAATGCATGTCTCTCGTTTTTGTTACGTGATTAAGAATTAGACACAAACATTCTTGTTACTCATGAAAATTACATTTTTTGTAGTATTGTTGAGAAAACATAATAATATTTATGTTGTGCAGACTGCGTGTTGTAATATCGCATTCGAATCCAGTAGTTTCTGTTAATAGCACAATGTAAACAAAATGTACTCATACTAGTCATACCTGTGTTTTTCGCCAAAGAACGCGAAACAAGCAAAACAACAAAACAACAAAACCGGTTTTCGTTATAAAACAAGGCAACGATACTGCAGTTTTATGAACTTTTATCAAGTAACAATATTTTTTCCGTAAATGCATTATGCAGTTGCAACTGGGAAATAGACTTTTATCGGTACACATAATATCTGTATACTGTATAGTTAACTTCATACGAATCACGAAACGGTATCAACCATGTCGCTAATTACCAATTTTTTGCTTATTTCGCTCCTGTGCTGTCTTGTGCTGTGGAGCTGATGTCAGGTGTAAAGAAATGCTACGCTCGGCTCAAATGGCAAAATACTAACCTGGCTGGCAAATGTTCCTGTGCTGGCTAAGCACAGTAAGGCCGGAGAACTAAAATTAGACCTGTATTAATATTAAATATCATATTTAAAATATTTTTGCTTCCGAACTCTGTTTTCATTTTATGGTGAAAATATTTTCAAATTTATGCGACGTTTATGCTGCCTCCTACAATATTAGTGAAATTTCAGGTACGCAAATTATTTATCGTTAATACATCGTGACGGTTTTTCTCATAACGTTAACGCATACCAGCAATTTGCGCTTAAACAGTTCCGTGTTATTGCAGTGGCTCTCTCGATAAATTTTACAAATAAAAGTCTGCTTTTATAAGATCTGATACATTATCGGTTTTAAGTGTGCGAATTGTAAAACCTTGGGAAAAGTGTAAGGGGCGACAGTATGCAGGCGCTTTTCCCCCCAAAATCCTAAATGGTTTAGGTTTTCTAGTTTAATATTTTTCATTTTTGTTTTTCAGTATTGCATTTTTATGAAATTTTACAGCACGCTAGAATATGTGTATTTTCTAGTTTCGGACCAGTTTAACCCTGCTTGCGAGAAGTCGGGCGCCTTCAAAGCCGAACAGCTAACCATGGTCGGTGGTTTCTGTGTGGATACCAAAACAGGCGACCAAAATAGTGAACCGAAAACAAATCACAACTTCAAGTGCTAGAGCTGATCACAACTTCGTTTCCATTTCTGGATTATCTGACACCCGGTTATTTCGTCAATTGCAGTCAGATGAAGATGTAATTCTTCTCCAGAGGAAGTATGCTTCCCCTAAGAAATTGTGATCCCTGAATAAGTTGAACGTAAGGTCCAAATCAAAATGTCTGTTTCCGGCTTTTCCGTTTTCGACGTGTATGTTCACTAATAACTCAAAAAAATGAGTTATTATGCGCCAAATTCATCAGGGCATTTATTGCAAGTTATCCAAATAAACACTAAATAGGTTGCGATTATATATATATATATATATATATATATATATATATATGACCCTTGCGCCCGGCCATAAAACCAATTACGATCGTTCAGTGACGTCATGAATTTCTTAACTTTTGGCTAAAAATATCTGATCTCGGGCAGCATGAACCGTGTTTTTGCTTCCGGTCCAATGCATAAAATTCGCACGGGAAATTTCGTTTTCGCCACCCTGCAGCTAACAGTAAGACTCTACGAGTACGATTACATACAGATCTGACTGACTGCAGCGTCTACCGCCTGCAGAGGGGCTTACAGCCTTTCAGAGTGTTTCATTGCGGTGTATGCATGGACTGGTTTATGGTAGGCTGCATGATTTGCATCGCTCTTTTTGCATCGCTCATTTTTGCGTTTTGTTCATGCGAGAATAAGCAAGAACGCTGGATATACAGGACATCACTCTATTGTTCTCGCTAAATCAATCCACCTTTTAGTCCAGTTACGAGCGAATGGACAGCATGTCCGCTGCTTCTCCTGCCTGGCCTGGTCATTCACATTTCACATGCACAGAGAGACAATGCGAGCCGGCGCGCACCACAAGCGCACCTTTCCAAAAAATGTTGTTGTTGGCACATTGCTCTCTGGAGATAACTGTAGCCATAAAACTGCATAAAAAACCGCTTTCGAATGATGTGAAACAATTTACAATAACTGCTACCACTGATTAACAAACCCGATATTAGCCACTTTTATACGCTAAAGGTGGCTAGATTGTTCCAAGAGGCTCGCCACAGTCGATGCTATCAAACGGTATTTTAGCGTTTCCTGGCAA